ACTCGTCAATGATGACCTGAATGAACATGGGAAGGCGCTCACCCTGTTCCTAGACCCAACCAAAACGAATTGCATCTGCTTGTTTATCAACCAACAAAAAAAAATAACCTGGAAAGTCGACAAAACAAAACCTGGAAAAGAGAGAACCCTTCAAGTTGGAAAAATCAAATACGCGCAGCAACTGGAATACAGAAGCCTCGGAGCAGCTTCACGCGTCAAAGATGATCAGGGATGGCGGCAGATCCCCGACGAACACGACATGGCACGAGTCCTGTTCTTCATCTGGAACGATCCGAATGTGCGCTCCTCTTCTCATCAACAGTTCTAAGTGAAAATTCTTAACTTTCACTGAGGATTCGTTTTATGATGGGCTCATAGATAAATAATTGTAGGAAAAGAAGTTCTCGATAGATAGGTCTAAATAATTTTCGTCCTCAAAGCCATAATCAAAGCCTGACATTTAATTGCTACGGCCATGGGGTTGCGTCATGGGGTGGCTTTAAATATCGTCTTTTTGTTGTGATCTAGTACGCTAAGACCGTTGATATAATCGGCACCGAAGTTTCACCTATTTTGGCTTAATGAATTTTGAGTTTTAGAGGTCATAAAAATGGACAAAGGATATGAGAGCCATGTAATTAGGGAATTATTAGACCTGATTTTGAAAGAATTGCTTTATTCATTTGAATAGTAAATGAAGGCTAACCTATTCATAATGTTAATTTTTCCATGCTTTATCTGTAAGCGAACCAATCCTATGATGAACTTATGATTGATGTTAATGATTCTGATTTTTCTATCCTTCTGTCATGAAAAGGGGGAGGAAGAATTCTTGAGACAAAGAATCTGACTTTCACGAAATAAGTCATTTTGTCCTCTGACCTACCCCAAATATTCTCTCCACATTTCAGTGTTAACTTTTATTACATATCCGATATCCTTAATTACCGCTTATGCCAGTCAATACCAGATCCAGAAAAATCTTGTGTATAACCTCTTAAACCTATTTTACCTGTGCACAACCTAAGAAAGCTGGGGGTGGGTGATGTGAGTGACATGATGTCCTCAATCGGTCTCCCGTCGAGCTTAGATAGATAAGGCCGTTTCCGCCGAGAATCAACTGTTCTCACTTCCTATCAGCTGTTTTCCCTCAACCTTTCTGTGCACGATCCGCAAGGATCACTCACTCATGCAATAGTTTCTCTACAAAACACACACTCAAGCAAAGCCCAGTGTTTTACCCACTGTGTAATAAATACGCTACAGTCACATCGAGTCCAGTACATTGAGCACGGCAAAACTCATGTCACTATATTGCATTACTGTATCAAAAACGGCAGCGGAATTACGTTTTTTTTTGAAATCGACCGGAAGTACCTAAAACTCTAGAATTACCGACCCGAACCTATATGAGTCGACTCGAATTTTTACGGCGGAGAAGATGGCACTAACAGTTAAAAAGTGATTTTTTGGCCTGAAAAAATTTTTCGAAAATCATCAGGGTAAAATTAACCAATTTTCAAAAAAAAAAATTTTTTTCTTTAAAAAATGATAAATTTATATTAAAAAATGCATTTTATCCATAACTATTCAATATAAAAAATAACACGCCCTTTCACGGGCAAAAATATCAGTAATATTTATTCTAATTAAAATAAAATTTGCCCCGCGAGTTCATGGGAATATAAATCAAAGAATTGAAAAAAAAGGGCCGTCAAGCCCCTTAAATTCAAAAATCAAGGAACGGGGCTGAGGCGGCCCGCATTAATTATAAGTTTTAATAGTTAAAACATGATTTTTGCGAATTATAACAAATTTTTCCAAAAACAGGTTAAATTTTTACCGCCGATTATGGGTTAAAAATATATTTTTGAAAAAATTTCTGATTTTTACGCATAAAAAAGGGGAATTAACAGTGAAAATACATAAATTTTGTGTAAAAAGGCCATTTTCAAAAACAGGTTAAATTTTGCTTGTCGATGTTGGGTTAAGCGAGGGCCATGTGTATTTTCTGGAAGAGTACCTTTCATTGGTTCACCCAAAAAAATATCGGCGCCTACCGTGATCATGGCCCTAAAATTTCCGACCCTACCTTACAACCTCCCATAAGCAGAAAAATGTATAACCTGCAAAAACCGCCTCAAAAAGCGTTCCAAAGTTTTGTTATTCAGGACCCTTTTTGAACGTTAAATCATCATTAATGACGTCATAATAACGTCATTTAGCGCTGGAAATATGAGGTTTGCTTTATTTTGATACGGGCTACCAGAATACACCATGTATACCATAATCTCAAAAAAAAATTTTCGGACAAAAAATTCTCATGGTAATTAATCAAAAATTCTGCATCGCTTTATGCTTATTTTCCAACTCTTGAAGGTGCTGAGCAAAAATATGAGAATAATTTTTCTTACAAAATGGTCCTGAAATCTCCTAAAAGAAGAAAATTTGAGATTCTTCCGCAGTGTTCTGACCCTGCAGAGGAACTATTGGCAATAGTCTATTGCAAAAGTCTTCCATGCACGAGGAAAACGAATTCGGCGAAAAAATTTGTGTTCACGAAAACACTGTCTTCGGCCAAAAGACGACACGCATTTGGATAACAAAAGGCACGAACTAAAATAGGGAAGTAATAAGCTAGGAAGTGACAGCGTAGGAGCGAACAAGAAAGTATCATACACGAAAGGATCAAATAAGAAAGTATCATACATGAAAGTATCAAATTAAATAGGATCATGCATTAAAGGATCGAATTTTTTGGAACCAATAAGATTGCCGTATAAGGCCTACCGGCCTATAAGAAACCCATCCTCAATCATTTTCAAATGTATGCCCGATCCAATCTTGCACGATACTGGCTTGGATCTTCCATTATAATTTGATCCTTTCGTGTATGATACTTTCTTGTTCGCTCCTACGCTGTCACTTCCTAGCTTATTACTTCCTTATTTTGGTTCGGCCCTAACAAAAGACGCGTCAGCGGATCCAAAGGGACCTGGTATCAAATCATTTCCAAAGCTACCAATCACGTGGACAATCATACAAAGACCTTCCGAAAATTGACTTCTTTAAAAACGATTCAAATTGTTCGGTCAGATAATACGTATGAATCTCCTGAAACATCAAAATAAAGTTGACAAAGTTTAATCTCGTGAATAAGCAAAATTGGTCGATGAAAGGAGGAAGAAATGAGACTGTCGATTTTAAGATTGTTTCAAGCGGTAGCGAAAGAGTGCTCCGAGGTAGATGGTGATTTCGATCGAGGAGGAGGACGAGTCGGTTACAGACTAGCGTCATGCGTAGTTTTCTCCAGCGCTTGGTTCATTTCCGAAGAAGCAGTTTTGATTTGTGCTCTCTCGTCTGCAGCTAAAAAAGAATTTAAAAAGGGATAGCGGCGGGAATCGACAATTTTTGGCCGACAATTTTGGCATAAATTTTGAGATTTTTATCTGAAATCTGATAGCTCTTCCGGCGGAATGCGGAAATCTGATTGGCCAAAATTTTTTTTTAAATTTAACTCAAAATTGTCGGCTGAAAATTGTCGATTCGAGCCGCTATCCCTTTAAAAAAGGATCTTTGTTGGCGCTTACCCTTTCAAGAGTCTTGAATCAAGACGCAAATGCAGTGAACTATACTTGTTTTGAATAATTTTTGTTTGTTCAATTATTGCTTTGTTTTTGCTTTCAAGAAAGCCCTTTCGTTTTAATAATCGTTTTTCATTTTTTTCCAGAAATTTTTCAAATTATGGAAAGCCTTTTTATGAGTCTGTTTTACTCAAAAGGGCAAGCTATGAAAACAATTTTATTACCATTGTCGTCGTTCTTTTCTTTACGATTTTAAAGGGAAAACTTACGTGATCAGGCGTCTTTTATTCAATTATTTTCTGAAATCTTCAAAAATGACAGAACAAGATGCCGATAATGAATCCTTCAAAACTTGTGACGAAAAAACATATATGTCAGAGAGTGAAATAACTTATACCCACGAGACTTATGCATCAGAAGAAAATCGTCCAATGAGCCACATTATGAGATTACAGAGTACTATCGCATCTCTACAAGAGAGAGTACAGCAGCTAGAGTTGCAGAAAAGAAGTGATTTAACTCAAGACGATGTTCAAACTTTGTCTACGAAGAATATGCTTCAAAAAATCGATACTTATGAGCAGGGGTGACGCAATTTATGTTTTTAATAGTTATGAATCATAACTAATGATCCTTAAGTCTAAAGTTGAACCATTTTTCATAAGTCATCCTTAATATTGATTCAAGAGAATCGAGTACGAGCACAGATGTCTTCCTCTTCCTAAAGGCACTTGCAGCTGGTAAGAAGGTTGTCAATGTGAAAATCGACTTTTCATCTCCAGAAATTTATCGTTCAAATTTACCATCAACATATCAAATTTTTCGATATCCCATTACCTACAACGATTGGAATGTTCAGTTCTTCATAACTGAAAATGTGGCCGAAATCGAGTTTCCAGAAGGAAAAACTTGGTATCATTGGATTCTGCGGGGTGTTGAGCGAAAGTATGAGAATACCTTTGCATATAAAATGATTCTAAAATCTCCTGAAAATCGATCTTTTGAGATTGTAGCGCGATCTTCAGACCCTCTCTTAGGAGGGCCTGTAGAACAATTGGAACAAGAAACTATTACTTATGAAGAAATTGAGTTTGGCGAAAAAATATATGTTCACGAAAATAATGCGATTGGGCGTAAAAATCGAATGGTTTACAAACAATCATATCTTCAAGCACTCGGATCACCTGACATTAATTGTTTTCCAAGATTACCAATCACCTGGACAATCATTCAACTGCCTTCTTAATTCAAAATCACCAAAGAAAATAGCGAATACCATGCGAATAAATTATTATAAAAAATTGCATGCTTATTTATCATTGCCTTCTAAACTATGCTTTGAAATTTAATCTCATGATTGAGCAGAATTAGTTGATGAGAGAAGGAAGAAATGAGACTGTCGATTTTAAGATTGTTTCAAGCGGTAACGAAAGAGTGCTCCGAGGTAGATGGTGATTTTGATCGAGGAGGAGGACGAGTTGGTTTCAGACTGTAAGCGTCATGCGTAGTTTTTTCCAGCGCCTGGTTCATTTCCGAAAGAAGCAGTTTTGATTTGTGCTCCCTCGTCTGCAGCTAAAAATAATTTCAGAAAAAGGATCTTTGTTGGTACGAACCTCTTCAAGACGCGAATGAAGTGAACTATACTTGTTTTGAATCATTTTAGAATGTTCCATTATTGCTTCGTTTTTGCCTTTTAGAAAGCCGGTTTCGTATTCATAATCAATTTTCATCTTTTTCTTAAAAAATTAATACATAGAAAGGGCTAAAAATCAGGTTATTTTACCTTTTCTTGCTTCAATTTTGAAATTTCTTGCCTCAGCAAATCCAATTCTTTGTTTTTCTCGATGTTCTTTGAAATTCCATTTTCTTCTTTTAAATTTATCTGGCAAGTTGCATCCCTAAAAATGACGAAAACGATGATAAAGAAGTCGATTTACTTTTCTGATCGTTGTTTTTTCTCTTTTCTGGCTTTATCTGCGGCGAGCGACATTTTCGGTATTTCCATATAAATGGCTGAAAGAAAAGTTTTTGCAAATAAACGCAGCACAAAGCAAACAAGAGAAGATAATTTACTCCTGAGCCAATTCACGAGCTTAGTCAGATGCTCTCTCTCTCTTTTGTTAACGCGGCCAGATAGAGGAAGTATTACTAGTCGAGCCATTGTTTTATTTTCTTTCAAAAATGATTTACTTTCACTTAATAAAATTATAATTATTTGATTTAAACCCTAAAATAAGGGGTTAAAGCAAAATATGGAAATGATTTGAGTGATCAGGGTCTTGATTGGCCGATAGGCGAAATACAAAAATCTTATTGGTTATCGAAAAATAAACGTCCATTTTATGGTTTCGTCAAAGATAAGTAACTTTTAGGAGGTTTCTTATACCTAAATCCTCCTTGATATCAAGCTCCAAATCTTTGAACACATTTTCTGATCCTCTATCAATGACTTTATCTGATTCTCAAAACAAGGAGCTCCTTAATTATCATCTGTTTAAAGAAAGAACCATATTCTGTAGCGATAAAATCAACTTCCTCAGCGATTTTGTCCCGCAACCGTTCTTTCGATCGGATTCTCTTGCCATTTAGGAGGATGATTCGATCTCCCTTGTTGATTCCATCTGATGATTCTTCGAAGCGAAGATTGCTATCCAGCTGATTTCTGAAGGCCTCGAAAGGGAAATCGTCCGTGAGCTGAATTCTGATATTTCGAGGGGCTCCAAAAGGTGACCAAGCTTTCCAGACATGATGGACAGGAAGATCTTAATAAATATGAAAAAATAAGGAATAAATACTGTTCTTACCGTCAAGTTTGTTGAAGTCAATTTGATTGAGGAAGTCGCAAGAAAACGTAACAAATATAACATGATATCGAAACATCTTGACAAGGCTGACAATTGATTTATTGCGTAGACCGATCGCAGAAACACCATTTATTTCGATGATGAAATCTCCTTCTTCAAGCCCAGCAGACTCGGCAGGCGAGTTCTGGTCAACTGAAAAAGATGATGATGAAAAAACTTATCATCATCATTACCTGAGCTAACCATGGTCAAGTACCCCCTCTTGGTCTTCTGCGATCTGATATGAAAGCCAAACTCGATCTCGTCATTTCTGAGCAGTCTGGACGCCTTCAAGTAGAGCCCCTCCATTTCGGCCCTCTCTTCTTCTTTGTAAAAAGTGTCAAACTCGAGCTACTCGACAAAGCATGAGTATTTTATCTTCTCTCACTTCCACGCGTCTTTGTGTCTTTTATCGTTTCGGTTTTACTCTAAGTGGCAAGCTCTAAATGTAAACAAACCATGGCAGAAGATGACAGACATGTTTGCCATGTTAACGCGCGAAATATGGGATCTTCAAGAGCATCCAAGATCGCGGATCACAGAAATTTAATATCATTAAACAAATTATTTATCCTTCTCGTGTATTTAATTTTTTCAAATTACCCCCATCCTCCCCGAGTTAAGGTTTTCTTGCTTTTCGAACCAAAATTCGCTTTATCATCGATCATCCCTCATTCATGCCCTGGGGTATCTCGCTTCGCCCCAATGGCCAAGATCAAGTCATCTCTAAACTGGTGAGTCACTTAGGCGTCTCACTCGCTTTTGTTCAATTTTGCGAGTTTACCTAATCAATAAAAAATCGGCTGACTACTCATCCAGTTTTTAAAACCGTCTGAAAAGAGAAAGAGAAAAAATGGGAAAAGATAAAAATCCCCAAAAAGAAAAAGCTTTTGTGCACAAAATCGATGACGCAGTGGAAACGACTGGAAAGGCTGTTGGAGGCGTTGGAGGAGGTCTTACTGGGGCTGGGGCCGGTGCAATCATAGGTAGAGATATTTCGACTAAACAAGGGTTTTCATGATTTTCTTAAAGGAACGGTCATTTGCCCCGGAATCGGAACAGCCATTGGAGCCGCTGCAGGAGCCGTCGGTGGCGGCGCTGGCGGAGCTGCTCTTGGAAAATTGACTGGAAAAGTCGTCACGGGAGTGCGAAAAGTCGGAAGTGGAGCGCTTCGAGGAGTCACTGGACAGAAAAAGACAACCAAACAAGAGGTACGATTCACAATAGTTTTTTATTCATTTGCTCGGTTGAGGCGAGAGAAAGCCAGTAAATCTGTTTTAAAATTTTGATTTCTGATTCGCGTTTTTCGAGATAATCATTGATGAACTTCTCGTTCTTCAGTGCTATAAATTTGATTGGGGCAGCTTTTCGCCGTAAAAGCTCACTCCGCTCATTTTCGATCGTCTTTATTTCGGCAGTTTTATGATGAACATGATCATGAAATGCATTCTCTTTTCGGGTCATCGAGAAAAAAATGAATTTAACGTATTGTTAAAGCCCGGAGACCAGCGTCAACTCATCGAAGCTTCTGCCCCTGATCTTGAAGAACCACCATCTCGACCACCCCAACCAGCCGTTGTTTACCCCGCCCACGCTCAGCAACCACATCAATCGACTCCTTACCCAACAGCTGCTGATCCAAATGCACCACCGCCATACGCTGTACATGACGATTTCTCCTCCCCTCCACCATATCCCGCCAACTCCGCAACATCTGGCCTTTACCCAAGCTTGCAATAATCATAACATGTGATAAAATAAAGAAAGAATGAAGAATAAATATACGCGTTTATTTTGAAACATCTTTTTGGCTCTTGAAAGTATTTTGAACAAGTTCGAGAAAGACCTTTTCCGCGTCTTCTGCGCTTCTGATTCCAACCGTCTAAAAACTAGAAAAACAGAAAACAAAGCATAAGAAATACCTTTTTAACAAAAACTTTTCCATCAGAATCGCCCAAAAATATCGAATCAGAATGAGGCGCAAAATTAATTGATTTCGATGGCGAATTTAAGGTCGTTGAAGAAATCGGGTCCAAAATCGACTTTGAATAGTCCCAAATTTCTAGCGTTCGATCATTTACCGACAATAGTTTCGTCTAAAAATAAGAAAAATTGAAATAGAAAAGGCATGAACCTGAGCATAAGGAGACCAGCAAATGTCAAAAACAGGTCTTTGCCCGGCGGTGAGGAGGATGGCAAGGGGGTTTTCGTGTTTTTGATCCCAAATTCGAATGCTCCAGTCTTCAGACGCACTTGCGAAGAGTCGATCTACAGTTGGATGCCACTCGATACTAAAATAGAAATAAAATATCTGGAGAAAAAGTTGAATCACCTGTAAATAGGCCCACCGTGACCCTTGTATGTATCCAATGTCTGTTCATTGTACGCGCAGCTGCATCGATGAATCAACCCTTCTTCCGTTCCAACAAGATAACTTTAATGAATGAAGATAAATATTTCAAAACTCTTCTTACGTTTGGTCGTTTTTTGGCGAAAACGCAAGCGCCGTGTTTGGAGAAAAGTGCGATATCTTCGTATTCGAGCTTTTTTTCTCCCTCGTTTTTCGCGTTTTTGGCTGAGAGCGCTTGACCTTCATCAAATCGAGGAATTCAAGACCTTTTCTGATGGTCCATTGGACGACTCTGCCGTCTCCAGCGGCTGAGACAAGGACTTCTTGCTTTTCGTCTCCGCCTCTCTCTCTCTACAATGAAGAGATTGAGGGAGAGATCCTTAATAAACCATACCTTGATCCATTGAAGCCCCCAAACAGGGCCCATATGTTTTCCCTGAGAATCAACTGTGTTCAACATCGAATCCTTTGCTTTGATATTTATCACTAGAAACACATTTTTTTCTGCTTGAAAGAGAAGATTCTTGACCTGAGATTTCTCCACTGTACAGTCCAACAGCGAGATAATTCTGCAATTCAGCAAATGAAACTTTGCAAACTGGCGAGTTGAAGGAAAATAATCGGGTTGGATGCTCGAGATTGGCGATCGTCCAGCAGGCGACGAGACCACGTGATCGAGATTGATCTTCTTCATCGAGAAAACCGTACGCGACTGCGATCAGATCCGGGTCTGTTGGATGCCAGGTCACGTGGTTGACGACCAACCCGCTTGTTTCCGCACAACTAAGGGATGATAATGGTTCGATAAGACGATAACCCACCTGTATTCCCAGAGAGTATGAAATCCAACTTCATTCGGCAAGCTCCAGTTTTCTCCCATGATATCCAAAGCGCTTGAATTTCTGAAAGTTCCGACTTGCGCGTTGTGAATATTTTGCGAAAGGACTCTTTCCACCAACTTCAGTGAATTCGAAAATTGAGAGGACGAGAGAATATTTTTGAAGTTTTTCTCTTGCTCGATCTTCGCCGCTTTGTTTCTGGTACTGATGACCGCTGATTTTGAACTGGCCATGGAAGCGGAAGCGGTCGACATCATCATTGATCCGACTTTGCCGCTTGATTTTGTCAGGTCTTCCTCGTTGATTCGATCAGGCGAGGAGAGTAGCGGCGTTGGGTTTTCTGAGGATGACTCGTTGATGTTTTCAAGGAGATAGTCGGACACTTGGGAGCCGGCCTCGGCGAAGGTGATTTTGTCGGTTTGGATTTTTTGTTTGATTTCCGTCGATGCCCTTAAATTGACGGTTTTCTAATTTATTCAGCGAGCAGGATTTTTACCTGACTCCAGGAAGCGGCTTCATCATCGGATTAAAAGTCTGCATCCCTCTCTCCATAAATTTATCCTCATTTCCTTCTTTGCTCTTCAATAATTTTTCATACGCATGATTGACTTCTCCAATCAGCTCAATATTTTCAACCTCATCATTTGCGACATCTCCTTCATGGCGGAAATAGAAGATAGTTTCGGTTTCCACGAGCTTTACGGAAGTCATTATTTCTAGCTCGGAAGGAGTAAGTTCGATGGGTTTTGGGGGAGATTTTGGTCGCCAAACTTCATCAAATGCGTAGGCTTACCGGACTAAATTTCGGCACATTTTTCTGGCTTAATTTGGGGGTCATATCACATATATTTAGAAAGCCCATGTCCTGAGCTTTCATTTGGGCACAGAATCAAGGGGTCTGAGTCATGCCCCCAAGGCAATCTATGGGACCGGAAGTCCCAATATAGGCACTAGAAGTCTTCAATCAATTTTTTCGGTCCGTTTAGGAGCTCCTGAGCCTTTAAGAACGGCTGGAATAGGAAGCTCAGACTCTGAGCTTTCTGTAGAGCCCATAAAATCTAGCTGCCCTTTGGTCTAGCGGCCTCTAGTGGTCAAAGAAGGTGAGAATATGGGTATTTTTCGACAGGAACCCGAAAGGAAATTGAAAAAAAACCTTCCGGTTCTACCGCGGTTCAATTACTAAAGACTGATATATTGTCTATAATTGTTTTATAAATATAACAAGAAAGTTAAGAAGTCGGAAATTCGACTCGAAACTTGAAGATTCTCGACTTAAGCAATCATGAAGTCAACTTCTAGGGCCACAAGAGGGCGCTAGACCCGATGGCAGCTAGATTTTATGGGCTTTACAGAAAGCTTAGAGTCTGAGCTTTCTATCCGAACCGCTCCTCAAGGCTCTTGAGCTCCTAAATACATCGATAAATCGATTGAAGAGTTCAAGTGCCTATTTTGGAACTTCCGGTCACATAATTTGCCTTGGGGGCATGACCTAGACCTCTTGATATTGTGCCCAAATGAAAGCTCAGCTTCTGGGCTTTCTAAAACTGTATCATAAGACCCCCCAACTAAGCTAGAAAAATCGGCTAAAAATCAGTCCGGTAAGCCTACAAATGCGACGGATCGGGACTGAAAAATAGGTTCAACAGGGAAAAGAATGAGTCATCAACCTGATTTTGCTGAAAGGGAGAAGCAACATCCTCGTCCTCGGGCGCTTCCGACCTGAGCAAATCCGTATCAATTCCTGATTTAGTCGATCTCTCCAAAAACGACCGCCCAAGCGTCACAGATGTTCCTCTTGTTGTTGCCCCCAAATTTCCGCCAAAAGTGCCAGTCATCGAAGTCATCATCGACTGAAAGTTCGGGACAGTTTTTCCATCCTCCAATCGCAGCCGAGGATGTGTGCTGGAAGCGTCGATGAGAAAGAGGGGCTTTGGGGTAATTTCTTTTCCATTTTCGTAAATTGGTTTGATGCGAGGGTTGATTTTCTGCTCAGTCGGGGGTTTCGGCACTCGAGAGCCTTGAGCTGATCCGAGAAGGGTGCTCCGAGACTGGCTGCGGGTTAGGCTCTGGGATGATTTGTCGATTGGAGCTTGAAAATTTAGATGTAAAAATAGAAAATTGCAAGAAATGAAATCCTTAAAACAAAACTTACACAAAAATTTTGAGTTTCTCCGACTCTTCTTAACTTCCACCATTTTCACCAAAGTTCGTTACAGTTCTCTTTTCATCCTTCAGCTTTTAGAATTGAGCGATCAGTAAATGATAGTTCCTTTTTTTTGTTGAATTGCTCGATTCGTCACCTTCGTGTTTCCATAGATACGCGCTCTCGCTGACCGAGGTAAAATAATCGCTTGCCATGATAATGGGTAAACGGGAGATTTTGTCCATGTCAAAATCATTTTGGTAAATTATTTTACAACAATATTGTCAAAAATTTGAGCTTTTTCAAACTTTTTCTAGAAAGAAACTATATTTTTGTTTGAATTTCGGAAGTCAAATTAGTTTTGAAAAATGTCTTATCCCGGAAATGAGGGATCTCAAGATCCTTGGGGGGCATCTGCCGCATCTCCATTTGGAAGTGCTCCTTCATATTCCTTCGGAGAACAATCTATTTATCCTGCTGAAGATCCGGTAGCAGGGTCTCCTTCATGGCAAGCTCCGTTGACTCCATCGTATGCGGAGCCTGCACCAGCTTACGCTCTTCCACCTGTTGCGCCGCAAGCTACTTCTCTTCGGGATCCAAAACCAATTAAGCCTGTCCTTAAGCGTAAGTCAGTGATCAAAAAGACAATTTAATTCTTTAATCATGATTCATTGCTTTAAATTTGAATTTGGATTTTTTGATATTTCGTTTTAGCGAAAAAAAGAAGACGGGAAAGGGAACATAGGTCCAATGATCACGATGATGACGACGAGTGGTGCTGTCATCCTTTTCTTATTGTTATGTGCATGGGCTTCACTTTCCTTGGCAGCACGATTATCTACGGAGTAACAACTGCTAATGACTATGTCCCACCTCAACTTGGCGATTGCGTTCCTGCATATGATGGATATGATTACGACTACGGGGGACCCCCTAATTACTATGGAGGCTACGGTGGATCACCCTCTTATTATGACTCTGGGTAAGGGTTCGAATTCTCTCTCATTCTATAAAACTATCAAGTCACCCTACAAGGGGGTCTTTCAACAACGACCGGGCTGATTTCCATGATTGACCAATCAGAGCACCGAAAAATGCTTCATGATGGGAATCGCCCCGGCCGTTGTTGAATGACCCCCTTGTAGATAAGTGAGTGTTTCAAACCCTTTTGTTAGCTATACTAGCTACTACCTAAACAATGTTCCTTTTGACTTTGCTACAAGTCTAACTAACCAGAGCTCATTGGATTCCCAGACTGTTGGACTTTGCGATGGAGATTACGAATACTCTGTGTCAACAAGTGGAACCTTTCAGTGAGTGAATTTTTTCGGCAGAATTCGCAATAAAGAAAATTAAGGTCTCCAAATTATCCAAACAACTACGGCCCATGTTCTCGATGCACAAATAGATTTGCTTCTTCTTCTGATGGTATAACTTTTGACTTGATTGCTTTTCAACTGGAAGCGTGTTGCGACGCCCTCGTGTTTCGAAATGAGTATGGAGCAGAATTTATGTTGACAGGACACAAACAGACGGTATGACTTTCATCTCATCTACTTCTTACCAATGAATTTCAAGCAAACTCGATTTTCGTTCGAAAGCGCATTCGTTGATGTTTATTTTCATTCCGATTCGAGCCGGTCGAGAAGTGGCTTTTCCATCGACGTTTTTGATGGATACGAATCAAACAACGATATCAACAGCGTTTATCCAAGCCTCAAGTTTACCGGAGAAATTCCGAAGAAAAAAATTCACCGAAATTAATAATTAAATAAACAAGAATAAATTTCTGCGAAAAAAGGCATCTTTTTAAGGACCCCCGTCAGCTTTTTCCTTCAAAAAATGGAAATTTTTAAAAATACCACATTTTTGGTTTTGCGTCCTGAGGTTCAACTTCCTTCAAAAACTTGATAGGAGGAATTTTTGACCAAGAAAAATCAATATTTATGCCAAAATTAGAGCAAATTCGTCATTTTTCGTGAAAAAGTCCAATTTTCAAATGCGATTTTGAGGGTGTTAGAGTCGAGATAGACCCCCAAAAAATGAAACCTCAAAATCGTTTTTTGACCCGTAGAATCCATTTCCGGGGTCAAAATTTTAAAATTCCGAAATTTGATTTTTCGAAAAAAGCTGACGGGGGGGTCCTTAATTCTTGATTTCTAGAACAAAGGAGATTAGGGGTATTTATCCACGTACCCACTTTAGTTAATTAAATGTCTTATTGGGGAAACGAAGAACAAGACGATCCGTGGAAGTCCTACGGTAATAACCCTTCATATTCTTTCGGAGATCCGCACGCACAAACGGCTTCTTCATTGAATCCTTGTCAAACTCCGGTATCACAGAGTCCTTCATGGAACGCTCCCACAACACCAGCGCCACCACTTACACCAACAACACAAGCTTTTCCGGCTGCTACTTTGGGAGCACCTACGGCCATTCAACCCTCTCTCTCTCAACAAGGATTTTGTAAGTTCTTTCAATTTTTAGTCGTCAATCGAAGAATTTTTTAGCAGCACCATCACCACACGTGCCGTATCAAGCAGCAGATAGAAGCGGTGAGCAGCTGAAAGGAATAGCTGTCCTCATAATCATCATCGTGGTTATATTGGTGAATGTTATCCGAGCAATAACTACAGTTCAGCAGCAGTGAGAACATGGGACAAATTATGTTTCAAAAAATATTCAAATAAATTCAAGAATCATCAAATAATATTCTGTCTTTTATTGTAAGTCGAGGCAAAAATGGATGAGCACATGTTTGCAATTTCAAATTTCAAAATTTCTATAATTTATAAGTCTAGAGATCTTCTTTGAGCCCGCATTATCGGAAGCAACAGCAGCGCTAGAAATTTCAACTCAAGATCATCCTTCTTTCACTCATTCTTACCAGAGAGGACCAAAACAGCGCCAGAAAGATAGAACGCCAAATTGTAGCTTCCAAAAGCATCATTTGCTTTTCCAGCTAGAGGCGATCCTGCAATCACGCCGACGGCTTCAATAAAGAGGAGCATTCCGTAAGCAGCGTGGAACTTTTCCTCGCCAAGGGCATCTTGAGTGATCACCATCATCAGCGCATAGCAGCCAGAAAGAAAGCTGAAATTTCAAAGTTTATTCAAAGAAAATAAAAGAAATTGAAGGTGTTGGATATGTCACGAATATCACGAAATGTCACGAAATGTCACGAATGTCACGAAATGTCATGAATGTCACGAAATAACGAAATGTCACGAAATGTCTCGAAATGTCGCGAAATGTCTCGAAATGTCGCGAAATCTCATGAAATGTCACGAATTTCTCTGTTTTCGTGACATTTTTAGCAAAACGGTGACATTTGTGATATTCGTGACATTTTCAGTACTGACCGAAAAAATTTCATTACCCGAAAGAAATGGCAAACAGAATCAACGATCCATACGTCGCGCAAAAGGGCGCAAGCAAAATACTGACGCCAAAGAGAATCTGAGCGATGATAAACACATTTGTTGATGACAATTTGGTTCGCGTGACGATCATGCCGAAAAATATTTTTCCCGCCGCGGCGAACAAACCTAAATGGGTTGTGGTTAGGTTTTCAGACGACGCTTTTATGTGGGGGTGTTACCGAGACTGGAGACTAAATTTGCGCCTTGTCCGTCTGCGAAATCGAGCTGAGAGGCCATTGTTGGCAGGTGGTGGTAGGGAGTGAGTTGGACAAGCCAGGAGAGAAAATCGCTGAAGACGAAAGGTTAGGAAGGAAAGTCTGTTTCGTACGAACCTGAGGACGAGGAGCAAAAATCGCCAGTCGCACCAAAGACTTCCATAGAGTCTCATATTTTCCGCGAAGCTCATTTTCTCACTTTCTGAAATTTCTGAATCCGGTGTTTTCAGCGGAGCCCTGCTTGAATCTCGCGAAATTGCTAAAAAATAAAAGAATGATCGCCTCCGATTTTCCCATACTTGAAGAATCGCCGCTAGAATAACTGACATCATGATCCGGTTTTTTCTTCAGCCCTTGCTGCAAGAAAATTCCCAATTTCAGCGGCTCGACAAAGAGGACACCGCAAATGCAGAGGTTTGCGCTGATTCCGCCCATCACCAGCATCGCGCCCCGCCAACTCAGCTCGTCGAGAAGGTATCGCTCGACCTTGGCCATGATGAAACCGCCGAATCCGCAGCCCGCAGAGCCGATTCCTTGCGCCAGAGCAAGTTGCGCATCGAAATACTGAAAGTCAAAAATATGCAAACTTGTAAATTTGCTTTTTCAAAAACGTACCTTTGGGATGATAACGACACCGGCTAAATTTACGATTCCACTGCCAGCACCAGCCATAACCAGGGCCGCTCCAAGCTGCAAAATTGAAACGGCAAATCTTGCCGCAACAAATCCGGCTACTGAAATTATCGAACCAATCACCACGGACCATCGGCATCCTAAAATTTTCCACATTTCCACGAACAACTCCATCCTTATGGCATACCTAGTCGTTCAATGACAACACTAGCGACCGGACCAACAAGGAGAATGACACCAGTGGCGCTAGAGAGCACCATCGAAGCGGTAAAGTCGTCTACTCCGAAGTCGGACATCCATGTCGTTTTAAAAATACCCAGCGATCAGGAAAAGCTTTATATTTTTCATTTCAAACGATTCTATTGTTTGGCCGGCTTTTTTAACCTTGACCGCTGCTTCTACTTCCTAGTGCTATCAAAACAAGAATATAAAGCCGTGCCGAAAAGACGGTTCCAAAAGTCACGACTCTGCAAATGAACGAAGCGAAAAGGATCACCCATCTGTACCAATGTCGATCGCGCACTTCTTCGGCCATGATTTTTTTTCTCTTGAAGTTCTCGTTCTTGAGTTCGTGGGTGAAACTCGCTGACTGGCCAAATATTTGAACTTGTTGAATTGCCCTTTTCTTCGTTTTTCTTGATATTTCTCGGATTTTAGTTCTGGTGTAGTAAAATTCGTCAGAGCACTATTTTTGTATGTTTGGCCCTAGGCTAAACGTAACATTCTCAGACCGGAAATATTTGAGCAACTTAGAATATCGTAAAATGGCGCAGAAATAAGGGTGTCATTCTGTTAACTGCTCAAAAACTCTTGAGATGTTGAACTTTAGTTTTCTTAAGCAATTTTTAGGAGTTAACGGAATGACGCCCTTATTTCTGCGGCATTTAACGATATTCTTTCTTGAAGAATTAAGGGTATCACTCCGTTATTTCCGAGAAAATCGCAAAGTTCAATCTCTAAACAATATTTTGGAGTTAACGGAATGACACCCTTATTTTTTTAACTCATAGAATTAATTATTTTTTTTACCTTTTGTTCTTTTTACAAATTTTAATCTAGGTCAGATTTGAACTACTCTTTTTCTTAAAAAGCAAATATAATTTTTCTCTTTGAAAACAATTGTCAATTCAGAAGTCAAGTTTTTTCGTTTGGCGGAAAATTCACAGACACATCAGCATTGAGACATAGGTCTCAAAGTAAAAAATGCGGAAATTGATTGATTTTTACAACCTGGGTGGATGAAAAGGAAGATTATATATTTTGTAATATCAAAATTGGGCAGGATTTAAAATAAAGCTTACGTAATAAAATTGATTGTGGGAGGATTAGCCGGTGGAATTTTATCGACGGCGAAAAATTAATATTAGGCCGGTTTTGAGAAATAATTAGTTTTAAAGATTTTTTAAAAGAAAAAGAAAAAAAATATTTAAATTAAAATTTATTAAAAGCCTTTTATTATTTTTTCACGAAAATATTTCATCAAAAAACATTTCAAAATGAAGAGAAAAAGCCCCAAAAAGTCAGACAACCAAAAATAACTCGAGATCTCAAGACTCAATTCTTACCTTTTTCCCAGACTTTGCGACAAAGTAAAAAGCGACAGTTTAAAATCTTTTCTCAATAAAGCGATCAGAAAACGTAAATGAAAAATGTCTCAATGTATAAAACTTTGCCACCCCCATTTCATAATCGCGCGGCGAAATCGTAAATCCAATGAATTAATAATCGACCCATTTTCATTATTTCAATACCTGGCGGTTTTGGCTTGTCTCCGAAAAGTCGACCAGCTCATCACTTTCTTTCCTCGATGTTTTTAGAGGCCCCCAACCGGCGCTCGTCCCTCATTATTAACCTTCGACAAGCAAATATTCACACACTTCCAGGCTTTTTCGACAAGAGATGCGGCGGCTTTTTCTTCTGTTTTTCGTGTTTTCTAGAGCTGGTACGATCGTTTTCAAGTAGAATTTTTTTTTTCTCATTTTTTTTAGAAATTTGCGAGAATTATGACTCGTACAAAGGAAGAACCCAGCTGACAAAGATCATGAGCGAAGTTTCTCGGACCAAGGCGTACCAAGGTCTTATTAACGAAAAGAAAAAAAAATGAAAATTTTTAAGGTTCACGTTGCTGGCCTCGTTTTTCGAATTTTGTCTGCGAGACCCCTTCTTCGCAATTCAACTCGGCGGGGGACGAGGTATGAGCTTTATAAAGACATGCGAAAAATGATTTTAAAGTTGTCGCGAAAAAATTGCAGAATGACGATTTCGAGCCATCAAAACTACCTTGGAGAATATCTCGAGACGAGTGGCCCGCTCAAGGAGTGTTTTCTCGAGGCATCCATAAGGACTTATGTTCCAGCTGATAAGAAGTTAGCGATAAGAAGAGCAACATCCTCATAACTTGATTTTAGGAAGAAGAAGAGAAAGATCATCGAAGAATTCAACCACTTTTGCGAAATCATCGTCAACGCCCCTGGCAGCATCTTTTCAGGCTTTTTAATTCTTCAAATTTTAGCGCATAACTCAATTTACAGATTGCGATGATATTTCAACCCAACAAAGTGAAAAACGATCAAGTTGCTTCAGGAAAAAAATCGAGAACCTCTCGACTTCCAGCGAATCGCAAAATGAAATCATAGAAGACCTACTCGACCGCCTCGATTTACTCGGTAAAATTATTAAAATTTTTTTCTCTTCAAAATGAAAAAAATATTTTCAGGGTCTGAATTTGAATCCCTCCATGAAAGCTTCTACACCCGCCTTGAAAAACTAGAAACAGAAAAGAAAAATCTTTTGATTTCCTGTCAATAAAGCCCCTAAAAACTGGCAAACTAAAAATTTTCTCTAGAAACTCTTTTTTGTTTTTCAAATTTTGAAGGCCAAAGCGTCATTTAAAAAAAAGACTTCAAAATGCGCGGACGACTTCGCAGCAAGAAGATTTTTTCCCCTCTCAAGCTGATTTTATTTCTCGTGTAAGTTGAAAATGATCGAAAAAATAAATTCAGAAAAAAAATTTTTTAGTGTATTTTCATTTCTCTCGAATCTCTTCCCTTCCGAACTGATCAACCCCTCCTACGAGCGTCGGACTTTCAAGACCTTTACCTGGCTGAGTGTCAAAAACTCAAGAAAAGGAATTTTCGATCAAGCCAGAGAGTACGTCGTGGAAAGCGTTGGCACTGATGTCTTCTACGTTCTCTTCAATCTTGGCCGTCTCATCTTAGGAAAAAGGGCTAGAGCGCATTCTAGCATTTTTCAGGAAGAAAATTCTAGCCCGGAAAAGCCATGGTTTTAAAAGACTACATCGCGGACCAAATTCCATATTTGAAGACAAAAACGGTTGGTCAGAAACTCGTCAAGACAATGCAAATGCAACTCAATGAAGAATCTTCCGATGAAGATGGTGAGTAACCGTTGTCGTCTTCGGTCATTTATTCTTCAGTTTCCGGCCGGAGAATAACAGAGGTAGAATTCGCCAAGCAGAAGAAGGCTCTTGGAGCAACAGGAGCAGCTGCGGCGACAGGAGCTTCAGCAGTCGCCGTCAATTTGGTTGGATTTGTCAAGAACATCATCAGCGTAGGAATTTGTTTAATTGAAAACTTGTTAAAAAGAAAATTCTAGACGACAAAGATGATGGCGAAGTTCATCTACTACATCCTCCGAATGGTTCTCATGGCTGTCTTCATGGTCCTCAATCTCCCTCGACAAATTCTTCTCGGAACGCTGACCGGCCTGAGCGCGGCTGGAGTTATTCCCGAAGAATCGAACTTCCACCGCATTGTGCGAAATACGACTTTCAAGGAGATCTTTGTCGATGGCGTTGCTGAAATGTTCCATGTCTCCGACTCGTAGGTTTATTCAGTTTTGCTGTTTTCTAGAAAGAGTTCTAGTGATTTGACGTCGGAAGATTTGATGGTCATTGGAGCACGTGACTCGCAAATTGGACTGAACGATTGGGACTCGTCGGATTCCGAGGATCATAAATGCGCTGATGGAACATGTCAAGTCTGCGAACAAACGTTAGCTACAGTAACTCGATGTATGAAAACAAAATTTTTAATTCAGGAGACCAAGAAGTATTGTTCAATCAGGTGACTCATCGACAGTTTTGAATAAAAATCTAGGAAAGCTTCAAAATATAAACACACAACATCAAAACCGAGTTTTCGGAAAAACTCACTTTTCTGAAGCTTCAAAAGGCCCCTCCGCGGGATTCAAACGAATTTCCCCGAAACGAAATTCCCGCGCCTCTTCCCGCGCTTCTCCGACCGCTCAAGCTCGGCGAGAAACCGTGGTTAGTCCTCGATCCGTCGCTGGAACTTCCTTTGTCACTGCACGAGACATGACCGAGGATCAAGAAATGAATGATCTGCTCGAGTGGGCGCATCAGCACTTCAAGCAATAATTCGAAGATTCGACTTTATTGAAGAATTATTTAAAATAAGGAGCCACTGAACTGCCTAGTCATGTGTTAATCGAATCTGATTTTTTGTAATAAAACTTTTTATTTAAAAAAATTCTCACTTTATTTTTCAGTTCAAGAAATGCCGCCATTTTGAATGCCTTTTGTACCAGCGCAATATATTTCGAGTTGTAAAATAATAACTCGTTGTTGGCTGGAAATATGGCGTTGAGGTTGTCCAGGTTGTGCTTTCTTGGGAAGTGGTTTCGGCCTCCGTTGTCGTTGGCGCCGGTTTGGAGGGCGATGTTGAAAATGATTCGGTGCTGGTTGGATGAATTTCTTTCGTTAGAATTTTCTTTGGAGCGGATCTTGTCCAAAACGTTGTTGTCGTTTGCTGACTTGGAGAGTCTGTTGTGGTGTTTTCTGTTTCTGGCTGCGTTCTTGTTTGAAATTCTGTTGTCGCCATTATTTTTGTCGTTATTGTTGTCTTCATATCGTTTGTTGTCGAAGCCGAAGGATTTTGGATCGATTTTGTTGTGGTGGCTTCTGTCGTTGTTGCCGAAGAAGTGAGACCTTCTGTAGTCGACTTTTCTCTACAATTGCACAGAAGAGTCTCTTCAATCCAGGGCATTCCTCCGTTCAGTTTCATAAAAATCTTTCCTGCATTCTCATACTCGTCTGCTAGACAGACTCGTAGAGCAGTTTGCAATTCCGATTGGTCCAAAATGTACCCATTCTTGATTCCACCCTTGACTCCCAGCGGCTCAAGATTTCCGGAAAGATACAGCTCTAGAAACCAGTTACTGTCGATTCCCCAGCCATCTTAATTATGATGTTTTTGGGGAAAACAAATGGAATTGCTTACTTGGGAATTTGATGTCAATCACGTGATCTCCGTCGAGCAAATGATCCGAAAACTGAGCGAAATTGCTAACAGCAGTGCAAAATCGACTCTTGCAGAATCCACACTTCACATCGGTCAAATCGTCGAACCAAGTCGTTGTTTCAAAAGTGGTCGTTGGCTCGGCAGTTGTCGTCGTCGATGTAGTTGTGGTGGTGGTGGTTTTTGAAGTTGAAGTTGTGGTTGACGAGAGAGTTGATGTCTCATTACCCATTTTCGAGAAGCGATAAGAAGACCAAAAAGACCGCGGTTGAAAACTCGGTTCTTTTCAAATTTTCGCAAATTTATTCTAAATTTAAATTCGGGTGTTTTGAAAATTTCCTGCTCGCTTACTGCTCACTTCGCGATTTTTACCAAAACCATATGTTTTCGAACCCCAAATGCTATTTGTTCCAGGTCGCGCTCGCTGAGCCTCAATTCTTGGGTGGAAACGATTCTCTAAAAACAATATCTCTCTTATAAAAAAGAAGATTGGCTTACTTCCCCATAACATTTTTGCTTCGATTGATAATTTTTGACTGAAATGAGCGTACAAAAAAGACGGATAAGTCTTTTTAAGTTTTATATTTGTTTTGGTTTAACTGACGCGATGTCACTTTGTAAATCATAAGATAATTAAATGGTTATTTTCATCATAAATATGCCCTACTTTTTACCACGTTACATTTTTTTAGACTTTTTCGAGACTTGACTAAGAAAAGATGACTTCTGAAAATAATATTTTTGCTTTCTTTCAGACAAAGATAACTTTATTATTTATAAGCTTCAAAAATGTTGTATTGCTGGCGCTGAAATCTTCCGGACACGATTCTTTCGCAAATTCGTACATGCTAAAATTTTTTTTCCAACAAAATATTTCGCCGAGACCTACCTGTTTTCGTCCCGATCATAAAATGAATGGAAAAAATTGGCAAAAGCGTGATCTTTGCCGTTATTTCCGTCGGTTAAATCTGCTTTACTCCAGTCAAAGCTGGTGTAGAAATCCGGTAGATCCTTGAAGCCAATGAAGAGAGTAAGTATGTCTCCGAAGCAATCAGGAACATAAATTTGCGTTGGCGTTTCTTCTAGAGCACTGAGCCATGTTTCTTGAGGATCGTAGCTAAATTTTTTTGCTGATCATTTCTGATTCCTGTTTTTCAAACCAGCACTTGGCAGTTGGAACATTTTTCTTCCCAATCGAGAATCCTTTGAGTTTTGTCTCGAAAATCTGTGTAACGTCGTCGGAAAGATTTAAAAATACTTTGTCAAGGGCGATTTCGAAGAAGCTTGAAACATTTTTCGTACGAAATGTCATTTTTTGTTCTGAAAATTTGCGAAGTTTTATTTTTTCAATACCAAACCTTTTGAAATATCATTGTTTGTACGGATAAAAGAGCTGTTAATCGGCGAGTATGAGTGGTCTTTATTTGGTTATTTAAGGACCCCCGTCAACAATTTTCGAAAAATCTTTTTTCGGAATTTCAAAATTTTGACCCCGGAAATAGATTCTACAGCTCAAAAAACGATTTTATGGCTTTATTTTTTGGGGGTCTATCTCGTCTCTAACACCCTCAAAATCGTGTTTGAAAATTGGACTTTTAGCCGAAAATTGGCGAAAAAGTCCATATTTCGGTAAAATTTTAGATTTTTATTGGTCTAAAATTGCTCCGGACAAGTTTTCTTACTCTATTAAGCTTCCAGGGACACTAAGAAGCCGAAATATGGCTGTTTTGAAATTTTCGATTTTTTTGGAAAAATAGTTGACGGGGGTGGGTCCTTAATGATTGTAGTCGGAAATAAAGATAAGAATAAGGATATTTCTATGTTTTAATAACCCTCCCTTCATTCACCAAAAAGACACAGCCAAGATTGATGCCGACGCCAATTATGCCTTAAAATTTTTTTTTTGACAAACAATCGTTAAACTGATCAGCTTAATATATTTTGTCGAGAAGAAACGGCCAGCGCGGCCAAAAAGCCGGAGCAATTAATTTCATTACTTAACGAACCCAGACTATAAAAACTATAAAACAGATGTTCCCAAAGTTAAGGTGAGCATCAAAGCGCCCTTTTGCTAAGGTCAGTTGAGGCTATTGGCTTACATTCGCCGGGATCTCCATCGAATTCCTTCTCATCAAAAGTAAATTTTCTCCGGACTTCTGAGTCTTCAGCATCAAATTTGAGATTTGTCAAATATTCTTGGCAAAGGTCTCTTGTTCTTATTCTTCAATAAAGTTTAATTTAAAAGGACCCTTCCCGAGAATGGCGGCATGGTAAAAGACGAGCAAAAAGTAGGAAACAAATACAATAAGAGCTCCGTAAACCATGTCTCGATTTGGAAAGCACGTACTGAAGGTAAGTCTTTTGGTCAACGGACTGATATACATTTCTTAAAATAGAAGGAAAGAAACAAAAGAAGGTGTTCCATTTTTAGAATTTGCAATAGAAAAGAAAGCCACGTCTTCAATTTGAAAAGAAAAGATAGATAAAAGTCAAGAGTCTTGATTTCAGACGTAAATCAGGTTACGAACGAGTTTCAGAAAAGTCTTATTCTGTGCGCTGTAATATTCCGGACAGGATTCATCTGCGAACTTATTTAGGCTGAATTTCATTATGAAAATAACTGTCAAAGAGGTAGTAGGGTTTATCATTCGAGCTGCGCCTAAGCCGAATCCTAACCAAGCCCCCCCGGGACCCCCCCTAAGGCCTAAGTAAACCAGAGGGCTTCGCCCCCCCCCGGACCCCACTTAACATTTCCCAGTCCCTAAACTTAACCCCTAGCCCAGATTCTTGAGATATTTAATGGCTCAAATGATAGGCTCGAATGATAGCCCCTCTCTACGGTAAAAGAGTCGTACCCGTTTTCTTCTCGAGCAGACAATAAATGAAAGAAGTTCACAAAAGCTTGATCTTTATCGGTAGGTCCATCGAAAACTGCTTTTTCCCAATCATAGCTCGTGTAGAAATCTGGCGGATCCGTGAAGTCGATATAGAGTGTAAGAATATCGCCGAAGCAATCAGGAATATAAATTTTTGTCATTTCCTCTTCCAAAAAACTGCGCTTTATTTCTTCAGGATCATAGCTGAATTTTTATATTGTCTTCGACGAATATTATTTTACAGACCAGCATCTTGCAGCAGAAGTATTCTTCTTTTCAATCGAGAATCCTTTGAGTTTTGTGTCATAAATTTGAGGAATATCGCCAGAATGGTTCAAAAATGCTATGTCGAGGGCGATATTGAAGAAGTTCGAAACGTAATCTGCACGATGGGTCAGGTTTTGCTCTGAAAATAATCTTCTATGTGACATAGACTATGTCACATACAGATTGTGTTTGATGTCTAACCTTTGAGAATATCTTCATCTGCCTGGAAGAACGATCCGTCGATTGGCAAGTAAGAATTGTCTTTATAAGGCTGTGAGAATTCGGTCGCTTATCTGCTAAAAATTTCTAATGAGGGTGTCGTCATTTTATTCTGAAAGGGAATTGTTTCTGATCTTAACATAAACAACCTTTTCTTCATTCACCAAAAATACACAACCAAGATTTATGCCCACTCCAATAATGCCCTAATCTGAGGGTATAGATATTGAAAGCAACTCTCAAATCATTTCAGCCGGAAAATGCTCGTCATAAAAATATCGTCTCTTGAAAGCGGGAGCAATAAATTTTATTGCTACCCAGCTTTTCAAAGGCATTAAATGAGCATTCTCAAGGTCAACCTAAGCATCAAAGCGCCTCTCGAGTCAAGAGTTTGCTTAGGTCAGTTAAGGTCGTTGACTTACATTCGCCCGGATCAGCATCAAATTCTTTCTCGCCAAAAGTGAATTTCATCCTTGTTTCCGAATCATGATCGTCCCTCAACGATGACAAATACTCTTGCTTAGGATCTCTTACAACACTCTAACAGTCAAAATATAATGAGAAGAGACCCTCTTCAAAAATAACCGAATGATAGTAAAGGAGGAAAAAATAGGTAAAAAATACAACAAGAGCTCCGTAAACCATAATCTCGATTCGGAAAGTGACCACTTTTTAAAAAGCCTTACAATTTAAGGCCTATTATTAAAATTCTATAATTAGAAATATAAGAAATATAGCAGGGTTTCTATTAAAGGGACCGCAACCTAAGCGATAAATTATCTACGACAAAAAACATTCCAAAAATATCGAACTCAATAACTAAATAACAAATAAAGCATAAAAAACATAAAAAAGCTGATGAGACGATGGAGCAAGTTCTGACGGCAACGCCTCATAAAAACCATATAAAGGAAACCCATCAACGTTGTGTTTCTCAGTCTGAGTTTTGCTTCGAAAAAGGTAAAAGACAGATTATCTATCATAGATATCTTACAAAAGAGATTTTATTGAAAAGTCTAGATTTTGAAGAAGCCAAAATGGATCGCATCCTTGCGCTGAATGAGAGCTTGGTCAGTTTGCTGAAAACCCTTGGTGTGAATGGAAAAGAGATTGTTGTGACTGATGATGGCAGTATTCATGAACCAGAAAAACTAGAAACAGAGACACTTGAACCAAAAAACGATCCAACACCAGCAACTAAACCTTCAGAAGAAAATGAGTCAACAACGGAGACGTCAACCAAAATTTCTGCTGAAAATCAGCCTACGACCGAAAACGCTCCCGAGACTGAGCCATCGACCGATATTGCTCCTGGGACCGAAGAATCGACCGAAGCGGAGCCTTCGACCGAAACTGCTCCTATGACCGAAGCATCGACCGAAGCGGAGCCATCGACCGAAGCTTCTCTCGAGACTAAGCCTGCGCCCGAAACTGCTCCAGAGTCAGAGCCATCGACCGAAACTGCTCCTATGACCGAAGCATCAACCGAAGCGGAGCCTTCGACCGAAGCTGCTCCTAAGGCAGAGCCTCCGACCGACACTGCTCAAGAGACTGAGCCTGCGACGGAGACTGCTCCAGAATCAGAGCAATCGACCGAAGGTCAGCCATCGACCGAAACTGCTTCTGAGACTCAGCCTGCGACCGAGACTGCTCCGGAGTCAAAGCCATCGACCGAAGCTCAGCCTTCCATCGAAATTGCTCCTGAGACCGAAGCATCGACTGAAGCGGACCCTTCGACCGAATCTCCTCCTGAAACTGAGCCATCGACCGAAGCGGAGCCATCGACCGAAACTGCTTCTGAGACTGAGCCTGCGACCGAGACTGCTCCAGAATCAGAGCCACTGATCGAAACGGAGCCTTGGACCGAAACTGCTCCAGAAACTGAGCCTTCAACCGAAACGGCTCAAGAAACTAAGCCATCGACCGAAGCCGCTCCAGAAACTGAGCCTTCGATCGAAACTGAGCCTTCGACCGAAGCTGCTGAGGAAACTGAGCCTTCGACCGACGCTACTCCAGTGACTGAGCCATCGACGGAAGCTGCTCCAGAAACTGAGCCTACGATCGAAGCTGCTCCAGAAATTAAGACCTCGACCGAAATTGAGCCTTTGACCGAAGCCACTCCGGAAACTGAGCCTTCGACCGACACTACTCCAGTGACTGAGCCATCGACCGAAACTTCTCCCGAAATTGAGCCTACGACCGAAGATGCTCCAGTGACTGAGCCATCGACGGAAGCCGCTCCAGAAACTGAGCCCTCGACCGAAATCAAGCCTTCGACCGAAACTGTGCCTTCTATCGAAACTGTGCCTTCTACCGGAGCCGCTCCGGAGACTGAGCCATCGACCAAAACTGAGCTTTTAACCGAAGCCGCTCCAGTGACTGAGCCTTCGACCGAGGCACAGCCGTCGACGGAAAGCCAGTCATCGACCGCAACTGCTTCAGAGACTGAGCCACCGACTGAAACCGATCCAGAGACTAAGCCATCGAACGAAACTGCTCCAGAGATTGAGCAATCGACCGAAACTCAGCCTTCGACAGAGACAACTCAAAAGACTCAGCCGTCGACCGAAAAAGCGCCAGAAACTCAGACATCAATAGATGCGGCTCAAGAAGCTCAACCGACTGTTGTTACTTCTCAATCAACTTCGAGTGATCCTGTCATTTCATCGGCTGAACCTTCAACGGAATCACCTGCGACATCAACAGATTCATCTCAAGATCCTGCTTCACCATTGCAGCCTGTGTCTGTTCAAGATCCTATTTCTCAGACTCAAAGTGAAAATTCATCCAAAAAACAGTAATTCTCTTGTTATTGGAAAATAAAATAAATATTGCTTTGACGTAACTTATATTTATTCGAAAAGTTATCCTTGAAAGGCAAATATTTCAGAGTCGTTTCTTACATCGTTCGATCTTAAATAAATTTTCAATCTGGATAGTTTGTGATAAGGATTTTTACCTGACTTGTTCTTCATCGACTTCTTATGAAAGAGCTCTTTCGATGCCTAGCTATCTTTTATCGCGAAGAATTAATTCTATTTTATAAGATTAATCTTGAAAATACAAGAGCGCCGATCCTTTTGAGAGCAAAATTCCCTTGAGAACAAGATAAACCACCGCAAAAATCGCCAGCGAAGTAACTCCGAGAATCACTTGAATCATCAGCCTCATTTGCGCCTTGTGCTTTGCATTTTCCTGGCACTTCTTTACTTCTGAATTTTGAGTTTTACAACATCAGATTTCTCTGAAAAAATAAACCGGATGTCGAGCACAATGGCCCGACCTACTCCCGCATGAGGGCGACAGGTGCGCGGAGGACTCTGAATCCTCCGAACTTGGCGAGTCCAGGGAGAGCTGATGAGTTGGCGATAAACCCCAAATACGCTAAGCGAGCGTAACACCTGGGAGTGAGCGCAGCAGGGGCGGACGGGATATTTTTGTTCTACCCATGCTAGTATCAACTTTAGTATCAATTCTAGAGGCGAGTAGGAGTGATGGCGTTGTTTCTATGGGACATATATATATCAGAAGAAAGCTCTTCGCACACAGAACATGGATTTTACGGAATTAAAAGACAAAGTTGATCGTATACCTGAAGATGCGGGAACCAAAGATAAACCTATCATTTTTCACATCGGCCCAGGAGCAAAACCAGAAAGCTACGCTTTTTATCTGCAGTACGGACAGAAGATTGAAGGGAAATACCAAAGGGAAATACTGCAAGTTTGTGACGGAAGGAGTGAAGAACCCGAAGCCAAGGCCGTACTACACGAATCTCAAGTCGAATCTTAAGTCCCTCTTTAGAACAACGGATGTAATTTCGGATGACGTTGGAATTTCTAAGCGACGGGAAAAGTATTCTGTCGCTCAGTTAAGTCGAATTGTCTTGAGATCGCACTCAAGATTGGAGACATTCTCTCTCCTCCAGATCCGTCCAAGCCTTACAAAAAACATCGCACTTTCTCCTCTTTTTCTTTCCCTGTTATTTCCCACTAATTTTCTACTGCTTCTCTACTTTATCTGTGCAAAAAAAAAATTGAAAATAAATGTTATCATCGAAAGTAAGTGTTTTTGACTCTATATTTAGATTCAGCGCGAAATTTCACTCTGGAAAAGTTTTTCTAGTTTATAAATAACTTCATAAAAATATGCGCGAAAAATCAGTCCAGCGAAATTTTGCTCCTACGGGGGGTACTCCGCAGTCAGAAATGATGGCGGTGTTTGAACAGAGATTGACACACTTCACGCTGGGATTAGGCGGCTTCGCGCTCCCTTCCTTACTTGCCCACCCGCTGAGTAATTCATGGATAGGGCTTCCGTATAAAAAAGTGTTTCTGATTCCGTTCATTGTTTCCTTAAATAATTATGGGAGGGATAAATCAATATAAGAAAAGGTTTTCAGGGGCAAAAGAAATAAAAAAAAATAATGTTATATATCAAAATTATATAAATAAAAATGGTGATTTTTCATTTGTGCGTTGTCACTTGTCGATTTTTTTTATTTTTTGATATGTTATAGAGAAACATCAAAAACATAATATTTCTTAAAAAAATTTTTGACTGGCCATTTATATTATCAGAAATAGTAACTTTTAGTAAAAAATTAACTTTGTTATTGTTAAAAAGTCCTCCGGAGGACTTTTGCTGGAAGAAACTTTTTAAAAGAAGACATAGAATTAAATTTTTCAAAAATATATAATATTTCAATATTTAACGCAAAAACCATAATTTGCAAATAAACAAGGACAAATTGAATTTTAATAATCATGGGTGTGGGTGGGGTTGGGGACATAACTGATATTGATCAACTCAGAGTTCCAGGCCTTTGTCAAGCCCCTTGAATTTAAAAATCATGGAACGGGGCTGAAACGGCCCGAAGGGCCGTCAAGCCCCTTAAATTTAAAAATCATGGAACGGGGCTGAAACGGCCCGAAGGGCCGTCAAGCCCCTTAAATTTAAAAATCATGGAACGGGGCTGAAACGGCCCGAAGGGCCGTCAAGCCCTTAAATTTAAAAATCATGGAACGGGGCTGAAACGGCCCGAAGGGCCGTCAAGCCCCTTAAATTTAAAAATCATGGAACGGGGCTGAAACGGCCCGAAGGGCCGTCAAGCCCCTTAAATTTAAAAATCATGGAACGGGGCTGAAACGGCCCGAAGGGCCGTCAAGCCCCTTAAATTTAAAAATCATGGAACGGGGCTGAAACGGCCCGAAGGGCCGTCAAGCCCCTTAAATTTAAAAATCATGGAACGGGGCTGAAACGGCCCGAAGGGCCGTCAAGCCCCTTAAATTTAAAAATCATGGAACGGGGCTGAAACGGCCCGAAGGGCCGTCAAGCCCCTTAAATTTAAAAATCATGGAACGGGGCTGAAACGGCCCGAAGGGCCGTCAAGCCCCTTAAATTTAAAAATCATGGAACGGGGCTGAAACGGCCCGAAGGGCCGTCAAGCCCCTTAAATTTAAAAATCATGGAATGGGGCTGAGACGTAGATTGACATTCTTCTTTATTCTTAATTTTTCTTCTTTATGTCTTCCACCAAAAGTCCTCCGGAGATCTCCCAGAGGTCCTCCGGAGGTCACATGATAGCATTTTGTTTTTATAAATATACATTATTATTGTTGATTGATTTGTTAAATTATTTTTAATTTTTCCATGTCTTCTTCATAAAAGCTTCTTCCAGCAAAAGTCCTCCGGAGGACTTTTTTTAAACAATAAAATCTTAATATCAATATAAAATCTTATTTTAGATGTTTTCTTGCATATGCAATTAATTTTTTTTAGGAAATCTTGGTTTTTGAGTATGCCCTTTCACATATCTAAAAATAAAAAAAATCGACAAGGGACGAGACGAGAAAATCAGTTTTCTCATTTTAACAATCACGTGCGTGGATAAAAATTTTTTTTTCATGATGAAAATTTTTCTCCACTAAAAAAACATTCCCTCCCCGAATTTCAAACAATTCGGTCAGCCCAGTTAAAATTTTGTTTTTTTATACGGAAGCCCTATTCATGGAGGTTCTCCCTTTGCGCTCCTCTGCGCTCTCTCCTCCGGCGCCATGCTCAGAGCGCTCTTCAACCTCATTTCCGCTCTTCCACCTCTTTTTCCGCGCGCCCTCTTGCGGATGTAGGTCGGGCCATTATGCATTACATGTACCCCAATAAACCAAACAAAGAAACAAGGGTAAAAATAGAGAAACATGCGGCAATCTGTGACTTTTAAGCTGATTTCAAACTCTTTCTGAAACCACGTGCGACATTGAGCGAGCTCTAGAGCGAAATTCGCCATCGGATAATTCACGTTCTGAGCCGGAAAAGGAGTATGCTGGGCTGCGAGGGGCGACTGGTGTCAGCTGCGACTATTAGAGCGGATTTCGAGGCGTTTTAAAGCGAAATTAAGAGGGTTCTTTTTCTCAATCCGTTTCATACAAGAAACATTATCTCTTTGATAAGCATTGACATAGAGACTCTCTTTCTCGAGTTTTTCTTCTTCTCCGTCGCTAAAATCAAAATGAAACGAAAAATTCTGGGATGGTGTCTGGAACCGACAAAAAAATTTCGACAAATTTTGCGTGGGCCGCTACTCGGCTGCTGATTGGCTGGTAAGTCGAATCCAGGCTTATGATTGGTTGAAAATTTCAACGCGAAATTTGTCGCAATTTTATGTCGGTTCCAGACACCTCCCCACAATTCTACTCCTTGATTTCAAACCGTAAAAGCTTCTCTTTCGTGGATCCACTATCTTTGTCACTCATTGTCAAAAACGGCAGTTCTTGTTGAAAAAAAGGCAGGAAAAGAGGAAATCTCCGTCGCTCGGATTTAAAATTTATCCGCAAATTAAAAAATAATCGTCGCAATGCAAACATGTCAATCTTTAATTAAGGTCATTTTCTTGATTGTAATACTGTGTTTTAAGTAGCAATGCTTAAACTTAAGTGTGGGTACCTCGATAATTAAAATATGGCCAAGAGTATTTTTTCGATGATTCTTTCTTTTGAATCATTTTCTGTCCGATCCGCTTTCAGCCAGATAAATATTGAGAACTCGTTAATAATCCTATTTATTCCACTCAGATTGGCCACGCTTTCTCTAAGAAAACGGTAACACAGTAGAAACCACAAAATGCGATTTCTCTTCTTCTTCGCTCTATTTTTACTTTTTACAAAAGAAAAATTGGCGGCTTCAAATTTTGCTGCGATTAAGAGAGATGATTTGGCGGATCTTGCGCACCAGCTGTATTTTAATTGCGAAAGAAGTACGTTTTTTAATTTTAAACCCTCAATATATCCGTAAACTCAGATGCAGTTGCTCGTCTGGAGCGAGAGCCAACGCCTCTTGAATATGAAATAATATGCAATCAGTGCGAAGAAGTACCATTGTGAGTCAAATTAACTTGCACCGATCATCCTTGATTTTATTATTTTAGACTTTTTATCAACATGGCGAACACTCCAAGAAGATGGTTCACAAAGAGATAAATTCTTTGTTTATTTATTTTTTAAATAAATGATTCAAATTCAAAGCTTTTCAGTCCTTTCTTCTTGATTTTTGACGGTTTCTTCTTTAGGAATATACTGGGCTCCTCGATATCGTTTTTCCACAAATGGGTGCAAAACGCCTTCATTCAGCCTTTTGGTCGGAGCCTCCAGCGGGTTATAGTCTATTTTGACAACAAAAACATACCTTGGGATAAGAGAAAGTAAACAACCTATGATGACTGTCGTGAAAAAGCCAATAGCTCCGAGCCACATGTAGGAGACTTCGTAGAGACTTGCGATTCCGGGTCGATTATCATCGACTGGAGCGTCGCACCAAGGTACTGACGGAAACTCGCCAGTGTTAGGATCAGCAATGCAGGGCTCATAGTTTGTTATATTGCAGCCAGAAATCTATTGAAATTTTTCATTTTCATAAAGGGTAAAATTGCTCACTTCAAGATGCATTGGTTTAGTAAACTCCGGTCCAGGTGGATAAATTTTTGACCCAATAAAAACCCACACCGCAATTCCGATCCCAAAGAGATATGAAATGACTGCTGTCGCCGAGCCAACCCAAGGGTTGAAAAATGAAAGAACAAAGAGAGCCGTGGTTGGACCCCCAAGCATGGAATTTATCGACATTGCAGCTTGCAAGACTCCGCCTAGAATTCGATGAATCGTGAACTAGAAATCATGATGATTACCAAGGTTATCCGCGATATAAGCAAAAGCGATGCAAAGCAAGCCAATGAGAAGCGCGAAAACTTTCGATAATATCCCCCAAGTTCTTTCGCTCAAACTAAAGTACGGCTGCAAAAAATCGGTGACAAAACAGGTGCTCATCGAATTGATCCCCGAGGAGGCCGTGCTCAATGTTCCGGAAAACGCGCCGGCGACGTAGAGCCCCGCGACTCCCGGATAGTCTTGGAAGATTTCGACCGTCAAATATGGCAGAAGCGAGTCTTTTCGTTCGACGAAACCAGCTTTTTCCGGGTCGCAGCATTTGAAGTACGAAAACGCAACGATCCCGGCAAAGAGGGCAACAACACATTGCATGCTCGTCGCAAAAATCCAGCAAGTATAAATCGCCTTTCGCATGTCTTTTACGTTCTTTGTCGCGAGCATTCTCTGGACAAAAGCCTGAGAAGTGCAAAAACTGTTGCCCCAATTTCCCAATACGCCGCCAATGACAATTGACCAAAAAGTATGGCGAACTCGAGGGTCGAATGAGAAATCGTCCCAAACGTTTCTGCCGCCTTCTCTCCATTCGGTAATCATTTCGTCGTATCCGCCATGAAACTATAAAAGATGATCTTCTCAGTTCTTATATAATATGAGTCATATTATATGACTCATATTATATGACTCATTTATTATGACTCATATTAAATGACTCATATCATACGAATAAAATTATTGACTCATAGTCTATGAGTCATAGAATATGAGTCATATAATATGACTAAAAAGTTTTGGATTAAATTTCCATCTTGGAAATAAAGCGGCTTCGACTCGAAGCCTTCGAGTATAATGAGAAAAATGAGCGCGGCTCAAATTATTTTTTGACTGGAAGCCGCAAGCGCCTTCTCGATTTACAGCTTATTTTTTATAAGAACCCTTATTATAAAAATCACTTACCGAAAATCCTTTGGCAATAATAGCAATAAGGCCTCCAAACATGCACAAAATCTGAAAAGAATCCGTCCAGACGACCGCTTTTAACCCTCCGAGCGCAGTGTAAAAGATGCAAACTCCACCGGTTAGCCAAACTCCTGCCCAGACATTGAGACCACTCACGGCTTCAAGCGCTAGGGCAGGGGTGTAAATAACGACGCCGACGTAGAAGATGGTTTGAACGATGAATTCGGCTGTAGCGACGAGTCGGACGAATCGATTGTATCGGAGCTCCAAATATTCGTACATCGACGTCAGGTTGAATTTCTTGTACATTGGGCCGAAAAACTCCGCGGCCAAAATACAGCAAATCAAATACGTAATCGAAAAGTAGAAAAACATCGTTCCAAAGCGATAAAACTCGATAGGCGTTCCGAGAATCGTGATGGATGAAAAGAAGGTTGTCGCCAAAGAAAGAGCGATTGGATAAGGACTGACTTCCCTGCCGCCCATGAGGTAAACATCGTTGGACTTTTTGCGATCTTTGAAGGCGAAGAAAAGGCCGATGCAGGCGGAGAACGCGAGAACGACTCCGAGGACAACGTAGTCGCCAGTTTGAAAAGCTCGAATTTACATAAGAAAAACCTCCTCAAACAACTTTACCTGAAGTAAACTTCGAAATCGTCCCTTCCTGCCCCTCACAAGAAGCAGGAGCTTGAAAAGGCTCTTCAAGTTCCATCTCTTATAAATCTGGAAAAAATGAGCTCTTCGCTGAAAATGGGCAATTTCATCAAAGCAGGAACTATTTGATCAGCAAATTTTGGATAAGGACTGCCGTTTGCGGTTCCTGTTCATCGGTAAACAGTGCACGCTTTCGTCAATAATCGAGATGAACTCAAGAAATGTCGCTCAGACGGCAGTTGTTACATTTTGCTGGCAAAACGGATCATGTTAAAATGAAGAACAGTTTGTTTTCAAAATTTGGGTCAAAAAAATAGAGTGACATTAATCGAAATTCCGCGACATTCAATGACATTAAGCGACATTCAGCAATACTCGGCAACATTCAGCGATATTAGGCGACATTTCGCGACATTCAGCGACATTCGGCGACATTTGACGACATTCGGCGACATTCAGCGATATTCGGCGACATTCCGAAACATTCAGCGACATTCGGCGACATTTAACGACATTAAGCGACATTCAGCGATATTCGGCGACATTCGGCGACATTTGACGACATTCGGCGACATTCGGCGACATTTGACGACATTCGGCGACTATCCAAGGGCGCCCGAATATCGCTTATAAAAAATATTTTTCTGAGGAATTACTTTTATATTTTCCCGAAAAAAAGAAACAAAAAGCAACTTCGGTAAAAATGTAGGAAACTTTCTATTTCAAGATGAAAAATAAGACAAAATTTCTTCATCAATCATGATTTTTAAAAAAAGTTTGTCAGAAAAATGTCCAGATAAAAGCCTTTTTGACATTAAGTTCCTTCCCCCGATTATGGATGATCATTGATCAATTATCAGGAAAAACCCTGTCGTAAAAAAAAAGATAGAAAATTTTAAATTTGGCGCCAGAGATCAACACCACAAAACCGAAAGAAGCAAAATCAAATCAGCAGATCGATTTCTGATACGAAGGCGAAATATCCCCAATTTTATAAAATGACAGAGAATGATCCGAGAAAGCCGGTGGGAAAGGCCTTTTTGGAAAATATCAAGGGAAGGAGTTTTCTTTTTCTAGAAAAAAAAAGCTGCTCGAATTTATCGCGAAATTTCTAGAAAATTTTATTCTAGAGATTATGTTTTTTGGATTTTTTTAATAAAAATTTCGTTTTTGAAATTTTCAAAAAAAAGGCAAAAGAAAACTCCTTTTTAGGACGAAACTTTTTCGGCCCAAAAAATCAGCTTCGTTTTCCGTGGAAAGCTGAGCCAATACAATCTCGGAGACGTTGACAAGTAGATTCTAAATGAGATTGATTAGGGTAACAATTTCGCATTTTTCAGAGAAGCGGTGAAAATCGCCGCGCACCTCATAAAAAATGGAATCGTGGACCGCGAAGTCGCCTTGGTGGGTGGCTTCACAATTACTTCAACGGCTCTTGTTTTGGCGATGCTGGTACGGCTTTTGTTGTTTTCCCTTTTATTCAAAATCATTTTTGAAAAATGAAAGTTGAACTTTTCTTAAACCGTTTTAATCCGCGCTGACGGTGGTCTTTTTTCCCGAATCGGATTTTTTTTCACGAAAAAAGCCAAAAAAAGATGACAAAAAATCGAATGATCGTCCTTGATTCCGCCGAGCCGGATAGATTCTCCTTCATCGAGCGAATCAACGCCGAAGCCATCTTCCTCGATGAATCATCTCTCCGGTCCGACATCACGCTCAACCACGGCGTCAAGGACATCTTCTCCTTCGGCTCCAGCGAGTTCAAACTCATCTCTGAAGCGAAAGTCACCAAGGTCGAAGCTGAAGAAGACAACGAAGCGAGGGAAAAGATCGAGAAATTCATCGACGAAAACATTGTCTTCAACGACATTGGTTTTTACACAACGACTTCGGGAAGCACGGGAATTCCAAAAATCATCAAAATGAGAAACTCCACGCCTTCTGCGAATCTCGTCTGGGCGACAAATCCAGCTGGCCCGGAAGATATGCCAAAACTCGCAGCGAAATTCGGCGCTGATCTTCCAAACGTCATGGGCCACATCAAAAACGTCGCTGCTTTCGGCAATTTCGTCGGACACATCATGGTCCTTTTGATTAGCATGATGATGGAAGGCCCTCACATGCGAAGAAACATTCTCGTTTGCGACCAAAAAGATCTCAAATCGTCTCTTTCTGCAGTCGCCGTTGAAAAATGCGGTGGAATTTGGGGATATGTTCCGAAGATCATCGAAATCTCCGAGTCGCAAGAGTTGAAAGATATTGAGCTGCCGACTGTTTCTCTTTTTGTCGCTGGCGGAGCGAAAATCACAGCAGGTAGAGAATTTTTCTGATAAGAAGTCATTTCTTTGATAGAACATATTCGACGAGTTCGTGCGAATTTCGCTGCCGCGCAAAATGGTCGAAAATGCCATGTTCTCAAGATTTATGGCGCCACTGAAATGGGTCCCTTCCTCTTCCGGTAAGCCCTCTTCTCAAAGTCCTTCGCTGAAAATTCTAGAACCGGGCTTCTGGAACCCGATGAGTTGATCGAAAGCACCGATGGTATTTTCGTGTCGAACCCGGGCTACGAGTGTCAAGTTCGAGACTCGGAAGGAAAGGCCCTTCCTGCTGGAGAAGTTGGGGAGATCTTTGTAAAATCGCCGGATCTGATGCTTGGATATGTCGGCTACGTAGGGATTGTCTTTTCTGATCATGATTCACTTGAGGGTTCTTTTTAGCCGGAGCAAGGAGAGTGGTACGCGATGGGTGATGAGGGATATTTAACAGGAAGGGTTCAAAATGACTCATTTTAAATGATGATTTTGATGATGAAAATTGAGACCAAATTCGTTTCAACCCTTCGAAGAGGAGAACCGCGTGGTCGTCCTTGGTCGATTGAAGGAGCAAATCGTCCTCGTCAACACGAAGAAATCCAACTCCGTCGAGCTCGAAGACCGGTAAATTGCCCCTCTCTTTTTTTTCTTGGAGACAACAAGGACTATTTCAGAATGTACAAAGCTGGCGAATTCGTCAAATCCGTCATCGCCCTCGCAAGGCGAAATAAGAATGCTTACGACGACATCTACTACATCGTCTACTGCGACGAAGCTGATGATGACAAGGTCATGAAGCACGTGGAAGACGATATTCTTCTCCTGACAAAAGAAAAGCCAAACGTCGTTTTTGTTCGGGAACCTTTCAAAGTGCTTGAAAATGGAAAATTCGACAAGAAATTGCTCGCTGCAAAATATATTCCTGAATAAAAAAACGAATAAAAGCATGAACAAAAAAGACTCTTAACAAGACTTCTAGCTTGCAAAAGTCAGCAGAAATCAATCTGGGTCCATTGTCTCAAGACCCTTGAAATCGGCCTTTGTCCAGAATCGACCACTTTCTATAAATAATGTTTGACAGGAGAGGGTTACCACCTAAATTAGAAATTTCATCGAATTCATGTATTAAAAACTCGAAACAGAGAAAAAAGAGAATGCGATTTTTCAATTGGTTCAACTCCAGCTGAAGTTGGTCCGGGAAAATATGACTTGGATGGTAAACGAAAGGAATACGGTCTTGATTTCTTGAGTTAAATAGTCGTATTGTCGTAAAGATGATTGCTTGTATTTCTTTGAAGGGGGTAAATCAGAGCAAGTTAATGTTCTTTCATGGTTGAGCTCATGTTTTAATAATACTTGATAAGATCAATCTAACATCGAGTTTGTATTTTCATAAATCGAAACCGAGTAAGAAAATAAAAGGAAAGTCAAATGCTTCGTTCGGCATTTCCTCCGAGCGAACTTCCGCCCTGCTCGCTCCAACCTTCAGCCCCGGGCCTGGGACTTACCTTCCCAAATCCCAATTCGACAAGATTCCGGGCGGCAAGATCGCTTTTCAAAACGGCCCTCGACTCGCTTACACAGGCTCTGTTGAAAACTCGCCGGCGCCAGATGCGTATTTCAGCGATGAAACGCTTATCGCGAAGAAAATTGAAAAGTCAGCGACGAAAAAAGAGGTGAAAAAGATTGGGGTTGTGTTCAAGGCGACTGTTGATCCGCCGAGTATTCCTACAGGTCTTATGAATTAAATAGGACTTTGGGAAGAAAAATTTTTAGCGAACTATAGCTTCGGATACGAAGTCATCTCTCCATCAATGATAAAACAACAGCCACCACCGAGGAAAGATCAGACTCTTGGTCCAGGCAAGGGCTTTTCATTTGACTCGAAACCCCCTTTTTCTTGCAGTAAGGAAAATCTCTGAAAGCATATTACTCGCCGAAATTGCACTCACTTCGAGAGGCTCAAGGCTCAAGATGGTCGAAAATGTCCGAATCAAGAATTCTAGAAAAGAACCCTCAGTTCCGGTAACTCATGTTCTGTATATTTTTATGAACGTCTAAGAATCAATATGTCAACTCCTGGAATACCAGAAGAAGAAGAAGATGAGGATGACATCACTCAAGTCGTCTTCAAACCAACTTTTGGAAAACAACCTCGCTTCGCAGAAAAAACTGCTGAAAGTCCTGCTCCATCAAAATACAAGTTTGTTTCGAAGAATAATAATAGTCTATCATTTGAAGGCTTGAGAGGTTCGGGGACAAAGTTACAGTCGACTGCCCTTCATCAGCTTTTCACTCAAAACTCGATCGGTTCAAGGCAAAGATTCCCGAAAATCCTCCTGTTGGCTCATATGATCACAGGTTTTCTTTTGGGCTTGATTCAGAGCGAACTCTTTTTCAGATCACTTCTTGAAGAAAAAACTTCATTCCGACAAAATGCTGACAAAGCACCATTCGACAGCTCCTCGGTTCGATTCAGGCCGAATTTTACCTCTCGCGACCTCGGTGAGAAAATATTCTTTTGAGGAGATTTTATGTAATTAAAAACCGGCTACTCAAAAACACTATTGCGCTATCTGTCCTCTAAAGCTAATCTTTTTGAGGTTCATTTTTGAAACGCTTCAAGGAACACTGATTTTTTACAGGACTCAATTTTAGGTCCGGCTACGTACAATCCTCCAGCAAACTCGTTTTCTCTCGCTTCTATTCGGGATGCGATACGGTCGAAAACAATCAAGGGCGGCTTCGGCAGCAATTCTGAGCGAACTTATTCTTATGCTCGATCGAAATCGACGAATGATATTCCGAGGCAAAGTTTCTTATAAAAGTACCCCTTCCGATTTCGACTCTAGCCCTGGGCCAGGAGCATATGACATTGGAAAGGCAAAACCGAAGCAAATCACAACAGGATCAAGCTCTTTTTCATCCCTTTCAAATCGATTCTATTCAATGAAATCTGATGCTCCGCCACCGACTAGCTATTCGGTTGACTATCATTCAATAAAATCTGAGGCAAGTAATTAAATAATCATAATTTATTAACGGTAAATCTTTTTCTAAAGGTGATCAAAGGAAGAAAGAAGAAAGCTTTCTCATCTTCAGTCTCAAGAAAAAATATTTTTCCAGCTTCTGATGATGTCCCAGGTAGAGTTATTCTAGACTCTAGAATCTTCTTCTTTTATTCTTCTCGTTTTTGAAGTTTATATCTCTATTTTAGGACCTGCTGATTACTTGATCAATTCTGAAAGACCGACTGGTGGGGAGTTTTCCAAGCTGATCAGATTCAAGGTAACAAAAACGAATGAAATTTATCTCAACCGTTTTTCAGCCTAACAAGCGATTTACTCCCTCCCCATCAACATACCCGCTGAACGCGATCGAAGAAAGCTCAACACTTTTGAAAAAGAGCTTCAACAAAAAACTCGGCTCTCGACCGGCTCCGATCATCATCCGAGAAGAGCTGACATCTTCAGATATTCCTTCCAACAATTTGCTAATAAACACTGTGGCATAATGAAAAAGCTTTTATCCAGTGGTCTAGTAGTGAATCTAGTAGCTTAAATCTTGCTGGATTACACCACTTTTCTCTCAGATTTGATCATAATTACAGAATCAGGGCGCCACAGAACGCCCTGGACCAGAAAATCCTTCGATATATAATCGCGTCTACAAATCATTTGCTCCATATCTTTCTCTTCCTTCTTCGTCGGGATAGGCTCATAGGACCAATGAAGCTTTCTGGATCGCGTATTCTTCTGTTTCTTGCGGGATATTCCGCGGGAACCCGAATCGACCTGCAATCTCGATTCCAGCGGCCTCCAAGGTCTTTGGTTGAACAAAAGAATGGCTGCAAGTGCCCAGTTGAACCTCGGCCTCAGTATCATCTTCAGGGACAATGGTTAGTTTCTGCTTCTCGTCGATAATTTTTCTGGTCATAATTTTACTTTAGAATCACGCTTAGAATGAAATTTAACTCCAAATTGATCATTAAAAAAATAATATTAAGGTTTCTGAATCTTCGAACATGCGATCCCAATGGCAAGCTTTTCATCCGCTCTGGGTAAGAGCTTTTCCCCTTTTTATATTCTCTAGATAATTCTTTATCTAGAAGAAGCTCTCCGAGGTCAAAAGAATGCATCCCAACTCAGTTTGGCTACGAAAATCACCCGAGCGGAAAATCGAATGATCAAATTCTCGTCATTACCAAATGCGGCTGTGCATAAAAAAGTTCTTTTGCGAACTGTCAAGATAAATTTAGATTAGCCGTCCCTCTTTTGTGCAGGAATAATACTGTGTTATTAATACAAAACGAAAAAAACTTGAAATACTCGAAATGTAAAGGGCATTCTTTGAACGTTCAGAAAGTCACATGCTTTGTGAGCTCTAGAAAAGGCACAAATATCGCTTCCGGCAGTTTCTTTTCCCCACTTTGTATGCAGTTGAAACAAAAAAGAGAGGTCACTCGTGACAAAGTGCTCAATCACTTATTGCAAAAAAAAAAAGAGAAAAGTAAAAAATGCCGCTCGGTTTTGATGCGAAGACAGTTTGTGTTTCACTTGCTTTAGGAAAGGCTCTGAAAAGATTTTTTTCTTGATAAAGAGCTCCTGGTATTTAAAAAGCCTTTTCTAAGCTGGAACCCTCAAAATTGGGCTTTCACTTCGTGAGAATTTAGATTCAGAAGAAATTGCAAAATTTCCGGAGCCCCTTAGAAACCAAAGGAACAAGACTGAGAAGACAGAGAACACTGAGAAGTCTATTTCTTCAATTGAAAATCCAAGTGTAGAGATCCTTGAAAAAGAATTTGAAGCTCATGCCGATGAAAAACTGCAGGCGAAGATCTCAAAAAAGAAACTCCAACGAACTTCGAATCTGAATAAAAGACGAATGTCTTCTCAGACTACGTATATTGTTCTGCCGCGCAATAATAAATAACCAAACGACCATAAAGAGTATTCATTTTCCCTTATTTACGATCTTTTTTATCCATTTTTATCGTTTTGGAGAAACTGATCATCCAAAAAAGGCAACTCAACTCAAAAATATTGAACCATAAAAGTAAATACAAGCGAAACGATAAAGAGAAAAGTAAATATCGTCGCCACATAATTTCAGCGTGAACAAACGCGCATTTTCCCTTTTTTCAGAGAAAAATGGAGATTGAAAAAGAAGATATTGAAAAATGGCTTGAAGGATTCCTCCCGAAATTAAAACGAACAACAAATAGAACAGCTAAGGATCGATTTATTTCATCAGTCGATCGCCAAATTTTTGATGACGATGATTATGCGTTGAAATGGGATAAAATTGGTCTCAAACCTGCAAGTGACAATTTTTATTTGAAAAATGAAAACTGGATAGAATATTTTCAACTTTCAACATATCAAAAAGAACTAGCTGATCAAATTTTTGAGGAAAAAAGGCAGCTTGAGAAAAAAATTCTTGAGAAAAATTCAAAAAGAAAAGAAGATAAGGAAACGAATCTAAGAAAAAGACCGCGAAAAGACGATACAAAACTTGAAATTTTGAAAAGATCAGACTTGGAGGACGAAAATGACGAATGGAAACTAGACGGACTGATTAAAAGAAATGAAGGCGGCGAAGCGATTTTATTGTTTCAAAAATTTAAGGAGGAAGAAGTGGCGATTAGAGTGCAATGCTTCGACCAAGCACTTTTTACAGAGGATTTGCCGAAGGATAAGATCCACTGTGAGATCAACTTTCATGAGGAATTCGAGAGAACGAAGCCTTTTGAAGAGGACGAAGATGAGACCATGCCGAGGCATGATAATGTCATCAAGCATTTCGCCAACATCGAGCTTTTTTACAGTAAAGAAAAGGAGAAAACGGACTGTTTAGGAACAGAGTTGCAAATATTAATTTTTTTCTGCTGAGCTGAGCTAAGCTGACCAGAGTGAAAATTTCAATGAGCTGAGCAGAGCTGCCCTTTTCAGAGGTCATTTAGCTGAGCTGAGCAGACATTTTTCAATGACGTGCTTTTTTTAAGGTTACTGTATTTATTTCTCCCACTTACTACTTTGAATACCCAGAACACCATATATATTTGGAATCAGTGCAAAAAATCTAGAAACTTGACCATAACCGATTCTCAAAAATCACTCCCGGTTACGATTCTAGAGCCGGAAATGTAAAAATCATGAGCTTACGGTACCTATAGAACCCCTAGACAATGGCATATCAAATTGAGTCTTGCGTCATTTTAGATTTGTCTGTGATATAATAAAGGCTAAATGAGCTCTTTGTCGATTCTAGAGCCAGTACCTGATGAAATTTTGTGATATAGCAACTTCTGATTTTTGAATTTTATCAGTTTTTGCCTCTAGAACCGATTAAAAAAAGCTCATCTTACCTTTATTATATCACAGACAACTCTAAAATGACGCAAGACTCAATTTGATATGCCATTGTCTAGGGGTTCTATAGGTACCGTAAGCTCATGATTTTTACATTTCCGGCTCTAGAATCGTAACCGGGAGTGATTTTTGAGAATCGGTTACGGTCAAGTTTCTAGATTTTTTGCACTGATACCAAATATATATGGTGTTCTGTGTGTTCAAAGAAGTAAGTGGGAGAAATAAATACAGTAACCTTAAAAAAAGCACGTCAATGGAGCTTAGCTGAGCTTACCAGAACAGACTCCTCTTAGAGCTGAGGTGAGCTGGTCGAGCTAAGCTGTTTTCTACTGTATTTTTACTAGTAAGTAAGTCCTAGCTGAGCTGGGCTAAGCAAGGCTTGTCCTTAAATCATTGAGCTGAGCTGAGCTGAGTGATAATTGTCTGAGCTGAGCTGAGCGCCTGCTCAGCTCTCTCAGACGGCTCAGCTTACTTAGCTCAGAATATTTGCAACTCTATTAAGGGTGGATAACGATTATGGAAAGAGGCGAAATCAGCTTATATAAATATCTTCAGCGGGATGACATTGATATCGACGAGAGGAAGAATATTCTAAAAGGAATTTTAAAAGGATGGAGTTATCTTCATTCAATCGGCATTGCTCATTATGACATGAAATTGGAAAATATCGTTCTTGTTGACGATGATGGAGAAATGGTACCTAGAATCATTGATTTTGGTTTATGCTGGGATACTGGAACACAAGCGGTCAATCAAGGATTCAGAAAGATGGGGTACATACGGAAAGGAAGCAAATATCGCGTTCGAGAAGCTCGATTGGATGCTGGAACTCCCGGATTTTGCATCGGAACTCAGATTCATGATGGCTATCATAGGCGGGTGGCTTGGATGAATCTTGCAGTTTTTATTCTTTGCGACTGGAAAACAGCATGGCTACTTCTTTACGAGCCGGTTAATCATTTGGATGAGGCGGCAAAAGCGATTTTCAACCGATGCAAGAATATTGATGAAAATGATGAATCTTGTCCAGAAATGGACTTTCCCTGCTTTTATAATCTTTATCAAAACGAAGTGCTGGACTCATCTGATTACACAAGTGCTATTGACAAAATTGAGAAAATCTTCAGTGTTGCCTTTGACAACAATGAAGCTGAACTCAATTTCGAAGCACCGAATAAGTCTATTTCTACGTCTGTCGTTCGAAGCTCTCTAAAAGAAGACATATCGACATGGGAAAGAGTAGGACCCATCGTGGGAAAGCTTGACAAGAGTTACACTGAGCTCTGCGTTCCATTATCAGGAAAAATCTTAAATCGAATCAATTGCATGCAAAAAAACTAACGCGGGTTAACAAAGGGGTATCTAAAGTGTAATATTCCGGTGAATCGTAATGAAATGTATGGCATAGTAACAAATAGTTGGATAGCTTAGTGGTAAAGCACTCGACTCATGAGTAGGAGGTCCCAGGTTCGATCCCTGGTCCCAGATGATTTTCGAAAAATTTTTTCAGGCCAAAAAATCACTTTTTAACTGTTAGTGCCATCTTCACCGCCGTCTCAAACCGAGTCGAACGGTACAGTCGGAGTCCAAAATAAGGGACACCAAGATAAGGGACTTTTTGGCTCAAAATGCCGAAAATCAGCGGCAGAAAAAAATCCAATTTAAGGGACTTTCTGAGATTAGTAAGCTTTTTCGGTTAGCTGAGAGCCAAAAATGGTATCAATTACCTTGATTTCAACCAGTTTTGCCGCAAACTGAAGTAATTTCCATTTCATTATATGGTTCCCTCTTTCAAAAATGTCATAAAAGCCACAAAAACAATGACTTCAGCTTATTTTGCCCCAAAAAATATACTTTGAAAAAATTTGGCAGCGACATATTTTTTGCTTTGATGACCCAATTTAAGGGACTTTTTTCGAAAATTTTGGAACAAAAAAAGTCCCTTATTTTGGACTCCGACTGTATATGTTTCCCTTGAAAATTCTAGAGTTTTGGGTACTTCCGGTCAAATTTACGAAATTCTAGTTTTCCACTGCACATTAGGTTTTCCGCCCCCAAGTCGCAAACCTAACAAAAGAATCACACGGCTGATTTAACATATTGACCAGTCAGAGCGTGAAGGAAATACTTATGAATCAGCCCAGTCGTTATTGAACGACCCTCTTGTACAGATTATCTCGAGTCTTGGGTCTCCGGACCTGGAGAATTCTCATCAAGAAGCGTTATTCTGCCCTCTGATTGGTCAATTATGAAAATCAGCCCGGTCGTTGTTAAAAGAAACCCTTGAAGAATGACCTTTGGTTTTTGGGATCAATACCAGCTACAGTCGGAAAATTATAAATGAAATGATAAAGAGTTAAAGATTCCTCTGAGCTTGCTCATTATTTCATCATGAGATACTAAATCTCAAAGAAGACATTGAAAGTGAAAGCGGAAAAAATCTCTTTTCTCTGGATAATATTCTCCGAATTTTCATTTTGATTTGCTGTCCGAAGTTTTTGGGCGGTCTTGGACACCGCGGAAACGAAACAAGCTCTATGCTGGACATCGAGAGCATTCTAGAGCGGTTTACAAGAAAAACTCATCTTTTGGAAGAAGGTTGGCGAATTATTGCAAAGCAGCTCTTGCCACACAAAATTCAAGCTGATTACGAAGTTGATTTTGGTTCCGTTGACCTGACTTCATTGGTTGTTTCTGAAGCTCATTTTCCCGTATCAGTAACCGGAATGTACTATTCTGAAGATGGAATAAATACGCACCAGCTAATACTTCAACAAATCGAAGAAGGGTATTTTGTTCTTACTCTTCGAGCTGATCAAGATCCGAAAAAGGGTTCAATTCGGATTCCGGTTCAGAACAGATTCTTTTTGAACTCCGAGGACGAGCTTGAAGACTATCCAAATCAAAATATTGATGCATTTTATGGTGATCCTAGCGGGATAGAGCAAGAAACTTGGTACATTTTCCCAACCGCTTATTTCTTGAAAATCGATAAAATTAACAGAAAGCCGATTGAAGAAAAAATACGAAAATTCAATGACGCTTCAATTGACATGCTTTCTCGAGTTTATACCAAGCGATTTTCTGATTATACTGACGATGCGATGCCGTACTTGCTCAATTGTCTTGAAAGAACTGAAGCATTCGACTGGAAATTTGTCAAATTCGAACGAAACTCTGATATCATGCAAGTCACGATGCCCGATGACACGAAAAAAAAACTCAAACTCACCCCAATCATGAAAGAAATCATCAAAGATCTTGAACAGAAAAATCATCCAAAGCTTTATGGACCACCCTTGAGTCGAGAGGATTTGAAACGAGTCCAGTCGTTCTTTTTGATCGAAACTGTTGAAGATGTCGTCGAAATAGAAATGCAGAATCAGAAATGGGAAACAGCCTATATTTTCGAGCGGAACAAAACTCTTTATCTCAAGATTCGTGGCAGAGAGAGTACGAGAGAATTTCCTCTTTCAAAAGAACAGGCCCTCGTTTTCACAGACTACAAAGAAGAATTCCAAGGAGAAGCGATCATCAGCAAGACTTTGATTGATCGAGGAGGAGAGGGTCTCGTGATGGAAATGGAAGTTGATGGAGTAACTTACGCTGCAAAAGCTCATCTCTTTGATCTTTCGATTCTAAGCCATGGGAAGAAAGTCACGGACTATATAATTGACACTGATATTTGTAAGTTCGAAATTAACGAAAAAAACATTTTTTTTGAGAAATTATTTCAAAATTTTTTAGTTGATGATCCTCGAAACGACCTTGTCCAACACAGAAACATCATCAAGCATGTTGCCAATTCACGAATTTTCCACAAAGACGACATCGAGCGAACTGACTGTTTGGGCTGGATAACATTTATGCCCAAAATGAAGCAGAATTTGTGGAGAGCGCTCGAAAATGCAGAACTTGGACCTGACGAGAGAAAGCGTATTGCCCGATCGATTTTTGAAGGAAAGCGATTTTTGCTGGAAGAGTATCGCATCGTTCAAACTGACTTGAAAGCGTCAAATATGTTTGTGACTTATGATGATTCAGCAATTAAAATTGGAGATTTCGGCCTTGTTATCGGTCAAGGCGACCAAGTTCATGGCAGTTATCAGATAAGATGTCACAAGAAAGAGAGTATTTGGACAAGAAAACTCGGATATCGGTAAGGATCAAAAACATAATTTCTCAAATATCCATTTGACCACCACTCGATCAAATTACCAGACACTACGGGGCGGGGGGTGGTGTCTGGAATCGACGTAAATTTCTACGTGGACGGTGGTATGCGGTCCCCTGGGTTTTCAAACCCAGAGTCGCAAAATGCCCAGCCTGGGTTAACCAGTCCCAGATTGTCAAATTCATCAGCCTGGGTTTTTCAAAACCCAGGCTCGCCACTTCTGAGAGTCTAGATTTGGCAAACCATGCATGGATGAAAACAGATTTTAATATGTCTACAAACAGAAATTCTGCCTATACTCTGCGATTTTGGCCCGAGGAACATTCAGCACTAAAGCTTATTGGTACTGGCAACACCGTTAATGGCCTTCTTAGTGAAGGCGCGAAAGGAGAAACAATTGACTAGCTTAAGATTGAATTTTCCTATCGAATCAGGCGCGGAGCGCACTCCAGTCGTATTTTTTTGCCTTCTCACATTTTTCTGGACTATATTTTGAGCTGACAGTACAAATTAGTACCGGTAGTTTAGTCAGGCTAAGGTAAGCTAAGGCCACATAAAACCAGATGATCAGGATTCACACAAATCTGAACATTTTCTGAACAAAACCCAGGCTCAACGATTTTGTGTCCTGGGATTAGAAAACCCAGGCTAGACACTTTTGCGACTCTGGGTTTGAAAACCCAGGTGACCGCCTACAACCTACGTGGACGGCTCCTCAGCAGCTGATTGACAGATAAGCTGAATCCGGGCTTCTGATTGGTTAAAAACTTTCCCGCAAAATTTGTCGAGATTTTTTTTCGGTTCAATACACCCGTGGGGCACCATTTTGTCAGCCCTGTTTCACTGTTAAATTCTTCTTTAGACGACCCCATGAAAAATTTCTCAACGAAGAAAGGCTTCTTTCTGGTACCCCTGGATTTACCTACAGCAAGGCATTGAACAATCAGCCAGTCGCTGTCTCTCCCTTTAGGAGGCTTCTGATCTTCCTTACCTGTGAATGGTTCACTGCTTGGAACATCAATTTTTTCACATCAATCCCTCTTGAAACGATCAAATTCAACTTTCAACAATGTGGACTTGATTTCGAAGTTTTCCTTGCCCCGCTACGCCTTCATGAGAAAGATGCCAAAATCGACATTCTGCAAATGAAATTCGGCCAAGCGACGGATCCACACCGCTCAAGAATGCGAATGATTCACGAAGTCATGAAAATGAACCGAGTGGTTCAAATAAGCCTCGACTCTTTTGGACAACAAATTGAAATTTCCAACAGAACCGCGAAATCGGTCGAGATGCTGAAATGGAAAGAAGATCTTTCAAGACACAATTCTTATGATTTCCAAAATGTTACAAAGCATGCAATCGATCAGAAAAGTTCTGAATTGTCAGTTTCCATTTGTAAGCTTTTTCTCCTTGATTATGATTCATATGATATTTTAAGCTGTGACGAATTTACTACGATATGCAATCAAGGAAAGACTTCGTGAAATTAACCCGAATACTGTTGATGATCAAATGAAGCCGTACACCTTCGATTTTCTTTTGAAAACATTGATATTTCACATTTATCCGCGAAATTTTGATGGAATGGACCTGAACCCATCCCCTAGAAGAAAGTACAAAGGTGCCCCCCTTAATTTGGGATGGTGTCTGGAACCGACAAAAAATTCGACAAATTTTGCGTAGGCGGCTACTCGGCTGCTAATTGGCCGGTTTGCCAAATCCAGGATTCTGATTGGTTGAAAATTTCCACGCAAAATTTGTCGAATTTTTTTGTCGGTTCAAGACACGTCCCCCTTAATTTTTGCCAACCCTTATCCCATTATTTAGCCCAACAAAATATGAGTGTCGACAAATTGCTCCGTCGACTTGAAGAGAAAAATTTCATGTTTTGCATTCCCGTAAGGAATCAAGAAACAAATGAAATTGAATACCCGTTTTTCGAAGGATGGAAACAGCTTCTTTTGTTGATAAAAGAGCAGGACTTCATCGCTACCTCAAAGTTCTTTTTTAACTCAGGTATCTTTATTTGAATTGCAGAAAGATTTTTTACTTATATGTTTAGTTGAATTGAATGAGAATTTCGTTTTCGACCGACCTCTGACTGTTTCTTGCTGTTACATAACACAAGATGAAAATCGAGTTCTCCACGAAAACTGGCATCAGCTTCTTCTTGATCGCGTCGACACCGTTAACAGACAGTACATTCTACAAAGCTCCCTTGTTGATGAGTCATTCCCTGAAATGACTGCTTGTGTGAAAATCCCAATGGAGCGACCGTATTATATGCATAACGACTTTTTTGTGCGAAATCAATTTGTCCAACAAAATAATTACCAATACTTTGACCCAGCAGCTAATGTTTTCATGAAGCTCGTCAATGTTGAAGTTGACTGTGGCATCAAGACAAATATGTGGTATCTTTTCCCAACTGCTTATTCTATTCAAATCATTGATAAAGAATTATATGTGTAAATAAACTCAATGCATGTCGAAAATTCAACTTGCTTCGGAGACTTTTTAGGAAAATATTCTGAAAATTAATAAAAAAAAAATAAAAAAAAAGCTAGTAAAATGAAGGACAAATCAGTTTTGGAGACAAAAGCGGTCATGACGTTCTAGATCTTCTTTGGGCACTGCGTGTAGTTTTTGATTGGTCAATGGGAGCGTCCAATATTTGCGGAGAAGTGTTTCTTTGTTCCGCCCTGGGGCAGAGTGACCAGCAAAAGATTTTGATTTTTTTTTGTTTTCGGGCGATTTCGGCAATGCCCGCAGGCGCGTGAAAGAATTTTTTGCAAGAGAAAACTGAAAAAGAAAAGGAAAAGAGAAAAATTTTCATGAAGAAAGAATAAATATTTGGAAAAATGATGACAGGAATGAGTTTAAAGAAAGCGAAAAACTGATATCAAAAATTTTACTTTGAGCTCTAGAAAATTTTTCCTGAAAAAAATTCTCTCAACTCAAAACAGATCGGACTCCAATAAAATCCCATGCAGCTTTTTCAATTCACTACGAGGTAAAGTCCTTCCCGACTATTTTCTTCCTCGTTGCCAAGATCATTTAAAATTAATTCTTCGAGAGAAGAAGTCAGAATTTCTAATGAGCGTCATTTTCAGTCATCGTCAGAGAGCAGCAGCGATGGATTTCGCCTCAATTCCGCGTCAAGTTCCGAAACTATTCGGGTAAGAAAAGAGCTCTTCCGCTTGCCCTTCATTTTTCCCTCAGCCTTCCACAGCTGGTTCCTCGACAGAAACCCTGAAGCCAGAAAACGAAGAATCTTCGATGACCCCTTCGCGTCAGGAAATTCTGCTCTCAGGGTCCGACTGGTCGCAAGACAGACATTCTGACTTTTCAACAGGCACTTCGGGTTGGTCCTCAATCGATGGAGATTACGATTGTGATCGAAAAGGAACTGGTTCTTTTTGAAAATAAGCGGTTTTAACGACTCTTTTGAACCAGGGAAAAGCTGCGTTGACGGTGACAAAATGCTTGGTTACGATAGATAAATTATTGTTCGGAGAAGAAATCAACAACGAAGAGCAGCAGTTTGTTTCTGAAGAAGTCAAGGAAGAATGCAAATTATGGAGAGAGAATTTTACGTATTTACGGCTCTCTGGAAACAGGTAGGCTTTTTCTATTTTTCAATCTCGCAAAATCATTTAAGAATCTGCCCCTCTCGATCGACTGACGGGCTCGAATACTTCCCCCGATCAGGAGCAGCCGTAGAAGACGACCCTGATGAAGAAATCGATCTTCCTCCAGTCGAAATTCAGCCAACAAAATCTGCCGAATTCGATCAATCGTCTTTTCAAAAGCCGGACATGTCCTTGAATCTCGAAGGAAAACGAATGATTCCAAAGGTGCCAGCTGCTAACGCGACTTATGCCGAAGAAGTTATCGAAAGTCATGGAATTGTGGAAGAATTGATAGCGTCGGATAGAAATCAAATTGCAGTGAAAGTGAAGAAACGACCGAAAAGGTACTTTCATCTGTTCCGCCAATAATTCTAATTTTCACTCAAGCTCCAGCGGAAAAATCGAATACTACCCGATCAAATACCCCGACCCACTAACGCCCGAAGGTGTTCCGAATACTCGGGTGATTTACGAGCGGCCAAATCCTCCCGCTCGAGCAGCAACAGTCCTCTCAAATGCGCCAAGTACTTCGAGACCATTTCAGTCGACGAGAAATGCTTCTAGAGCTAGTGGTGACTATCGAGGCCAGTTCAAACAGGTAATGAAAAGAGACATTTTTCGAACCAAAACGCTCTTTCAGAATCAAGAGAAAGAAATCCAGCTGCAAGAAATGATGCAAAAAGGAATCAGCTCACTGAAAGTCAAGGGCTCATCTCACTCCCTAGACTCAAGACTGAATATCAATCGAGAAGCAACAGATGTTTTTCCTTCGTAATACCCTCACTTTTTCGACTCTCCATAACGAATTCTAGATTGAAAATGAAGGAATCATTCCTGAACCGCCCAGCAACGACACAATCTCGACAAAGAGAAGGCTCTAGAAATCAATCGAGACCGAATAATCGAGTTCCTTTGAAAAAGCATCGTCTTGAACCGCTCGCTCCGAAAAGGTACCCCCCTTGCATTCGCATTCGAAAGCTAAAACTCTCCTCAGTCGACTCCAATCACGCCAAAATTACGATAGCAGAGGCCTTGACCAGCTCATGGGCCATTCTATCAGCCAAAAAGAACTGTCAAAAAGGTCAGAGTTTCCTCATTATTTTCTCTTATCATTTTTTCAGCTATTCGTCGATTGAGAGCCGCGTTTCTCCAACAAACAACACCTCTTCCTCGCGTCTCTTTTCCCGACCTTCGGATACTCTCGTGCGCATTCCCGAATCCCGACCGGATACCCTTAACGATTATCCAATCAAGCACAGTGTTTCTTCGCGACTATACGACCACTCTTCAGAACGAGCAAACTTTTCCCAGGCGAGTCGGAGACAACCCCTGACGATAGCAAATCAAGTTTCAAAGGTAAAAGGTTTACATTTGCTAGTGAAACCCTTAATTTTCCCTTTAGATGAATATCATCCAAGGAATCGAAGGAAAACCGCCACCAAAGCAGAAGTACCACTACCACCACCGCCATCATCACATGTGACAATCGAAAACCGAAAACCTCCTTTTTTCTATTTATTTCCAACTGTCTTCAAACAGCAGACAGTTTTTTCTCAAACAAACCTCAACCATCAGCTCATTTCTACCTTTTTTCTATTTTCCGCGCACCACTTCTGCTTTCACAAAAAATATTTGTAAAATATGTTTTTATATTTTTCTCTTAATTTTTGACAAATATCGATGATCTCTCCTCTTTTTTATATTTTTGTACACGACGAAATAAATTTTTGCAAAACAAAAAATATCCATGAAGAACTTTTGTCTCTTTTAACGGGTCTTTTTTCCATTAAAAGAGACGTTTTCTTATCACTTCAAGCCCCAAATCTTGTCCTCCCGCAGCAGGGTATTAGAGAGACGATTGCAGGAAATGTTGTGTAGCCAGGCATTGATTTCATTTATCGGTGCGTGTCCGGCAAGAGCGATAACAGGCGCGCTCACCTTTTCCGCGGCGAATTTGATTTATTTCCCTTTCTTTCTTTCCGTGCTGGCCGAATCGAAAATCACCGAGCACGAGCACCGCAAAAACGCCCCAGGGCTACTAGTACAAACAGTTGTGAGATAGATAAAAACTGCGATAGAAGAAAAGAGAAACAAGATATTGAAGAGATTATATAAAAACCTTTTTAAGAGAGACAAAACTTCTGTCGAAAAAGTCTCTTTTCTATCAAGTGATAAGAGACAATCAGAGAGAAGAAAAAAATAAAGAGTAATGAAAACCCTGGCAATAGCTGCTCTACTAAACTCTCAATCTGAAGGTATGAAGCATTCTTTTTTATTCGAAGAAATAACAAAGGGACACCCTTAATTTCCTCCACTCATCATTTTTTCTTAGCGGTTCTGGCAGATAACAACTGGACCGAATGGGAAGCCATAACCGATTGCACCGCCGATTGCATCACCCAAAACGTCGGAACATTAATCTACCAGCGCTCCCGGCTCAACTACCTGGTCGACGATCTGAACAACTCGACGATTCCGGAAATTCAGAATAAGACAGAAATCTGCACCGCGGATTCTTTCTGCCCGAAATGGTCAAAATGGGAGAACGCGCCAACTCCTTGCTCAGCAACTTGCGGTGGGGGCACTCGAAGTCAGATTCGAAAGTGCATCAATGGGCAAATTGGCCAGGTTGGATGCCAAGGGCCTGTGCAACAGCTCGTCGCTTGTAATGAAGATCCATGTCGTAAGTAAAAGAAAGAATTCAAAATAAGCAAACCGATCTATCTTCAGCCTCGTGGAGCTCGTGGTCAATCGATTACGACGGCGGTCAAACCTGCGGTCCATTCTGCAAAATGACAAAAACACGCTCGTGCAAGAGTGGCGAGAAAATTCTTGTTGAAATTCCAGCGCCGTGTCCTGGTCCAGCCCGGCTTGACACTGGTTGTTCTCCCTGTGGAAGTTGGAGTGATTGGAGCGAAGGGGAGTGCTCGGAGACGTGTGGGGAGGGAAAGATTTTGGCTGAGAGAGAGTGCTTGACGGAAGAGGGCATTTTTGCTGACGATTGCCCGGGGCAATCCGTGAAGGTTGACAGTTGCAAAATCGCGGATTGTCCAACAACAGTCCCTCGAAATCTCGAGTCGGCATCAAACACAACAACAACGACAGTATCAACACCTACATCAACACCTCTCTCAACAAAACCAGCACTCAATTCAACAACAATTCAAAGCACCAGACCTCGATTCGTCCCTTCCACTGTTTCCTTGTTGTCTCCAACCCCACCTCAAAATATTGAAACACTCCTGGCCGAAGGTACCACCCAGTCTTCCCCGACAGGAATGGTTTATTTTTTATAACCGAAAACAACTCTGGAAGCAATTAACCGAGAAGCATCTTTTTTACAATTTTTTTTCATTTCTACTACCTATCAGTTGAACTCAATTGATCACGGAAAAAGCAAATTTTTATGAATGAGGATGATGATTCATTTTTTTCGAAAAAGATTTCCACTGCGAAGAAAATTGGGAAAAACTTCGGTTTTGGGATGGATGGAAATGCGTGATATTCTTTCAAAACCCCCGACCCTGGGCTTATGCCAACCGCGATTGCAAAGGAGAAGACGCTCATCTTCCGATTCCGCACAGTAGCTTCGATCAGTATCAACTCTACGAGCTCGTTCGAAAAGCAAAGTTGCCCCTTCGAGCGACTTGGTTGGGTTTGAAGCGGAATTGGGACCTGACTTGGGTCGAGGATCACTCGACAGTCAACATCGTCGACTTCAGTTACGACAACTGGCACATTGGCTATCCAGATCCGACAGACTTCTACGCTGCAATGCGGCAAAGCGATGGACTTTGGTCGACTGGAATCGGAAAAGCGTCCTTGAGATTTTTTTGTTTTAAAAATGCGTCTGAGATTCAACTGATAGGTAGACTCCTCCCTCGATTTTTTTCCTTTCCGAATGATTTTGTAAACCAATTTTAAAGACCTGGATGCGCCGATGATAACGGCGGATGCGTTGTTGACAGTTTTGGATAATATGCTCGAGTCGAACCCGGAAGAGATTGATCTTGAAGAAATTGTTGTTCAAGCAGCATCAGAAGCAACAGACACTCCAAAGCTCAATTCAACCGTTTCGACAACAAGAACTTCTTCAACAACATCTCCCCAAATAACAAGACCTTTACAGCAGACAAGTCAAATTGTCCAAAAATCACTGACGTCAACAAGGAGTACAACAACTGTAAGCTAAAACTTACCGTCGAAGTCAATTTTCTTCAATTTTTTCAGATTCTTACGACGACAGCGACAAAACCTCTTGAAACAAATCCAATTATTGAATCCCTACCACCAGCATCGCCCAACATTCCCGAAACAACAGCAGCTTCTGACATGGTTTTTGACACCCCTTTTATGTCGCCAGAAATCCAAACAACAGATGTCCAAGAAGAACTTCCAGACTTTCTGCAGCCGGCAGAGGAAGCAAGTACTGTCTCTCAAACAGTTCGAACGAGGGAGAGCAAATCGTCTACCGGAAGCGATGCAAGGATTCTTAGGGCTTCAGTGTTGGTTCTTACGGTTCTTTTGTCTTTGTAAAGTTTTTGATTCCTGTAAATAAAAGTTGGAATTCTTACGTGTATATATATTACCAATAAGATTGCTGTATTCGGCCAGCCGGCCAATCAAAGCCCTGATCAACCTTGCCGAGCCGAAATTTAATCTGTGGTTCGATTGGTAGTTCGATCTAAGCCGAACCAATTTTTCTCCCTGATCTAATGAGTCGATAAAGGCCAGATTGCTCCTCATTCGCTGAATCGAGAAAAAATTATCGTTCAAAATGACGAAAAAGAGAAAATCGTACACTCGTATAATTTGCAAAATTTGTGGCAAAGAATTAGCTAATCAATCTTCTTTGAACAGACACGAACGGGTTCATACCGGAGAAAAACCTTTCAAGGTAATTTTTTTTCCTTATCTTTTTATTACTTTAAGGGGGAGGTCGTCAATATCGGGGTTGCTCTTGACCAAAAAAGCGGGAAAAGCTGATTGGAAAGAAAAAAATCAAAAAGATAGGGGGAAAGAAAAGGGTTGTAAAAATCGACCGGCGCAAACGAGAAAAAAAGTTGGCCAGAAAAAATCGGTCAAAAATGCCGCCAAAGTAAGGCCATTTCGCGAAAATTCACCAAAATTGGTCATTTTTTTCACAAATTTATCGATTTAACCCCCAAAAACTTATTTTTTACTAATAATTTTAGGCGCAACAGACTCGTCAGGATCTGTAGATTCCAAAAATATATAATTCATATGCGCACTTTATGTACAAGTGGGATCTTGATCACCCCTGAAAATCCATATTGACGACCCCCCCTTTAAGGACCCCCTCCCCCGTCAGCTTTTTTCGAAAAATCAAATTTCGGAATTTTAAAATTTTGACCTCGGAAATGGATTCTACGGGTAAAAAAAACAAACATTTTTTGGGGGTCTATCTCGACTCTTTCACCTCCAAAATCGCATTTGAAAATTGGACTTTTCGCCGCAAATTGACGAATTTGCCCTAATTTCGGCAAAAATATTGATATTTCTTGGTCGAAAAATCCTCTCATTAAGTTTTAACCTGGGGACGCGTTATGAACCAAAAATATGGCGTTTTTAAAAATTTCAACTTTTCGAAAGAAAAAGCTGACGGGGGGGGGGTCCTTAACCCCTTTACGGGAGGTGTACAATTTTTGTCGATTTCGGGATATAATCGCCAGCCAAATGGAACTGGTGAATCGAAATGACCTGAAAACTCTAACGAGTATTTGCACACGCGAGCACTGCACAAGTACCGTTTTTCTCACCTAAACCCGCGCGCTCCGAGGAAAGAAAAAATGACTGCATCTTTTGGAAGTCTCTGAGGTCTCGTTTATAGTTTATTTATCGGTTTTTAGGTATGTAGAATTCAAAAATCGTACTTTTAGAGTGATATCATGAATATTTAACAAAAAAATGGCAGAATAAATAGATGAAAAAAACAGATTCTAGCGCTAAATCTTTCGTTTTCGAAAAATCTAAAAGTGCAGTTTAAAAGAAAATATTCGTTTATGTATAACCTTCAATTTTCAGAAGATTATCTCAAGAGAAAGGCCAAATCGACAAAAATTGTACAGTTCCCGTAAGGGGGTTTTTTAGGCGCGCTCCCGTATAGGGGTTAATAAACCGTTTAGTGCGATCTATGCGAATACCGAAGCAGTTCATCTTGGAACCTTGCAGAACATCGAAGAAAAGGTCGTCATCAAGAAAGAGAGCCAGAAATTCCGAAACAAGATCCTTCAAACCTTTTTTGCGAAACTTGTGGAAAACATTTTTCTACCAAATCTTCTTTGAACAGACACGAACGGGTTCATACTGGAGAAAAACCTTTCAAGTGCGATGTCTGTGAATACCAAAGCAGTTCACCCTGGAACCTTAAAACTCATCGAAGATTTCGTCATCGAGAAAGAGAGATTGAAATTCCTGAACCGGTTCGTTCAATTTGCAAAACTTGTGGGAAAACATTTCACAACAGCTCGAACTTACGAAGACATCAGCGCATTCATACTGGAGAAAAGCCTTACAAGGTATTTTTCTATTGTTTTTTGAAGTTCGATTTATTTCAGTGCGAATTATGCGATTTCCAAAGCAGACATTCTTGGCACGTCAGAAAGCATCAGAAAGCTCGACACAAAAAAGCCTTAGAGGCGCTGAATCAAAAACAACTGAAACTCCGTGCGAGAAAAATAATCAATCAAGTGGTGCATTATCGAATTGACGAAGAGACTTGGGTGCCGATTTTCGACGTAGAAGATTTTGAAGACGTCGTGGAATTTGAAAAATTCATGAGTGGAGAAGTTTAAAATCATATTTTTGTCAATCTGCGACTAAAAAAATCGACTCTTTCAAAAAAAAGTTTGTCAGTGATTTGATTATTGCAAAAAAGCAGTACATGTAAAAGAAAAATAGCAGATTAGCCGTAGAAGTCAGAAATGAGGCCACTTTCTTTATGAAACTCGTAGTTTTTCGTGCCGATTCCGCAGGGATTTTCAGATCCAATAGCAAGCAAATATCCAGCCATTGACAGGAAGAAGACGGCGAAGCAGATTGTTGAGACCCATTGAAGAGTTTTTTCGTAGGGAAGCTTTTCAAAGTTTTTCAGGGTTACGATTCCAATAACCAGGCCTAAATTTTCATGTTATGGTTTTTCATTCCAAAAATCAAGTCAATTTTTCACCTGAAATCGCGCCACCAAGATGAGCCGCCCAAGAGACTTGATATCCCGACGCATGGAGCTCCATGTAAACGGTGTACCCAACATCAAAAACCATAAAGATCGAAATTGGCAAAAAATGAAGCAGCTTTACGAGTAAGTCCATTACGTCCATGTTCATGATTCCATTCGCGATGAAAGAGGCCATTAGCGCGTAGCATCCGCCGGAAGCGCCGACTAGGGATTGGCAGGGGGTGACGCAGAGCGCTAGAATTCCGCCGGTGATGACGCCAGTCGTGTAGATGATGGCGATTCTGACGGGGCCGTGGATCAGCTCTAGAATCAAGCCCAGGATGAGAAGAACAACGCAGTTTCTGAAGAGAAAAATGAGGGAAAGAAACGCTTGTTTTTCCTTTTACCCAATGATGTGTTCCAGCCCCGAATGCAAAAACTGATATGTCCAGAGTCGCCAAAGCTCGGCCGAGTTGTAGATTTTTGGCTTCAGAATCAGCGGCGAATTGATCATCGCTCGATAATTGAACTGGTTTAACTCGCATCCGTTCGCGGGGCAGCGATCACCGGTAAAGTAGTAAATGTGCACCGAAATTATGATCAGCACTTAACGAAAAATTATAGCCAAAATGGACTTATCGAAATTTTCCGCCTGATTTTTGGGAGCCTGACTTACAATTGATAATTGTGAAAAAGGGAATGTAAAGATACGGGCCAAGGTAGATTCCACAGTAGCTTCGCGAACGATTTCCTTTGTGCACCAGCTGAGGAGCTGTTCTTTCTCCTTTTGGGATTCCATCGACTTCTGCACCATCTTGAACTGAAAAGAGACGTTTTTAAGGGGAATGTTGAAGAAAAACAAACTCAATTTAGCAATATAATTTGATTGGTAGCAACAGAAATACATTTCCCAAGGACTTCCGTTTTCAAGATTTTTTATGTATTTCCGAAAGAAATTCTAGAGATTCTTTCTTTTTGACCCGGAAATCTCGGGTTTTTGCGTGTATGTTTCCTTTTTGCACTCTTGCTGCTTATATACCCCCGAAAATTCATGAAGCGTAAATGCAAGATTTTTATCTTTTCAGCTGAAAAAACTCATGGACGAGGCGAAAAATGGGACTTTTTGGCAACGAACGGGTAAGAGGGAAAATGTGCGAAGGGTTTCAAATTACTCTTGACGAGGTTTCTTTTCGGACACTTTTCCTTTCAAGAGCTAGCGGAAGTAAGCGAAAGAAACTCAAAATTCTCGCTTTTTTAACAACATCACGATGAATTCCGTTGTTAAACCTGAATTGAAATCAAGGGTTTTTGCCCAAAAATGAATTTGAAACCATCAAAATCCCAAAAATATAAAAAAAAATTTTCTGAAAATTTTCATTTTACCCTTTTTCGATCCCCGTCTTTCGATCTTACCTATTCTTCCTTCCAGAAACCCGTCTTTCTCTCTTCTCAAAATGTATCTGCTTCTTGGATGACCAAATCTCAACAAATTTCTCGAAAAGCGCTCCATTCTGTTTTCCTCGCTTTCAGGAACCAGTCTCGTCATGTTTCTTCTTTTATTCTCTCAACTCCGGCGACAAAAGGAACAAAGGAAAAAAGCGCCGGATATTTTTCCCTGACAATCTTTCAAATAAGTCGTTTCCAGTACGCGTGTAAATTGATGATTGAGCTGTTTTTGAGAGAGAAGTTTTATTGAGCTGAAAAATGAATGCGCGTTTACGCATGGGTGAGCCGAAGGGCGAATCTAGTGGCTAGTGAGTCAGAACGAGTCAAGGACTTCTAGTGCCAGTGGATCGATTTTATTCGTTCTCTATTGAAATGAATCTTTTGATATTGCAAAAATCAAGTGTCAAAATAAAAATTTTATGTAAAAAAAAAATTATTCAAAGTGTTTTATTGATAATTTGCAGCTCAAGATCTGGCAATTTGACGAAGAATTCGGTAAGAGTAATCTTCCCATTCCGATCCGTATCGACTTTGTTGAAGAATCGCTTGACTTCAGAAAGCAAATCTAAAGAAGATATTAAAAGATTGAAAAATCAGTTTATTATTACCATTTTTGGTCAGTTGATGCTTAATTTTCCGCTCGAGAAGATATTGGCAGCACTCGGAAATGCTGATAAACCCGTCTGAAAACCATGATTCTTTTTCCTTAAACCGGACGAGAAAGTTACCTCCATTTTTGTCGATTTTGTCGAACAGAGCGTAAAGATCCGCCCAAAACTTGACGAATTCATCTTCGCTCAGCTCTCCTGGTTTTTCTTTTCCGTAGTTGAGTTTGTTCAGATACCGGGTCATGGAAGCATTGAAGTCAGAAATCGAGTCGTCGGAGTTTTTGATGAAACCTTTTTTCGCAAGGAACTTTGACATTTCGTCTTTTTTGACTTCAGAGAAATGATCGAGCTAAATTCAAATCTTTCTGAAATCGATTTCCTACTGAAGCAAAGCCACTTTGATCAACATCCAGCTTTTTGAACGAGTTTCGCAGTTGAGGACCGTATTTGATTCTAGCCTCATTTCTGAGACGATTGCCTTCTAGAGTCGACATATTCTCTTTTTGATCTTTCTTTTCTGAGTTTGATTTCAAAATGAAATATTTGCCTGCGGAAAGACTTTAACAATTGACTTTCGTGCTCATTATAAAGCAAGATAAAACGACGAAGACAAAGGTCTCTTTGCTTAACTTTTATATTTAATTAGAAAGTAGAATCGTAGAATCTGTAAAATCCGTTCAGATACCGATCACCGATGCCCTTTCAGTAAAATGTGTGTAAGCAGTTTCGGCAACCATTAACTTCTCTATACACGGGCGCGCGACTAAGCGCTCAAAACACGGGGTCGGGAAAACCGACCACCAAGCATTATTCAGCCCCGCGCGGCGCGCCAAATCCGGACTGTGAAAAACAGCGCCGACTATTTGGACCTCTTATTGATGTTTCCGTCGAGGTCATAAGTTCAAAATTATACTCTTAGAAAGCTTGAACACTCAGCTATTCACTCATGCTATTTTAAAGGTAAAAAATGTTCCAATTTTTCTATAATGAGCGCGAAAGACATCTGTTGTAAAGCGCCATCCCTCTTGAGAAATTTCACGAAATTTCGCAGAGTGGTTCGATTTGTTCATATGAGTGCACATTGCAAAAATTAGGTCGAATGGATTACCACATTCGAAGTAATTGAGGTCCAAACTCGCCGTGGTCGGTTTTACCGACCACGTGTATTGAGAAGTTAAGAGCTCTTGCGCGCAAATTCTGGTAGGGAACTCATTTCTGAAGGTGGCCAACTTTCTCTACTCTCGCGCCTCCTTTGATAAAAGTCGTTTTTCTTATATACAGAACTATTCTGCATGCAGAATTATTTCGTCGGAAAACAGCCCTTTTTCCGACGAAACTATTCTGCATTTTGCAGAACTATTCTGCATGCAGAATAGTTTCGAAGGTTTCCCATTAAGAGCGCGTTTAAGCGCGTTGTTAAAAGTAAAAAAATGCGTGAACTTTCAAAAACTATTGGGTGGATTTTGTTGCCAATTATTCCATTTACCGATTCCGTCATAATCGTCTTCGTTCTCATAAAAAGAGCAGAATAAAGAAGAAAAGTAAATTTATCCGGAGCAGCAATGTTTCAGAGAGCATAAGCTGATTTAAAAGGATTTCGAAACAGCCAGAAAAAACTCTGCTTTAGACTAAGCAAGTTCAAACCGAGAATATGGATTCAAGTTCAATTGATAGTTCAAGTCTTTCTGAGAAAAATTTCACGGAAACGACTCAATATCCTTCTGAGCTGGAGGAAGAAAAAGTTGAGACTTGGCTGGAAAAATGTCTTCCGAAATTGAAGAGAACGACTTCTCGGACTCAAAAATGTCGACTTTTGGAATCTGTTGAGAGAGCTTATTTTGAAGATGATGACAATGCTTTTTGGTGGCAATTCGTAGAATTTAGTCACGACGATTTCAGAATTATAGATAAGGAAAGAAACGTTCTAGAAAGTATCAAGACGACCAAATTTCAAAAAATGATCCTCGAAACTGAAAAATCACTCGTCGGCGAGAGAATCGAAAGATGGGACATCAAGGAAGAATCTGGGGGATGGAAATTGACTGATGATCTAGAAGCAAGATTGATTTCAAAAGGAGGAGAAGCACTTCTTCTCAAAGAGCATTACGATTGTTTCGAAGCTGTTGTGAGGATTCAAGTTTTTGACCCTTTTCTTTTTACAGAAAGTTTTGAAGATAAAGACGTTTTATTTGAAATTCACGTCTCAAAAAGTATTAATTTGTTAAACTTCCGTGTTCTTATATTTTCAAAGATTTTAAGAGAGCGACTGAAGTAAAATCTTCAAACAACGATCAAATTCCGATGCATAAGAACGTTATCTCGAATTTTGTGAATATTGAAATATTTCACTCAAAGGACAAGAAAAAAGAAGATTGCTTAGGATGGATAACAATTATGGAGAAATGCGATGCAAATTTGAGAACGTTACTGAAGGAAGAAAAGCTTGATCTTAAAGAGAGAAAGAAAATCGCCAATGAAATTTTGGATGGATTTATTTATCTGTGGCAGAAATGCGGAATCGCGCATAAAGATCGAAAGCTGGAAAACTTTGTCTTTGCTGATGGAGTCGCAAAGATAATTGACTTTGGGCTAGTAGAGGCAAAGATTGGAAGAAATGGGTACAGAAAAATGGGATACACAAGAAGAGGGTCCAAATACAAAGATTTTAATTCTCTTGGTAAGGACTATTTCGTTATTTTTGGAAAAAAACTATTTATCTTAAATTGAAAGCTGCTGGATCACCAGGATTTACGGAACACTTTCAAATTGCAAATGGAGAAGGTTATGATGCTGATAATCATTTTTTCTTTCTATTCTGCGACTGGAAAACTGCCTGGGCCCTTTTATATCGACCAATAAATGATGATGAGACAAAAGAGATTGATCAATTAATCGAGGTATAGATATTTTGTCAAAATTATTAAATCGATCTTTGGATGAGAGGCAATTTAATGAGGCAAAACCTGTAATCTTAAAGGCTTTAAAAGCTAAGATCTTTTCATACTTGAGGAGTATTTGAATTTTAAGAACTGTGGTGCATCGGAAATGAAACACTTGGACACTCAAAGTAATGATTCTCTTCGAAATTTCTTCAACAAAGTCGAAAAACTTATCTCGATTGAAAACACCTCGTCATTTTTCTGCCTCGATGATGAAAATTTGACTGAGTCGTGCAGAATGTCAAGTTTGAGGCAAAACGCTACTAAATGCGTCCAGCAAGAAATGCAAAATTTAACTATAAATGTATTCGATCAAAAAAGCAGTCAGCTTTGTGTTCCCATTTCCGTGACGACGCTTCTTCGACACGCGATGAAGAATGACCTTCGCTACGAAGATCAGTTTAATGACTTTACTTTTGAAGCGATTCTTTCGACTTTGACAATGATTATTTTCCCTCGAAGCATGGCTGGGCTCAATTTAAATCCGAACGAGAAAGAAAAAGAGTTTCAGAAAAATGAAGTCGAGATTCTTCTTCAACGACTTTGCCAGAACACTTATCTTATGACCTCTGGTTGGAATATTATCAGTCAAATGAGCCCAAAAGACAAAAGACCCATCAGTTCATCCTGCCATTACAATTCAGGTAAACAAATATCACAAACTTAGATATATTTGATTTTTAACCCATTGAAGTAAATCTCAACGAAAAATTCATTTTCACTCGACCATTAACTGTAACCGGCGCTTACTTATATCCTTCCGGTGAAATTCTCTTCCACCAAATGACCCTAGACAGAATTGAAAACGACGAGTACATGCTTCAGAACAACGATTTCAAGGAACACTCTCCAGGTTAATATTTTTTTCTTCAATCTGATCAAATATTTTAAAGTTCTTCGAATTCCCCTCAAGAACCCATATTATGCCGCTTATGAGTATTTCTGTGATATCTATTTCAAAACCCAATGCAATTTATACGAAGACGATGAAATCAAGCTACAAATCGTGAATGATGAATACGGAAACATGGATGAGAATACTTGGTATCTTCTTCCTGAAGCATACACCCTCGAACTCATCCCAACTTTTCCCATTGAGGATGTTATTAAAGTCAAAAGCAATGCAAAAGATCTCGCCGATAATTTGAAAGCGGTAAGAAATTGGATAAGAAAATATTTTCATCAAGAATCACAAACAAAGTTTCATGTACTTAGATGGGATTCGAAAATCAAGCAATTTGTGATGCGGTCTCCTGTTGCAAGGGGGATATTGTCAACGCAGTCGACTTGCTGATGGCAGCCACGATAAATGGCGAAAATAAGAATTCGATTTTGTAAAACTTAAAAAATTCGTATCAGTTTATGCTCCTTATATGCTTGTCTCGACACCAAAAAAATCACTAATTGGAAATAACACTCAAATTTTTAATGGGCGAAAAAGTTGTCACTGTTCAATTTCAGAAATTAGGTTGTCAAGGCCGGTTCTCCACGAATCATCTTTTTCTTCTTCCGATTCGAACTTTTTTGATTTGGCAAAGTCAATAAGCTTGAGCCTCAGGGTTTGAGAATCAGCAATGAAAAGTAAGCTGCAACCAATAAGCTAAAAATTCCAGTCAAAATTTTAAATTCTATATTCTTTTTCACCTGGTGATTTTTGAGATATGAAGAATCTGTAACTGCTTGTCTCAAATTTTTGAGCTTTTCAAGAACCTCGCTTTTTTCCAGCTTGTTTCCATCGACGAATTTTCCAAAATTTTCAAGCGCCGAATCTTTCGACATTCGCTGAAGCTCAATTTTCTCCGGTTTCTGAAAGGTTGATTCGACGTCTTTTGAAAAAGAAATTCCCTCGATTCTGAAGCCGTACATCGATGTTGTTGACAGATCATCGCGGAATTGAAGGTAGCGGGATTTTGTCACAGTGCCTGAGGAGAGCTCTTCGGGAGTGAGGGAGGTAGGGTCGAGTTTTTGCATTTTGGAAAAGAGATCTGCTCGCTCGGCGTTGTTTTTTGGATCATGGATGAAGGTCTTCTTCCCGAGCTAAAAAAATGATGACTTCATTTCAATCAGGGTCATCAAATACAGTAAAAAATTATTCTTTTGATCTACCTTAATGTCCATTACAGAAGGAGATTGGCAATCCTCCGTGAGATTTTCTAGCTCCAGATACTTCGATCCCGAAATTTCCCTTATTCCGTAAAACTCCGCTGTGTAAGGTCGAAGAGGATCATCTGACGGCAAATTTGACAAAAACTCTGGCTCGTTTGAGTTTTCTTCGTGAAAGATCTGAATTGTCAAGAATTCGTTTCGATCAAACTTTACCTTCAAAAGATGGCCATTTTTTGCTTTCAAAATTCCTCCAGAGTGACCAGCAGCTCCGGCAAAGCTTTCAAGATCGCTCATCCTTAATTTTTAATTGAATTTTATACCTTTTTTTTTTCTCGTTACTTGAAAAATAATCCTCTCTTTTTCGCTTTCTTTGAGTCTACTAATGAAAAACAAGCAATAAATGGCTCGAAATTTACGAGTTCTTTTTATTAGGTCTTTTTTCTTGACTCCGAATGTCGTTAATGACCTTTCGTCGTTTTTTTCTTTAATTAATTTTTGCTGAAAATCACCTGGTTCTGATTTTTCGCTTTTTAAAAATCGTTTCTTTCGCCCCGTCAATTTTTATTTTCCTCTTTCGATAGGTCGACGAGTCCTGTCTCATATCTTTCAGCTTTGTCTTATCAGATGCTCCTTTCATTCTCAAGAAAAGGATGCAGAAAGAAAAGATAGAAAATTGCTTGTCTTGTGCAAAATTTGCTGTACGTACTAGATAGGGAACGTGACTGTTTGCAGAGGGACCTCATAATATCCGTTGCCGTCACAAATGTCTAATAAAATGCCGCACTGACGTTTTATTCACTTCGGTAACTTTTCAGTCATAAAAACATGCAAAAACGCTCGATCATCAAGCGCTCCTTATTTTCGAAAAAAAAGAAACATTTTTAAGATGAAAAATACTTACGAGTTGGCTTTGATCTTCGTTTTTTTTCTCTCTTTTGACGTAAAAAAATCTCTGATTCCCAATTATCGATTAATAAAAAAATGATGCGTTGATACTCAAATCAAAAGCGAAAAAGCGGGAGAGCACGCCTGGGCAGGGCTCTTAATTTGAGGCAAAAATCAAAAGTCCGGTCTGTCCAGGTCCGGGCACTTGGCCGAAATTTACAAGTCTGGTCTGTCCAGGTACGAATTGGAAAACCCGGACTTTAAGTCTGGTCTAGTCTGGGAAAAGTCCGAAAAAGTCTGGTCCGAGAAAAAAGACGAAAAATCCGGTCTGGTCTGGTCTAGTCCGAAAAAATCCGAAAATTTTTCGTATAAAATACAACAAAAACTCGATTTTTTCTTCGAAAATTTTTCGAATTGAAAAACTTAGGTATTATTTTCGAAATAAATTCGAATTAGAAAAATCGTAACTTACTCATCAGCAGAGTTGCAAATTTTCGATAGTTTTTTCTAAGCTGAGCTAGCTGAGCTGAGGTCGAAATTGAGCTGAGCTGAGCTGAATTTTTTCAAAAAAATTGCTGAGCTGAGAAAGCTGAATTTTATTTAGTGGTTCGATCTTGGTCAGCTCAGTAGACTGAGCTGAGCTGGCTCTTTTCGAAAAACTATTGAGCTGAGCTGAGCTGAGCCGACCCTAACCTCAAAATTGCTGAGCTAGCTCACAAAATTTGCAACTCTGCTCATCAGAAATTTAACAACGAAGATTCAAGATTTGGTTCTAGAGAAAAATGAGTTTTTCTTAGAAAAATGAAGACTTTTCGGACTTTTTCGTACTTAACTGGTCTGAAAATAAGTCTCTAAGTAGTCTGGAAGTGGTTTAGTCTTCTCGGACTTTCTCGGACTTCTCGGACTTTTTCGGACTAAGTCCGGGGACAAAGCCAAGTCTGGTCCGGTCTAGTCCGAAAATTTTCTCAGCCAAAAATCAGAAGTCTGGTCCGTCCGGCCGGACTAGACCGGACGGACTTCGGACTAAGTCCGAGCCCGGACTAGTCCATTTAGGGCCCTGCGCCTGGGAAAAGGCGATGACTCATCCCTTGAATATCGACCAGGCAAAGTAATTGTTCAACTTGAACTTGGGCCTTGACTTTTTAACTTACCGATTTTTTTTTCGGCTTTTTTCGCTTTTTTTCTTTCTCTCTTTTTTTTTTCGCTGAAAGTTGAGCGCAAAAAAGTGCACTGGTCAAACACTTAAAAATTAACGAAGATTAAGGCTCAGCGGTTAATAATAGCGGCCGTCTTGAGATCCCGCTTCAGGCGAGCTTTAGTGTCTGTCTTTTATCATGATCTTGGCAGCTTTGACAACAACGAGGAAAGATCGTTTCAGCCGGCACAGAAAGTTGAGATTTGCAAGTTTGAATCGCAAATTCTCTAAAAATGATAGTTGTTGTTAGTAAAATTACTCGAAAGAAAATTAGTTCAAAATGTCTTATTTTAATAATACCGATGGATCGAGCAACGATCCTTGGGGGTCATACGGAAATGACACCTCTTATTCATTCGGAGATCAATCGACTCCAGCTTATCCGACTCAAGATAATACCGCACCATCATTTACCCCAGCACCTGCTCCGACTTTTTCTGCAATGAATTCGACTCCACAGAGTACTGATACTCAATTTGCTTCTTCTTTTGCTCAAGCAGCGCCAATGGCACAAAACACAGGTAAAGATGATTACAGTTTTTTTCCTCTTTTATGCACCCCAATTTTGTGGACATTTTCTTTATTTTAAGGGTTTTTAAGGGACACTTTTGTATGGATAATATTCCACTTTTGTGGACATTTATCCAGCCGAGTAAATTTAAGAGGAAGAGAAACTGTGTAAATTGACCAAAAATGGTAAAACAGGCAAAAAAAAAGTCGTTTCGATGATAAAATTTGCCATTTTTCGAAGAAAAAATTAGCGTAAAAAATTTTAAGGCCCTACGGCGTGACATTTTTTGAAGACTCTTGCCCACTTTTGTGGACATTTTTATGAAAATTTGGGACAAAAAATGTCCACAAAAAAGGAAAATAACTGTATTCTTTTATTGTCGTGGGTAATTAAAGCTTCATTCTAGCTATGCCAGCCCAAGCTCTGCCGATGGAAGCCCCGAATCACAATATTCGCGGATTGGGAGATGGAAAGAACAACGACAATCGATGGAAAATATACCTAACTCTTTGCAATCTCGTTATCTTAGTGTTCTTTATCTTGCCGACTGTGATAATGGATGGAAAGAATCACCAAGAAACGACCACATCTGGAACAACAACTACTTCAACTCCGAATGCCGGAATTGTTTTTTGCGGCTCGAGTCCTAGATTGGGTTTGGAAGATGATTTTCGTTTTAATTTTCATAGAGCTCAATTTTCGGTCCTCCAAAAAGTCAGTCCTGCGCCAATATCATTGCTCCTACAACAACCTCTTTTGCGACTACTTTTTCAAATCGCGGTTCAATCGATGGCTCGTACGCAAATTTTGACGATTACGACGCCGATGCAAAAGAATATTCGGTTTCTTCCTCGGGCAACGCTATGTTAGTAGACTAAATTTTTATCGAGCAAATTAATATGTTTTCAGATCTTTGTATTATGGAATCAGTGGCTACGGAACTGGTGGCTACGCTCCGAACACCGAGAAGAGCAATCGGTTTACTTCGACTTCTGATGGAATCACATTCGACTTTGCCTTCTTTCAAGTCGATACTGGCGGCGACTTCTTGGTCTTCCGAACACAAGATGGCCAAAAGTATTTTTTCACAGGCGACTTGACGGTAAATCAGGACCTTTTTCTAGAGAGAAAAAATTTTGAATTCAGGGAACTCGATTTTCGTTTTCTTCATCATACGTCGATGTTCATTTCACGACCGATGGAAACGATCAAGAGGTTGGATTTGATGTTCAAATCATTAATGGATATCAAGCGAATAACGACATATCAAATCTTCAAGTTTAAAAATGCAAGAATACTTTTTCTGATCAAGAAAATGGGGAGGTGTATGGAACCGACAAAAATTTCGACAAATTTCGCGTGGTAATTTTCAACCAATCAGAAACCTGGATTCGGCTCATCGGCTAATCAGCAGCCGAGAAGCCGCCCACGCAAAATTTGTCGAAATTTTTTGTCGCTCCCAGACACCATCCCAAGAAAATGAGTCATATGTACAAATAGTATAATTATCAAGCTGAAAGAAATTTACAATAAAAATAAGGCAGTGATAAAAACCACAATTGTGGAAAAAAAATTTCTTGCAGAATTGAAGCCGATTTCAATCAGCATTTCTTCGAATCGCTCATTCGATTTCGGCACAGCGAGATTGCAGATTTCCCCCTCGCAGCATTCTTTGCAGGTCTGAAAAAAGGAGCTTTGAGTTTTGGAATTTATCTGTTCTGTCAAAGGCCCGTCAAGTGTGGAGCAGGTGAACGTGTCAGCCGGGGCAGTGAGCGATTAGGTTGAGAAATTTGAGCGCGCACTTTGGAACACTTGTTTCTTTGAAAGTTGATACCTTTTTACATGATTACCGACTTGTTTGCGACTTGATGGATGGTGATTTGGGCAAATGGGGAGCAAGAAAGATTGACAGAGCAGAAAATAAATGAAGATTGTCAACAAAAAAATATTATAATTTTTTGATTAATTATTCAATAAATTATTAAGATTTTTAAGTTTATATTGAATAAATTATTTTAAAATAAAATATATAATCACCATTAAATATTTTTTGTTTCTTAAAATTACGAATCTCTTATTCTTAAAATTTTAATAAATTTATATATTAAAAAAATATTGAGCCGTTCCGTTGACCACTTCTTATTATTAGGATTTATTAAAAAAATGTGAATAATTAAAACTCACAGCTCTATTTTTTTATCTTATCCTCGAATTTTCGAAATTTCCTCTTTTTTTTTTTAATTGGTAGCCTAAATTGACAGGGTGCTCGCGTTTAGCCGCTGCTTCTGACAGCTCCACCTGGCTTGTTGAAAATTTTGACAAATTTGGACAGGCGCACTTTTCGAGAGGAAAAAAATTTTCCCGAAACATCCGAGCTGATCACTCAAGTACTCAACGAAAAAAATCAGAGCTCAATTGGATCATTTTCGTCTTGTTTCGCCGCGAAATCGGAGCCGCGGCCCGGTGGCCAGATAGTTTTGGAAATTCCCTTATTATAGTGTCGAGTTTCACAAAAGCGCGTTTTTGAAAGCGAAAAGTACCGGAAAAAATACGACTGAAGATTAAAAAAATTTTAGCGATTGTTGGCGAGGGTCCAAATTGTAGTTTTGTAGTAGGAAATGTGTATTGAAATGTCAAGGTCTTTATACCCCCGATGAGCGAAAGCAGTAAATATTTAGCAGCTCGGAGATTTTAATGACCAAAAAGGGGATCAAACGGAGAACGTTTTAAGGGTCATTTGAAATCGTCAAAGAAAGGGGGGGATTTTAAATGTTGATTTTCGGGGGAAAAACGAGAAAAAGAGGTGATTTTCTGGATCAGGGTTTTGATTGGTCGGTAGGCCAAATACAGCAATCTTATTGGTAATTCAAAAATTCACTTCATTTTCCCCGAAATAGGGCACAAACCAAGAAAAAAGAAGCATTTTTGACAGACCAATAAGATTGCTGTATTTGGCCTACCGACCAATCAAATTCCAGATCCAGAAAATCATTTTATTTTTTTCGATTCTGCCCCGAAGAAAGGGGGGATTTCATGTTGTTGATTTTCGAGGCGAAAATCTGTTTTTTTTGTACTTACAGTGAGTCCAGTGATGGGATCAGTGTGGCATCCTAGCTGCTCCTGGTGGCACTTGTTTCGTGTCATGCAGCTCTTGCGGACTCTAATCGAATCTGTTTCTCCCGAAAAGACATGTTCGGTAAAGCAGAACTCCGTCTCTGAATTTTGACATTGAAATTCGAAAAGAAAGAAAAGAGCCTGTTTATAGCGAAAACGAAAATGGACACCCAGCTGATGAGCACAAGCAATGAAAAGTGGCAATTTCCATTTTCTCACGCCGCAAAGAGAAAACTGCCCCGGCGCGTTTATTTTCAGAATTTTGTTTTGGGAGTCAATATCAGTTTTTTTGTGAATTATACGGAGCTCGGCGCCAGTAGAAAACCTGAGTCAGGGTTCTAAGTTTACCTGAGTCAGGGTTCCGAGTAAAAACCTGAGTCAGGGTTTTGGGTCGAAAACCTGAGTCAGGGTTTAAGTCGAAAACCTGAGTCAGGGTTCTGATTGAAAACCTGAGTTAGGGTTTTAGGTCGAAAACCTGAGTCAGGGTTCGAAAAAGCCGAATTTTCCGATTTTCGAACCCTGACTCAGGTTTTCCACATTCCGATACAATTAAAAAGCCCATTTTTTCACCCCCTAAGAATGACTCGAAAAGCCGATAATGGGAAAATCTCGGTGGCACTCGAGCTGACTCAAGGATTTTTCAGATGAATGACGGCCGCTTCCGAGAGCGCTCAATCAAAAATTCTCTAATTTTTGAATGAAATTTGATCGAGTGAGCATTACCTGCTGGACAAAAGATGTCAGGAGCGTGATTGTTGCATTCGTAGTTGTCCACTGCGTTTTCACAGGTGAAACATCTGAAGGCGTCGGCGTATGGGAGGACTAAAATGGAGAGTTAAGGGGGTAACCAATGATATTCTTCGATGGTTACTTCCAATTGTTTCTTAGGGTCTATCTCCTTAAAATTTTCAATAAAAACATTTCTTGAATTTCCGGTCAAATAAAAAAAATTGACAAAACAGATCAATCCCCAGCTGAATTGGACGGAATCTCTCACGTGATTCGAGCCCTAATCCACAAATATGGCCGACGGCCGCAGCGGGTACCCAAATTTTATGACCTCTAATAGCAAATATGATGAGCGCGAATTTTTGACACTCGATCGGAAGTCGACCAATTTGGGTTAGATTTTTGGATGTTTCCGGAATTCAGATTTTTTAAAGAAAAAAAAAATTCTCATTTGTCAAATTTCCGCTGATTCGACAAAAAAGTGGGCAGGTGTCGCCCAGACTTGGACAAAGCAGGAACGCTTCCGGAACTCCACTCGGCTTTGATCTATCTGCCCACGTGACACATTGTTTGCTGGATCAAATCAGAAAAAGAAAAGAAGATGAAACTTGCAAATCTGACAGGTAAGCCTTCCTGGGCCATTTGTTGACGATTAACACAAATAAACAATTCGAAAAGTAAAATGATGGTTCTGTTTAGGATTTCCGGATTTTTGAATGAATTTATTTTGCGCATAAATAATGAGAAAATATTTTTCATTCCAAATTGAAAACTCAGGGCTTCAAGAAAGCTCGAAAACCTGAGTCAGGGTCCTATGCTCTTAATTCATGATCACTCAGGACCCTGACTCAGGTTTTCCACACAGGTTTCCGCTCTTTTAAGCTGTGGACTAAAGTTGTGACACCCTTAAAATTAAAGATTTTCTTACCTCTCTTGTAAATATGAACAATATCAGCTTCAGTAAAATCTCTAGAAAACACGATTCCCAATAAAACAGCAATAATCTTCATTTTCCCGAAATCTCTTCAAACAAAAACTCAAGTCAGCAATTTTTCTCTTGTTGATTTTAACTCAGAAACTGTGAAAAAATATGTAAATTTTGAGAATAAGGTGCGATCCTCGCTCTTTTTGATTTATTTCGCGGCGGAGGAGCGCGCGCCGCGAAATTCGCGCTCCAGAGCGCCACGATCATTTTTTGGTGCTTTGGGATCATCAATCAATTGATTTTCGTGTGGTTTTGAGGGGAAATGAGAAATTGAAGATTGTTAATTTTAAAATGAAATCAATAATCAGTTCCGGATGGGAATTGTTTATTGCGCATCAGGAATTTCTTCATCTTTCTTGAGAATTTTTGCTTAGGGCTCTTAGCATAGGGTAAGGATTGTCGGGGCGAAAATAAGGGGTGGTGTAAGGAACCGACATAAAAATTTCGACAAATTTTGCTTAGGTTTTTTCTCAGCTCCGTACTGGCCGGTTCGCCGAATCTTTGCTTCTGATTGGTTGAAAATTTCCAGGAAAATTTATCGAAAAATAGGGGTTTCAGCTCAACTTTTCGTTTTTTCTTCCAAAAATTCGGATTTTTGAACAAAACTTGAATCAAAAAAATCAAAAATCTGTGAAAAAGGCCATGAAAATTGTTTGACGAATTTGTTAAAATAGGGATTCCCTATTAGTAGGGTCCGCACGCAAAAAAGGGTCGGATCAGTGCGCTCAATTTTTTCAAAAAACGGCTTGGATAGTATGAAAGAGCAACTCAAACTGAATATTTTTCATATTGAAAGTTTTTCACCGCCACTGACTTTTCTGCCGGAAATGGTCAGGTTTAACACCGGAAATCGGTACTTTTTCACGTTTCTGGCCGGCTCACCTTGATCTCATCGTGATAAGATATTGATAAGGGGCTCAAAAGAAAGCTCGTCGTCTGAGCTTTCTATTGGTACCAAAAAAAAGTAGTCACTTAGTTCAAATTTTTGGCGCTAGAAGCGATTGAAGGTGCTCAGGGTGCTCAAAAATTGCTTAAAATCACCGGAACTAGCCGGTTTCGGTCAAAAACCTCATGTAACCCCTTACATATGAATATCTTTCGATAGGACTCTTTTCTCTTGACAAAATATTGACCGGTTAAGAGCTCAACCAACCGGTTCTCAGGCCAAAACCAGCCGGTTTCTCTCCAAAACCACGTGTTTTCTATTACATATGGATATCTATCGAAAGGTTTTTCTTTTTTGAGTACAAATTGACCGGTTCAAAGCCGGCTAAAAGGTCAACTTTGGTCAAGTTCGGCCGGAGGACCTCCCTGGTGGAAGACCATCCGCTGGAAGACCAGTATTTAAAATTTTTAATATATGGCTATGCTCGGTCAATATATGGCCACGTATGGTAAACGTTGGTCAAGTTTGGCCGGAGGACCCTCGGAGGACCTTTCTGGTGGGAGAACATCAGCTGGAAGACCAAAATTAAAAAATGAAATAAAATGCCTTGGTGGGCTAAGAATAAACACTTTCGGCAAACTTTGGTCACTTTTTGCCGGTAGACCCCCGGAGGACCCCTTCTAACGGAGAACAATCAACTGGAAGATCATTAAATAAAAAATTAAAATCAATCACAGTCGACTTAGTGATTATAGGGGCATCGCCGACCAAAAGCTATGTGGCCACATAATTCAGTGAGTGACAAAGAAAAGCCGTCAAAAAGAGAAGGCAACGCCCGTTTATTCGAACCGAGATAAGGCCAAGCCTGTTTATCCTTTTGAATAAGAGTAAGGGCGAAGCCGACCCGAAGGGAGGCCACGCCCGTTCATTCTTTTCAATCAGAATCAGGGCGAAGCCGACCCGAAGGGGAGGCGACGCCCGATCATTCTTTTCAATCAGGGTCAGGGCGAAGCCGACCCGAAGGGGAGGCGACGCCCGTTCATTCTATTCAATCAGAGTCAGGGTGAAGCCGACCCGAAGGGGAGGCAACGCTCGCTCATTCTATTCAATCAGAGTCAGCGCGAAGCCGACCCGAAGGGGAGGCCACGCCCGTTCATTCTTTTCAATCAGAGCTAGGGCGAAGCCGACCCGAAGGGGAGGCCACGCCCGTTCATTCTTTTCAATCAGAGCTAGGGCGAAGCCGACCCGAAGGGAGGCCACGCCCGTTCATTCTTTCAATCAGAGCTAGGGCGAAGCCGACCCGAAGGGGAGGCAACGACCGTTCATCCTTTCAATCAGAGTTAGGGCGGAGCCGACGCGAAAGGAGGCCACGTCCGTTCATTCTATTCAATCAGGGTCAGGGCGAAGCCGACCCGAAGGGGGGCCACGCCCGTTCATTCTTTTTAATCAGAGTCAGGGCGAAGCCGACCCGAAGTGGAGGCCACGCCCGTTCATTCTTTCAATCAGTGTAAGGGCGAAGCCGATCCGAAGAGGAACCACGCATGTTCATTCTTTTCAATCAGGGTCAAGGCGGAGCCGACCCGAAGGGGAGGCCACGCTTGTTCATTCTTTTCAATCAGGGTCAGGGCGGAGCGGACCCGAAAGGGAGGCCACGCGCGTTCATTCTTTTCAATCAGAGCTAGGGCGAAGCCGACCCGAAGGGGAGGCAACGACCGTTCATCCTTTTCAATCAGAGTTAGGGCGGAGCCGACGCGAAAGGGAGGCCACGTCCGTTCATTCTATTCAATCAGGGTCAGGGCGAAGCCGACCCGAAGGGGGGCCACGCCCGTTCATTCTTTTTAATCAGAGTCAGGGCGAAGCCGACCCGAAGTGGAGGCCACGCCCGTTCATTCTTTTCAATCAGTGTAAGGGCGAAGCCGATCCGAAGAGGAACCACGCATGTTCATTCTTTTCAATCAGGGTCAAGGCGGAGCCGACCCGAAGGGGAGGCCACGCTTGTTCATTCTTTTCAATCAGGGTCAGGGCGGAGCGGACCCGAAAGGGAGGCCACGCGCGTTCATTCTATTCAATCAGAGTCAGGGCGAAGCCGACCCGAAGGGGAACCACGCCCGTTCGTTCTTTTCAATCAGAGCTAGGGCGAAGCCGACCCGAAGGGGAGGCAACGACCGTTCATTCTTTTCAATCAGGGTAAGAGCGAAGCCGACCCGAAGGGGAGGCCACGCCTGTTCATTCCATTCAATCAGAAGCAGGGCCTTGTATCAAATTTGTGGACATTTTTCAGATAACGAGGGGACAAAAAATATCCACAGAATCCGTCAACAACTGTTTTAAGAGAACCCTAGCCCTTATTTTGACTTTATTTAATGAACGAAAATGCAACCTCTTACAGATTAAGTTTTAACGACGGTTTTTTCGAGATATAAAAGTTTTCGATTTTACTCTGATTGTGAAGAATGATTTGGCGTGGCCTCCCCTTCGGGTCGGCTTCGCCCTGACACTGATTGAAAAGAATGAACGGGCGTGGCCTCCTTCGGGTCGGCTTCGCCCTGACTCTGATTGAAAAGAATGAAGGGGCGTGGCCCCTCCTTCGGGTCGGTTCCGCCCTGACCCTGATTGAATAGGATAAATGCGCGTGGCCTCCCCTTCAGGTCGGCTTCGCGCTGACTCTGATTGATTAGAATAAGCGAGCGTTGCCTCCCCTTTGGGTCGGCTTCGCCCTGACCCTGATTGAATAGAATGAACGGGCGTTGCCTTCCCTTCGGGTCGGCTTCGCCCTGACTCTGATTGAATAGAATGAATGGGCGTGGCCTCCCCTTCGGGTCAGCTTTGCCTTGCTTTTGATTGAAAAGAATGAGCGAGCGTGGCCTCCCCTTCGGGTCAGCTTCGCCCTGACTCTGATTGAAAAGAATGAACGGGCGTGGCCCCCCCTTCGGGTCGGCTTCGCCCTGGCACTGATTGAAAAGAATGAACGGGCGTGGCCTCCCCTTCGGGTCGGCTTCGCGCTGACTCTGATTGAATAGAATGAGCGAGCGTTGCCTCCCCTTCGGGTCGGCTTCACCCTGACTCTGATTGAAAAGAATGATCGGGCGTCGCCTCCCCTTCGGGTCGGCTTCGCCCTGACCCTGATTGAATAGAATGAACGGGCGTGGCCTTCCCTTCGGGTCGGCTTCGCTTGACTCTGATTGAATAAAATGAATCGGTGTGGCCTCCCCTTCGGGTCAGCTTCGCCCTGACTCTGATTGAAAAGAATGAACGGGATCGGCCTCCCCTTCGGGTCAGCTTCGCCCTGGCACTGATTGAATAGAATGAACGGACGTGGCCTCCCTTTCGGGTCGGCTCCGCCCTAACCCTGATTGAAAAGGATGAACGGTCGTTGCCTCCCCTTCGGGTCGGCTTCGCCCTAGCTCTGATTGAAAAGAATGAACGGGCGTGGCCTCCCTTCGGGTCGGCTTCGCCCTAGCTCTGATTGAAGAGAATGAACGGGCTTGGCCTCCCCTTCGGGTCGGCTTCGCGCTGACTCTGATTGAATAGAATGAGCGAGCGTTGCCTCCCCTTCGGGTCGGCTTCACCCTGACTCTGATTGAATAGAATGAACGGGCGTCGCCTCCCCTTCGGGTCGGCTTCGCCCTGACCCTGATTGAAAAGAATGATCGGGCGTCGCCTCCCCTTCGGGTCGGCTTCGCCCTGATTCTGATTGAATAGAATGAACGGGCGTCGCCTCCCCTTCGGGTCGGCTTCGCCCTGACCCTGATTGAATAGAATGAACGGACGTGGCCTCCCTTTCGCGTCGGCTCCGCCCTAACTCTGATTGAAAAGGATGAACGGTCGTTGCCTCCCCTTCGGGTCGGCTTCGCCCTAGCTCTGATTGAAAAGAATGAACGGGCGTGGCCTCCCCTTCGGGTCGGCTTCGCCCTAGCTCTGATTGAAAAGAATGAACGGGCGTGGCCTCCCCTTCGGGTCGGCTTCGCCCTAGCTCTGATTGAAAAGAATGAACGGGCGTGGCCTCCCCTTCGGGTCGGCTTCGCGCTGACTCTGATTGAATAGAATGAGCGAGCGTTGCCTCCCCTTCGGGTCGGCTTCACCCTGACTCTGATTGAATAGAATGAACGGGCGTCGCCTCCCCTTCGGGTCGGCTTCGCCCTGACCCTGATTGAAAAGAATGATCGGGCGTCGCCTCCCCTTCGGGTCGGCTTCGCCCTGATTCTGATTGAAAAGAATGAACGGGCGTGGCCTCCCCTTCGGGTCGGCTTCGCCCTTACTCTTATTCAAAAGGATAAACAGGCTTGGCCTTATCTCGGTTCGAATAAACGGGCGTTGCCTTCTCTTTTTGACGGCTTTTCTTTGTCACTCACTGAATTATGTGGCCACATAGCTTTTGGTCGGCGATGCCCCTATAATCACTAAGTCGACTGTGATTGATTTTAATTTTTTATTTAATGATCTTCCAGTTGATTGTTCTCCGTTAGAAGGGGTCCTCCGGGGGTCTACCGGCAAAAAGTGACCAAAGTTTGCCGAAAGTGTTTATTCTTAGCCCACCAAGGCATTTTATTTCATTTTTTAATTTTGGTCTTCCAGCTGATGTTCTCCCACCAGAAAGGTCCTCCGAGGGTCCTCCGGCCAAACTTGACCAACGTTTACCATACGTGGCCATATATTGACCGAGCATAGCCATATATTAAAAATTTTAAATACTGGTCTTCCAGCGGATGGTCTTCCACCAGGGAGGTCCTCCGGCCGAACTTGACCAAAGTTGACCTTTTAGCCGGCTTTGAACCGGTCAATTTGTACTCAAAAAAGAAAAACCTTTCGATAGATATCCATATGTAATAGAAAACACGTGGTTTTGGAGAGAAACCGGCTGGTTTTGGCCTGAGAACCGGTTGGTTGAGCTCTTAACCGGTCAATATTTTGTCAAGAGAAAAGAGTCCTATCGAAAGATATTCATATGTAAGGGGTTACATGAGGTTTTTGACCGAAACCGGCTAGTTCCGGTGATTTTAAGCAATTTTTGAGCACCCTGAGCACCTTCAATCGCTTCTAGCGCCAAAAATTTGAACTAAGTGACTACTTTTTTTTGGTACCAATAGAAAGCTCAGACGACGAGCTTTCTTTTGAGCCCCTTATCAATATCTTATCACGATGAGATCAAGGTGAGCCGGCCAGAAACGTGAAAAAGTACCGATTTCCGGTGTTAAACCTGACCATTTCCGGCAGAAAAGTCAGTGGCGGTGAAAAACTTTCAATATGAAAAATATTCAGTTTGAGTTGCTCTTTCATACTATCCAAGCCGTTTTTTGAAAATCAAGAGATTTCAGGTGGTCGATTTTTGCGTGCGGACCCTACCTATTAGGGAACCCCTAAAGAAAGGTTTAAAAATTCGATTTGCAAGAAAAAAAGCAACAGCAAAATCAAAAAAAGTAAAAAGCTCTCCTTTTTCCCAGCAATTACAAAGATAATGAGTAAAAATTATAAGCCCGTTTTTGAGCGATAATTTATCACTCCTCCTGTTTTTGACAATTCAAAAGTGCAACTCATAATTGCCCCGCTTTGAAAACAGAAGCTTATCTCGTGTACTTAGGCCAAAATCACCTTTTTGTCCAAGAGGATTTCCGAGAAACAAGATCTGCTCGAAGTGAATCACGTGATTTTCGCCCGAGATAATTTTCTTGAGAACGAAAATTTGTAAGTTTTATTTGCATTTTGATTTTTGTTCGAGTGGGGTTCCGTTTGAATGGGCAGGAAGATAGGGATATTCAAAGATGAGAAGAGCGGGAAGAAGGGAGAGAGATTCATTTTGAGTGGGTCACGTGAGCCAACTTGAGCCGCTTCAAAAAGCAACGCCGCCGCCTATCACTTACGAGAGCAAATATACACGGACTCAGCGCATTTGGGCGAGAATTGCTTGATTTTGGGTGCTTTCTAGTTGTTCAAAAACAAATAAAATAAAAATCGAAATCGATAAATATATCAAAATATTTTCGAAAAAAAGAGCCTTTGAGACAAAATTTCAACCAATCAGAATCGAGTTTCGCGTCTCATAGCCAATCAAAGACCATCATTTTGGCTTCAAAGTCCACTTTTTTGATATTTTTCTTCAGCCAATCATAAACCTATTTTTTGTAATTTTCACACTCTTTTCAGGAAAAAACCGTGTTGGTCCTTAAAATTCAGAAGTTGTTTAGGCGGCGTCACCTGATCAGAGTCGATATTCACGATAGGGCGCGGATTATTCATTTTGAAAACTTTTCAACTCGCGTCGTATCAGTTGTGTGTGTATAAATTCTCTTATCAGTGCTTTATCGAGGGTGAGCTTTCCCAGCAGGAGATCTTATGTGAGCCGCCGTTTTTTCCGAAGAAATGATCTCTTTATTTCTTCACGAAGATTTTTACAGAAGAAAATGACGCTAACGGCAAGAGCTCTAAAATTTTCAATGAAAAAAGAAAGAATTTTAAGGGCGTCGACCTGATAATCGTCCAAAAGCGAATTTCCAGGAGAATATTATCAGGACGATTTCAATTAGTCTTTTTGTTGGTTTTGTTAATTTTTTCCACATTTTCAATAATTAAGGGTGTCAACGACGATTTCGTCAAAGTTATGAGACCCTTAATGATCAAAAACCATTTTCTAGGGATCATCATCATAATCGTATATTTGATAGTTTTCTCTTGATCTTGGAGTTTCTCAAACATGGTCCGCAGAATCTTCATCTTGCTCTTCATCTCTTCGCCATTATCTAAAGACTCACTATTGCAGTTCTTCTGAAAACAGTACCTCCAAAATCATCGTCCTTCGACCTCAAATAATTGATCGAATATCCGCCGAAAAAACCAACAAGAAAAGAAGCAATAATCGAAAACACCGCCTAAATCATATTTTCAACCCCTTTACCACCCCCTTCATTTTTACCCAAATAATTGCAGCTTGCAAGCACCCTCTTGATTTTTCATTAACAGCATTGATAGCCAGCGGCCCAATAATGATCCCCGGCGAAATTGCGGCTATCCCAAGAATCGCAAGAAGAAAGAGGGAGAATCTGTAGCAGCAGATGTTTCTACCGAAGCACTTTTGAAATTTGATGAGAGCATGGTCGACTGGGCCGTAGTAATCTTCTTCTGGGATCGGCAACCTGTGTAGAGAACCTGAGTCAGCCTTTGAAGAGCAAAAATGAAAAGCCGCGTAGCGGCTTTTTTAAAAACGAAGCCGCGAAGCGGCTTCGCCAATATTTCAAGATAGATAAGAGTAATTGCGTTTCGAAGCCGCTAAGCGGCTTCTTTTTTAAAAAAGCCGCGGCACGGCTTTTCATTATAGTTCTTCAAAGGCTGACTCAGGTTCTCTACACAGGTTGCGGAGCCCAGGTCTTCCTCTGATACGGAAAGGCGGTCGTTGAGTAGGAGAAGGATTCCGATGTAGATGATGGCGAGGGGGAGGAGAAAAAGGCAAGAAATCAACAAGGAGTACCGGGCAAATTGTTCGATTGTAGCTGTGTCGCTTAAAATTTCTTCAGCTGTTTCGTTGAAACCTGAAAAAAATCCTTCTTTTAAGAAAAAAAAAAGTGAATCAGATAAACCGTTTTGATGAAGAAAGCTTTCGAGATTCTCGACCATTAAATTTTATGTCTCTTTGTAAATTTGTGGTTTGGGCTGGTCCAATTTGCAAAAAGTGACGATTACAGTTTATTTAACTTTCATCAGCGCTTAAAAAATGATGTGCGAACAAGCTGCGCGGAAACGCCTGGGCTTGATTGCGTGCTGCAGTTGTCCCAAAATAGACACTGTAGCTGCTTGTCCCTTGTTTTAACCTAAATCCTTTAAAATATATTTTCCTCCAACTAGAAGCGTAGGAATAGCGGAACTCAGGTCGCATTATCCTTTCAAAAAAGCAAATAAGATCGAGAATGCTCATTGTTACGAATTAATTGTCTCTGGATTAAAGTTCCAAAAGTTTTTCCTTTGGTCGCAGAGATAGGAAATCAGAGATGCGAGCGTTTACTCTGGAATGGCTTTTTGAGAAAATAATTTATATTTGAATTTTTGATAAAGGCCACTAAAAGACTTTCTTCATTACGAGTGCATTTGCGAAATGCACTCTTTGGCCAGGAGACAATCGAGATGATTTATTTTTGTCTCCATACGATCAATTTGATAAAATAGGAAGGGATTGCTTTGGCTTTGAACAAGATACGACGATTTTGGGGGACATCGCAAGATTGTTTGATGTTATTTACGGCCGGGGCTACTACAGGTTTCTTCGTATCGTAAATATGTTAGATCCAATTTTTTTTTCAGGTCTTGGTCTGGTCTGGGAAGATTTTATAGCGCTCTTGACACAGAAGAATTATTCGAACGAACGATCGAGACAGATGTAGGCTTTCCTGAGCATTTAACAAAATACGCAAATTTTCTAGTTCGTTCTTGCTGGATATTACTTGCTGGACGAGTCGACTACATCTTCGATCTTGAACGGATCAGAGGTCGGCTTCGTCTCTTCGCCAATATCATCTGTCGTCAATCTTTTCGATTGGCTCTCTTATGGAATTGTTGCCTTCGAAGCATTTGAGCTAAACTATTATAACGACGAGAAAAATCTTCCTTTGGAAGAACTGGTCACCTCCATGCGCGACTGGTTCATGGGAATCGTCGATTTTCTCAATAGATATTACATCGATCAGATTTCTACGATATCGGCCATTTTTCTAAGCAATTCTTCACCGGACGTTATCGCTTTGAAAATTCTCTTCTTTGAATTGGACTATTTCTTCAACTGGCTTCCATCTATTCTCCTCTACGATTTCACGAGGGTTCAAACTGCTTATTTTGAGCTAGCGAATGAAATCGCTTATCCTCCCCATTCAAACTCCACTTATTTTCATGAAGAATATTGGCCACAATATATCAACAAGATAACAACATTATCTCACAAGCTTTTCAGGTAAATCTTATCATTAATAATTTTAAAGAGATTTTCTATTCAGAGAATTTTTCATGCTGATTCATGAGCCATTCTTACGTTACCATACTTGCCCTGAAACTGATGAAAAATGCTCTTTTATAAGGTAAATTAAAATTATAAATTTAGATTTTTTTTATAAATTTTAGATACTTGGAAGAAAATCTGCAGGGAAATATATTGTACTTATATTTGGATTTTATGGCAAGTTTTGAAGACGGGCTTATCTATGGTATGCATTTCTTGGTATTATTTCTTCATCCTTAAAATTTCAGTTGATAATATTTTCGTCGCTCTTTCAACAATAACATGGCTGGGAAGTTTTGCCGAACGATTTTTCCTCTCGATCGGAGACATCGTTGAAATCATCCTCGAAATCGACGATATTGTCGTCGAGCTGGCTCTAGAATTTGCACGAGCCTTTGGTCAGCTTCTTTCTGATCTGCTTGCTTCGATTCTCTCTTCTGCGGTTTAGACCTTCCTCTCAACGCAAATAAATTTCTTTATCTCTTTTCTTCTGACTTTCTCCTCTTTTGGAATCTCGCCAGGGTTCTAGGTCATCAAGGTTTATGTACTTTTCTGATAAGTGAAAGCTTCGCTCACATTTCGATTTTGGGGTAGAGAAAAATGAAGATACTTATTTTCTACTGTCTGTTTCAGTCAATTTTTTCGAGAAAACATAAACGAAAAAGAGACAAAAACTTTGATATAGCATCATGGGCCGGAAAACAAATGTCAAATACAGGTTTTATCAAACAAAACTTTGTTTTCAACCGTATCCCCGAAATATTCATTCAAAAAGAAACCTTCGGAAAAGCCTCAAAAACGCGGACGATCTGTACATCGAAGAACTTGCCTTCTCCAAATCCAACACCATTATCGACATCTACGAGAGACTCGACAATCTAACCCTCACCTTCGAAAGAGTCTTCACCACAATCGAAGCCGTCGACCAGAAAATCGAAGCCCTAGAAGTAAAAATGGAAAACATGGTCTTCCAGCCAAAGCCAACCCCTCCACCAATCAACTATGCTTATTCTCGAATGCTTGTTATGTCCGCGGATGAGCCGAATTCGAGCTCGGACATGATCAATTTAAAAACGCTGTCAAATGTGAATTTTCAAATTTCGTTCCCGAAATTGCAGTGGCATTGCTTGGAGAACTACTATGGAAACGTCTATTCTATTGGCGGCCGACACACGGAATATGAAATTTACGAGTTAGATGGAAGCTGCCGATTTCAACGAATGGATATTACGCTTCCGAAGGTATTCTTCCTTGATTCCAATTGAATGATTTTCAGGGCTTCATAAATCACCAATGCGCGCTGCATGATAATGTGATGTACGCGTGTCCTGATTGGTCGCGTGGGGACTCTTGCATTGGGATCAAAAGGGATTCTAGTGCTCTAACGGTAATAATTGTATTCAAGCGGTTTTGAACCTGATCAGATTTCTGGCGATTTTCGACTCAAAAAGCCTCGATTTCATGCAGCAGTTGTGAGCAGCTACCGCGGTTTGATGGTCATTGGTGGTAAAAGCTCTTCAACTGAAATTTTAGTGTAAGTTGATTTCAATTTTCTTCCTTCAAAAGCTTTAGAAACGGGAATTTTATCGAGGGCCCAAGGTTGCCGATCCCAATTGGCGATGCTGGAGTCGTTCAAATTCATAAGAATGTTTATGTTCTGGGAGGATTCAATTATTACACAAATCAGGAGCTTTCAAGACAGAGTTTTTTATCGTTTGCCTATCTTTAGATGTTTTTCCACTCGAAAAACTCAAGAAAGCATGCTCATTCTATCGGAAGGCGCACAGTACTGGGCAAAAATTGGAGATATGCCTTCAAGAGCGAAGAATTTTCAAGGTCGGATTTTCAAGACAGAGATCTTCAACATCTTTTTTAGTCATCAGTGCGGTGAAAAACGAAGCCTGGCTAGTTGGAGTGGAAGAAACAAAAATCCTGGCCTTCAGTGGAAATCGAACGGAAATGGACACTGTTGCCAATATCGGTAAAAAGAGCTATGTTTCTTTCGGAAAGATGACTTTTCAGGTCGAAAATCTGGCGTCCAGGTCGCGTTGGTCCACGATGCCATCTGCAAGAATCTCCTCTGAATTTTGAAATAAATCTTATGTCCTCAGAAACTCGACTCATTCCTCAAACAAAAACCATGCCAAATTATTCATCCCTTTTCTGATGAATCAATTCAAGAACTTCAAAGTAAACAATTCTTGACAAAGCGCGTCAAACCCTTTTTTTCTCGTTGAAAATGAGTGAGACCCTAAAAACGCGACTAATCCCAAGAAATTTTCGAAAAAAGAGAAAACGATCGTCCAAAGACGATGTAAACGACGACTCAGTTTTTTGCCTCCGAAAAAGCCTCAAGAATTCCGAATGGGGAAAAATTCTTTCAAAAATCGAAGTCGATGAAGTGAGACTAGCAGATATTTCGAAGCACTGTACTCTGATGCCGCCAAAGTATTATCAAACGATTCTGGATCGAATGATTCGACCGAAATCGGGACATGATGACTTTGAGTCGGAAGATTTTACGATCGAGTTTAATTTTGATTTCTTCGGGCAATCTCAAAACTCAGAAAGCGCTCAATTCTCGACTCCAGAAAAGGGTTTTTATTTAAAAAATTCTTCTGAGGAATCTATGAAAAAACCTAGAAAAAGAATGTTTTCCTCTTTGGCTTTTATCCCAATCGAAGGCTCACGAAGAAATCATCAGTCATCCAGGAAGGGTCTTCATTTCTTATCATCGAAATTACAAATTTTAGCAAAAAAGGGGGTGGTGTCCAGAAACGACAAAAAATCGACAAATTTTCATCCAATCAGAAGCCTTGATTTCGCTTAAGTAGCCAAGTAGCCGCCCACGCAAAATTTGTCGAAATTTTTTGTCGGTTTCTGACCGAATCCCAAAAAATGACCCAAAATTAGCAATTGGCGTTTTTCTTCAAATAAAATGGAATCGAATTCGATACTTTTACTTCACCGACATTCTTTTTCAACTTGTTCTCGCTGTTTCTTGGCTTTACTTCACGAATTTCACGATCGCCAATTTTTCCGACGATCAGCCCTGGCAAAACTTCATCCCCCTCGCTCTCTCGATCTATATTTTTCTGAGAGAAATGCTGGACATGGGAATTTTCGGGCTGAAAAGTTATTTTCTCTCGGTGGAAAATTGGCTTTCTCTGTCTCTGGCGGGGATGGGGATGATTATTTTTTGCGCGAAAAATGGTTTTCTTGAAAATTCGCTGCCAAAAGAGAGGCAGATTTTGATTCTTTCTTCTGGAAATATTCTCGCGTTTTTGGTGGTGATGCTCCACTGCAACAGGCATCCGCTCTTGTCGGTTTACACAACCAGGTTTCTTGAGCTCCCCGCTCTAGAATATAATCGCTTTTCAAGGACTTTTGCGGTGATAGCGGCAAAATATTTCACCGTCCTTCTGTTTTACTTCCCAATTTTTCTGGCTTTTGCGGTCAATTTTCGCGTCCTACTGACTCTTCCAGATGCGTCACTAGAATCTCGAGAGTTTTGGAATTCCTCAATTATTTCAATTTTTCGGACATTCACGATGCTCACCGATCCTGACCCAGGTTACCTATTCGGTGACAACCCGCACTAAAATATTCTTTAGGAGATGTCTTCCCGGAATTCTTGGAAATCAGCTCTTTTTCCATCAGAACTTATGGTTTTCTGATCTACATGACGTTCTATTTCTTCATTTCCGTCGTTTTCATCAATCTTCTCAATGCCTATGCTGTCGCAAATGTCACAAAAATCGAAGGTTGTTCCCCTCCTAAAAGCTCTAGAAAAATTATTCTTCAGCAAAAGCCGAAAATTGGAAACGCGTCTCGAAAATAGAAACCGTCTTGTTTTTCGAGGTCCTTTGGCCAATTTTTCTTTCATAAAATCTTTTAAGCGATGCACCCAAACCGTCCTAAAAGCCTTCGGAAAATTCGGCGAGCGACTTTGGCAGAAATCCTTCGTCTGCTCCAAGCAATCTGATAATACTCGCCAATGCAAGCCAAACAGCTACAGAAAATTTCAAAACGCAAAGATTAAATCGCAGTCATCCGTTCTTCAACTCTTGACCTGGTGTGAGAAGAAAACTCCAGGTTTGGGTTTCCAGGGAGTTGAATGGTAAATGGCTTCAGAAACGACGGCGATTTGTGATTTGCAGACGATGCAAGATGCTAAGGAGCGCCTTATTCGGGAAAATTTCAAGTCGGAATTGACGAATATCAAAAGAATCAAGACGATTTACGACAAACCAACTGGTAAGTCTTCAAAATAAAGAGGAATATTTGGTCAGATTTCTATAGGAATTTTTTGGCCAAAAGTTATTTTCGGAATCCATTGGATTAATTGGTCGGATGTTCTTAAGGAGTCGGTTTCAAGTTTTTCAAAATATATATATAAAAATTAAGAAAGAAACACAGATATGGTGATTATTTCTGTCTTCTAGAAATATAGTCAAAATAAATTTTTTAAGTGGTAATCGAAGGAAAAAACGCTGAAAAGTCCGAAATACCAGCTGGAGTTATCAACGCGAATAGAACCTTCGATAAACGACTGCGGCTGCTTGAAGCCAAACTCGACCATCTTTCCCGACAAATCGGCCGACTGTCAAAATGAAGCTTCTTTTAAATTCGTTATATAAGAAATCAAATTAGTAGGCCACGCCTTTACACTTTGCCTGCATTTATATTTACTCTGACCGTGGCAAAATGCAAACAATCTCTATTACATTATTCAAATAAAAGTTCGCTCTTTTTTGCGTTCCGGTACTGCTCGAAGGTTCCAAAAATCGAAAAAAAAGATGCTGAGAAAATCGCTGGTTTCTTCAATTCGAGCCGGTTCTAGAGCTTTTCGTCAGGAACCCTGGCAGGCGGAGAAATTGACGGATATTGGGACAAGAGGGATTTTTAATGAAGATCATGATATGTTCAGAGAATCTGTTAGAAAATGGTTTCAGGTAAAAAAGAGATCTTTTAATGATTGGCTTATTAATTCAAAAGGATAATGTTCCCCGAGATCTCGAAGAAAAATGGGAAAAGCAAGGCCATGTCGACCGGGATGCCTGGCTCAAAGCCGGTGAAATGGGCCTCCTCGGCGTTGATGCACCAGAAGAAGTCGGCGGCATTGGAGGCGATTTCCTTTCCGCCATGATTGTCAACGAAGAACAAGCTTATCACAACTGCTCTGGCCTTGGCTTTTCTGTGCACAGCGACATCTGCCTTCCTTACATCTACAAATACGGAACTGCCGAGCAGCGAGAGCTGATTCCGTCCTTCGTCAGCGGCGAAAAAATTCTGTGCATCGGGATGACCGAGCCGGGGACTGGATCTGATCTTCAGGGGCTCAAGACAACGGCGATCGCGGACGGAGACGATTACGTAATCAACGGATCGAAGGTCTTTATCAGCAACGGTATCATGGCGGACTACTGTATCTTGGCGGTGGTGACTGATCCAAATGCGAGCAACAAGGCCGGAGCAATGAGCCTCTTTTTGGTCGACACATCGCTTCCAGGAACGCTCAAAAAATGCTCATGATAACTCATGATATCTATTTAAATATGCGCATATTACATCTTTTTGAGAAATTTTGAGCTTGAAAAAGGCTTCAACCGAGGGAAGAACCTGAAAAAGGTCGGAGTCAAAGCCAATGACACCGCAGAACTTTTCTTTGACAACTTGAGAGTTCCCAAATCTGCCGTTCTCGGCGGCCCAGACTGCGTCAACCAGGGTTTTGGATTTCTGATGAACGAGCTTGCACGGTAAAAGATGATTTTTGACTCTTCTTGAAAACATTCAGTGAGCGACTTATGATCGGAGTCCAATGTACTGCTGGCCTTGAGAGCATGTTTGAGCAGACCAGAGCCTATGTGAAGGAGCGAAAGGCTTTTGGAAAAGGTATGTGGGCTTTAAAATGATGGTCACATTGTGTTTTGAAATTTAGAACTGATCAAGCTCCAGACCATCCAACACAGACTTGCCGAAGTCAAAACTGAAGCTGCTTTTTGCCGATCTTTTGTCGATAAGGTCAGTTTTTCCGACTAAGATTTTGAGATTTAGTCAATTTTTTAGGCGATGGAATTGCAGGTCAACGAGGAACTGGACTACACAACTGCTTCTATGGCGAAATACATGTGCTCTGAAAAAGCTCACGTGAACATTTCCAAAATGCTTCAACTCTTCGGCGGCTGGGGATACATGTGGGAGTACCCGATCGCCAGAGCGTATGCGGACTCTAGAGTCGCGATGGTCTACGGAGGAGCGAATGAAATCATGAAAGAGCTCATTGCCCGACCCATTCGATCATGATGATTTATTGTGACATTATTTATTGAAATAAAAGATTTCCAAAACATATTTTTCCTTCATCGGCCGGCAGGAAAAACGCAAGTTGGTACAATTCTAGTAGTCTATTTGGTTTTCACAGGTTTCCCAAGGAAGGTCAAAATTCATTGCTCCTGCCAGAAAATGACTCTAACTGTGACATGGGAATGGTGCGCCCGGGCGGCTTTTTAGAATCTCAGCAGATCATTTTCTCGATTTCACAAGAGAAAAAATCAGATAATGGAAAGTATCAAATTGAAGGATGAAGAGGAAGTGACGTGCATCGTCTGCAAATCTCAAGGTTTTTATAAAAAATTGTCTTCTTTATAAGGAGATCAGTAAAAAAGTTTTATTTTAGGATATCTACGGCAGATCAAAAAAGCTTGTTTTCTTGTTCCAAATGATATCGGCGGGCTCTCAAGCTACGACTATCAAGCAAAAAAGGGTCAACCAAAAAATGGGTTTACAACAAATAGAGTTACTGCTAAGTACCTCGTCACAGGAACTATATTTTGGGTCGCGGTTATGGTAGCGGCAAATTATATCACAAGTGCCATGAATCGATTTGTCCCCGGACACGGATCATTTTGCATCAAAGGTTTTAAACGATGCTCTGTTGAGGAAAACTTCGACTGGTGCGCGAGCCAGCTTTATTATTGCTTTTATGAAGATTTTGGCAATACAACTTTCCAGTTTCAAGAGGCTCCTACGATTCACCAAGAAAAAGTTTCTAGAAATATTGATCGAAGAAATTTTACTGAAAATGAACAAGTCGCCAACAAGGATCAGTGCTTGTATTATTCCAGCATTGAAGTGAAAATGTGCGAGACCCTGTGTGACAGCGAAATTGCCAAGGTTTATGATTGTTATGGCATTTGCATGGCCCTTGGAGCTTCTGTCAAAAAGGAATACTGTCCGTTTGAGAAAAATTGTCCTCATGGTTGCCCCTGCCCATATTATCAATGCGAGGTGAAGAAAAAAAGAGCGCATTTAGAAACGATTCATTTAGACCGGGCTTGCAATAACAGAGCCAATTTTTGTGGAAGAATCAGAATATTATTATGATGATCAATTAGGATATTGGAACTCTCGAAAATTTTATACTTTTCTTCTTGCGTTTCTTGACAGCAACAAAACTTTATCAACAAAGCCGTATCCTCTTAACTTTACGGAACCGGGGTCTGCTTCTTTTTGTTCGGAAACTTACAAATCGCAACATTACATTTTCCACGGATATTCGAAAATTCATTTTGATGAAAACTATACTTTTCTTGGGGAGACCAATCATCTGGAGATTATTCAAATCGACGAAGAAAGAGGTTTTCGAGTTCAAAAAGAATTATTTTTCTGAAATAACGAAAATTAGGTGTTGTTCGCAAAGAGATCGAAGACATGAAAGACAGATTTGAATTCGGAAAGGAAAGACCATCAGTTTGCGGTTCAGGATTTTTCGCAAGACGAGATGGGAAAGATGAAGATCGAATATTTTTATGCGCGCCGGCTACTGATCAAGCATCGTGTTATTTCTTTACTCCAGAAGATTTTACACTTCAGAAGCTTCGAGAACTAAAGCCGTTTCCATATTTTACAGTTTGGTGGCAAGCAGACCCATATTTTACTTATCGAAAAGATGGCTATTTTACGATTTTTTCGTGCAATGTTGACAGTCAAAGGTTTTCTGTTATTTATTCTGACAAAATTCAATTATTCGAATAATAGATGCAAAACAGACTCTTTCATGGGTCATCGCCATGGTTGGAAATCAGAGTTTTTCTCAACAAAAGGTTTATCCCTCGCTAAGCTTAGCTCAGCTCCGTGATTTTTGAAAATGATCTGATCTGCTCAGCTCAGCTCAGTTCAGACAACTTTCACTCAGCTCAGCTTAGCTCAGCTCAATGACTTTAACACAATTTTACTACTAAAACACAGTAATAAACAGCTGAGCTCAGCTCAGCTATAATTAGGGTCCGCGCACCTCAGCTCAGCTCAGTAACCTCCGAAATAGGCCAGCTCAGCTCAAAGAAATTTTTACTCAGCTCAGCTCAGCAAAAATAAAGCAAGATTTGCCATTCTGATTTTAACGAATTTTAGACTCTGGTAAATTAAATTATGAAGGGGCAATGGTGGTCAAAGCTTTCGAAGATAAACACGGAACTAACTTGATCGTCAGAAAGACAGGTTTATCTGGTTGATTGTGTTTAATAATTTATCTTGAAATTAAGCTACCGTGAGCAAAAGTTTTTCGTTCTTCAGGCTCTATGAAGGACACTGGATTGAGCTTGTTGATGACCGAGAATTCAACTGCTACGAAAAGAACTTCTTTTTTGACATGGATTCTCATGAACAAATAGATCCGATTCTTATCTCGGGGAAACTTTTCATTCTTACTCCGTATTCGTTCACTCCTATGGGCGGAGGAGCACATTATTTTTAGCTGAAGTTGATCTTAAGGATGTGTCCTCTGGAAAGACTACTAACGGCACTTGCCTTGAGATCGAATTCCCCAAGCGTAATGAGTTTTCTTACTTGAATATTTATGTTTAGAATTTTTATTTGAAAACTGTTTAAATTTTCATTTTCTCTAATAGTTGTTTCGTTGGATTTCAAAAAATAAAAATAAAAGCCAGAAATCATGGCGTTTGTTTATTTAAATTTATTAAACAAAAAGCAAAGAAATCAGAGTTTCTCATCAATTTCCGAAAAGTCATCGTCATTTTCAATATGAGACAAAATTTCCAGCGTCGCATCAAAAAGCGTCGAAAGATGATCTTCATCTTGATTTTCTTCCTCTTGTCGTTTTACTGCCCTTCTGTTCTTTCTGGCGAGAGTAAAGCTTGCCGATTGATCTTCATCTTCTGAATTGGAGTCGTAGTAAACCGAGTTGATCTTGCCGCGATTGGTGGAGGAAAATCGGTGGAGAAGGGCAGCGACTTTGCCGGTTTTGATGATTCCGTCGGTTTCTGCTGCGGGTCTTCCTTGGCGACTGAAAATCCATTGATAAGAAAAGTCATAGAGGAGAGAGATTTACCTTGGTCTCCTATTTGATGAATCAAACGACAACCGCGGAGTCGCCGGAACTGAAACTGTCACGAAATCTGTCTTTGTCGTCGAGTGAACTTGTTTCGGCGTTGTTGGTACTGAGGCGCTCAGAATATTCCCCGGCGCTGATTGAGTACTGCTTCTCGCCGACTCGGATTCCTTGATTTTCTTCCCATTTTCTGTCTTTTCGGAAGTCCTCCTTGCTGTCAGCGGCGCGGAATCATCATCGGAAAGGATTCTCAAGTCCTCTTCTTCTATCACTTCCTCGAGAGAGCTTGTTGAGCCGCTTGAGAGGCGAGAGAGGGAAGAAATGGGGGAGCAAATTGGAATTGAAGGAGAAAGAATCGGAGTTGGAGGGGGAGGAGGGCTGAAAGGAGAGATGACTGGAGTTGGAATCGTCGGAATTGTTGGCGGCTTGGAATTCAGTGGAGAACAATCGACGCTGGAACCAGATGTTGAACGGATTATCTGAGAAGGATTTCGATGATTGGTAAAAATGGAAAAATGCTGAGGATGTTGTCATGTTTTCAATCAAAAGACCCTTTCCTGGCTTGAAAAGCGCCTTGGCGCAATCGGCGTCCTCGCTCTCGAAAGATCATCCAAAGACTTGTCTTTTCGATCTTTTATTCGATCATTTATTTTGTCATTCTGTTTTTCGGGAGTCGCCAGTTGTCTCGAGTCACAGCTGATTGATGCCGATTTGATGTGAAAACTCGAGGAGCGTTTGGGAAGGCCAAAGATCGGGACGCGAGGCGACTCGCAAGGAATGGTCTTCATATTGGTCAAATTGTGGCTCGGGCGAGGGAGCGAGTTAACTTGACGAGCCGGTGATTGGGCGACGCGGCTGCGATCTGGAAATAGAAAGTGTTAAGAATCCAGATGAGTTGGAGCAACTCTATGAGTTGTTCTCTTCGTTGATTTCGATGGTCGAAACTGACCTTTTTTCGATTTTCGTTTTCGCTCCCGATCCAAAATTGGCAATGATGACATTCTCGTGAGTCGGTTGTTTCGTGAATTTCGCATTGCATCACCTAAAATCATTCATTTATTTCTGAAACAAAAATGTTCAAAAAATTTTTAGTCAAAAATATCGATTTTCCAATAATTCCTCTGGTCATTGAAGTCTATGAAGAATCCTGAGTCAGGGTTCTTTTTCAATTTTCAGGACCCTGACTCAGGGTTATTCAGAGAGTTAAAATAGGTGAAGAAACGAAAAATAAGTCAGAAATGTTCTCATAACAATCAGCGTATTTTGATCACCTCCGCTGTAAAAAAAATCGTGTGTTATCATCTAGCTCGGCTGGGTGCCAAAATAATAATGTTCAAATCATGTGCTGAAAATAATTCTAGAGCAAAGTGCGTCTGATTGCGATCTTGTCTGATCGCCCTTTGAAAATTTGAGACGGGCCGTATCACTCTGTTTGGGTTGGAGCAGGGCCAGAATTTCAAGTGTTTGATTTTTAAATTTCGCGTTATCAGTTGAATTGTTCAGCTGGAGTACTTTTTTGAACATTCTGAAATCCTCGAAAATTGGGTTTTTTAATTTGGATTTTTTCCAAAGAACATAATTTCGGCTGATTTGTCTTCTTGAAAATTCCAATTGTTAATTTTAACTGTTTATCTAGCAAATTTCTTGGCCGTGCGCTTTGTTTATTTAGTTTCTATTTTCAGAAGCTTCATTTTTTCTGAGCTGCGGTTCGGCCTTTTGGGCACACGCCAACTCGCGGACCTCGCCCGGAATAGACCGGATATTTGAATTTCGCCTTCGTTTTTACCATAAACTCGGTGATAGAAAAGTTCAAAATAAGCGACTTATCGTTTTTTGTCGAAGTTATGAATTTTTGAAGGAATCGTGTGAATAAAACCAATTTGCACTTCCGGGTCAATCAAAGGGTCGGCCAACTCGTCTGTGGTCAGAAAAAATGGCTCAGATCCAAATTGTGAGTGGGGAAAAAGGTCAAATCATATTTGACCAGTTCAAAAGAGTGTTTTTTTAGTATAATTTATTGAAAAAAATTTGTTGAAAAAAATTTTGAAAAAAAATTTGGGAAAAAAATTTGGGAAAAAAATTTTTGGAAAAAATTTAGGAAAAAAATTTCGGGAAAAAATTTTAGGAAAAAATTTTGGGAAATAATTTGACGAAAAAATTTAAAGATAATTTTTTTAAATCACAGATTTTCCCTGCTTTTATGAACTAAGCCGGCGGAAAATTCAACCCCAAGGGAGGTTATCTCCTTATTATGCAGCCGGGCAGAGATTGCAATAAGGTCAGCTTTCAACTAAAATTTCGAGCACTGAAATCTTGGCCCCAGTCCAAATTTTGCTTTTTCGCGAGAGAGATTTTCACGCATGTTTAGTTTCGTCAGATTTGAATTTCAAGAAAAAGGACTTACAGTTGAGAATTTTGTCTTTTGCATCGTTTGGTACTGGAGCTGGATGATTCTCCATCATCAGTCGTTTCAAATGGTGGCAGAAGAAGGACTTGTCTTCCAGGGTTATCGCGGTCAGAATAATCTAAAGAATGATTGATTGGAGCTTGGGGAAATCCTTCTTGTACCTTGCTTTTAATATCATCAAATGGCATGACGGAAAAAGTACATTCTTCATCTTTTCGATCCTGGACGACCAAGTTTTGAGTTGGAATCTGGACTTTGACTTCAAATCTGTCGTGATGTTTCTTAACCGGAAGTTAGGGGTGAAATGGGAAAGGGGAATGTTACCTTTAGGAGAATAAATAATTTGTGGAAGAGAAGGACATGTCGTTGCTGGCGACCTTGATAGACAGGCGCGTCTATCACCAGCTCGCCTAGGCAGGAAAGATCTGGGCCAGAGTAGTTGAGCAACTGAGACTGTAGTTCTAGAAACAAGGGTCAGGCAATGAATGAACCAATGAACCCTCAAGTGAACCCGCGATTTTCGACTCAACTCTCTTCTCCTTTTTTTGGGGTCTGTTTATCGGACGCGGCCACAGCCGTAGCCAGTGTTTTCAGAAACAGATGTGTCGAGTGTACAAACCTTGAAGTTTAAGTTGGTCTTCGTGTTGCCGCTTGACCTCGTTGATGTGGCTAGCCACGGTCGACATCGATGCGAGGGCTTGTTCGACCAAGGGCTCGTTCGGGGACATCTTCTTACATAGCTTCTTGAATTTTGATAAGAATAAAGTAAAGAAAGGTTGAAATATATAACTGAAGGGGTAGAACCATTGTCTCGAAGACCTGTGTTGGAAACCTGAGTCAGGGTCCTGAGTTGCCATAGCGACTTTTCAGAAACCTGACTCAGGTTATCAACACAGGTTTTCTGAACCCACGTGACGTCTCTTTTGGCTGAAAAGAGACGATTAAAAATGGTGGATTTCTTTGAGTGCCGACAATTAGATGGAAATTGGAAACGCGTTGGTTTATAACCTGCCGGAAATCTCGCGTATTTACATGCAAGTGGAGATTTACGGCTGGCGCGGGGCCACACTTCCGACGCCCATCTCAACTTTATGTCGCCAGATCAAGGTCACCGCCTTCTTTCGCATCCCTTTTACTTTCGACACGCCCTAGTCCTCCTACCTGCAAGATGTCGGGATATTTGCAGACTCTCTGGAAGGGTTTGAGCAAATAAGTCGACAGTGGCAGCGGGTGTCCGAGCTTTTTCTGCAGCTCGGCGAGAGCGGATCTGACGCGCTCGCGCTCTAGAATGTCGACGAGCATTCCGTTCGAATGCGGGAGGTTTGTACAGTAGTAGGTGTAGATTTTGAACTCTTCGGACTGAAATTGAATCGATTATGGATCATTTTTCTTGTTGAAAATGTCGCTTACATTTTGAATAAAGACATTTGCGATGCTGGCAAGATTTTCGTGACTTCGAAACAGCTTTTCATAGATTTTTCTGAAAAATTTTTAGGGTTTACTGAATTTTTTTTGGATTTTTTTGAAATATTTTTTGAGATATTTTTTGAAATATTTTTAGAAATTTTTTTTTGAATATTTTTGACTTTTTTTTTGAAATTATTTTTTTTTTTGAAATTTATTATTGAAATTTTTTTTAATTCCTTTTCAATAATCCTTGAACTTTTTCAGCGGCGCTAAAAAAATCGCCCTTGAAATTCAATCCTCTCGAAAGAATCAAATCCGTGTTAACAAGCATGTTAAACCTTTATTTTGCTTTTTGTTTCTGTCATAAATCTAATCACCCGTGAATCGCCCAGGTGGTGATCAGCGATCGCCTTTCTCATCCCTCTTGACATATAAAATCGCGAAAAACGAGACACCCTTAATTTCAAAAAACCCACTTTTCCCGCCAAGAAAATTTTCATTTTTCAAGTGCGAGTAGCGTAAAAACTTCCGAAACTCGTCAAAAGCCAATTTTCTAAGGTCATTTTTAAGGTCGGATAATCTTCCGCCAATTTCCTGGAAGTTGCTTGCTTCCTGGCAAAGAAATGGGAAATTTGGAATAATGACCGTTTTCTCTCGATAACGAGCTTTTTCTGAGTTTTCATGAAAAACAAACGGCTTTATGAAGATCAGAGCCGCAAAACTTTCATAAAGCCGCTTTCATAAAGCCGCTAGATTGATTTTCATGAAAACTCAGGAGAAGCTCGTCATTAAGAAAAAACGGTCAAAATTCCAAATTTTCCTTCAATAACGAGCTTTTCCTGAGTTTTCATGAAAAAAAATCAAGCGGCTTTATAAAGAAAAAAGCCGCAAAGCGGCTTTGCCAGACATCAAAATTTTATTTTACTTTTTTCAAAATCTCGAAAGACTCTTCCTTGGGTTCTGTGAGCCCCACAATAATGACTTGGTAATAGTGGCCTTCAAATTGATAATGATCGTTTTTTGTGTACTTACAAGTGAAAAGCGGCAATTTCCTCGAGATTGAGAAAGATCACGTCGATCTCGGCCATTGTTAGCGGAAGGGCGTTTTTGGTGACTTCGAGGCGCAGTGGCGTCAGGTAGCCGGTGATCACTTCTTGTAGCGAGTTCAAATATGCAAACTCGGTTTCGATCAGCTCGTTGATTACTTGTTCTACTGCCACGGGTAGGGGACGGTGTTCCTCTTCGATCAGGGCTCCTAGACGGAGGGAGTCGGATAGGTAGGAGCCGCGGGAGGAGGCAGAGGAGACAGAACTAGAAATCGATAAGAGTCGAGCTATACAGCCTTCTTATTGGTCAGTTGTGCCAATTAAGCCTTTTGATTTGTCGGTATATGAAATTTTCTGGGGAGAAGTCTGAAATCGACAAAAAATTCGAAAAATTTTGCGTGAAAATTTACAACCAATAAGAAGGTTGGATTCGGCTAACCGACCAATCAGCAGCTGTAAAGCCGCCAACTCAAAATTTGTCGAAAATTTTGTCGGTTCCTGAAGCAACCCCATTTTTTCCCAAAAATTTTTTGCATTATTTGATTCTTTTTTTGGAAAATTTTTATTTTGAAACCACAATTTTCACACTTTTTAAAATTGATTTGCGACGAGAATAGACAAGAGAAAAGCACTTGAGGGGGAATAAACAAGTCTTTGATCTATTTTCGCAGATGCGCAAAAAAAACTCAGGGTGAGGCCCTTATGCCACCCCTAAATAAAGATTTGCGCTTCTCATCTCAAGTGCACGAACAAATGAAAACTGAAAAAAAAATATTGCGATTCAATTTCTGAAAATTTTCAAGACAAAAATTGGCGCAAATCCGAGGCGGGCGCACTTGATATTTTTGAAAAAATAGAAAAGCGGAAGTGGAAATAATCGGATTTTGAAAATGAAGTGGCTTTTCGAGGAATTTCAAAATTTGTCAAATTTGAATTTTACCTGTAGGAGGTGGGGCGCGTCGGCTTGCCAGTCCAGCTGGGCGGCTTTCCAGAGTCGGTCGAGCCCGTGTCGAAGTCATAGGTGTGCGAGGCCGTCCACGTGACACCCGGGTCGACTTTTTGACGCGCGTCCGGCGGACGGTTCCGGGTGATCATTGCCTGACTGAAAAGAAATTTGTTCATTTTTGCAGAAAAATAAGGGAAGGTTGAGGGTAATCTCAAGAATATCGGGAAACCGGAAAAAATCGACAAAAAATTTCGACAAATTTTGCATGAAAATTTTAAACCAATCAGAAGCCTGGATTTGACTAACCGGTGATTCAGCAGCAGAAAAGCCGCCCACGCAAAATTTTTCGAAATTTTTTGTCGACTACTGACGCCACCCTAGAATATCGACGTCAACCCTTAGAAATAAGTGACCACTGGATAAAAAAAATCTAATTAGCAAAATGTCCACATTCCTCGTCTGTCTCGTTCAAATCTTCTCTTATCGTATGAAAGAGGTTTGCTTTGCTGTGAGCCAATAACAACTAAATAACGTCTTATCATTCTCAACACACCGGGGTGGTCCAAGATCCGCGCCGCTATCAACCACCCGGTGACGTCCTACAGACGCATGAGCTCAACTAGCGCTTTCAAACTTGCGAAAACAGGCGGTTTTAGGTTAATTTATTGAAAAATGGTTGTTGTACGAATGAAAATATGAGTTGTTAAAAAAAGCTCAAAGGTCAGGGAAATAAAAGTGGCGGCACCAGTATGGCGATTTCGTGTAAACGAGTCGGCTTTTATTTATAATACTTTTTGGGTCAATCAAGTTAATTTCTATGCTGATTTATTCGACCAGATTTAACGAAGTGACACCCTTAAATAACCTTTCAGAAAAAGGGTTAGGATAAGGTTTGGGTTACTTATTCCTTTACCTTAACATAACCTTAACCACAACCTATTTTCCGAGAGAAAAATTAAGGGTGTCACTTCGATAAATCTGGTCCAACAATTAAAAAAACATAAGTTTACATTATTTCTTAAAAAAACCGGACTGTTACCTGAATCAGGCTCCTTAAAAGCGCTTGAAAGGTTTGAAAATTTTCTCGATCAAAAAATAAGGGTGTCACAATTTTATCATACAAGAAAAGATTGCAAAAAGTCTTGGCATTGAGCCTCTTTCTCGACCCCCGGAATTTGTCAATTTGTAATCCGCCCAAAAAGTGCTTGACACAGTAGAAATTTCCGAAAATTGTTCCCCACTTGACTGTGCACGTGACCATAAAGGCAAAGCTCGCGCGGAAGGGGGGTGATCACTCATTTATAGTGTTTATCCTCGCGTTGGTGCCTTTTTGCGTGTGAAAAGCTCGCTCGTAAAACACTTTTTTCGTGAAAACGTGCGGTAAGCGAAATTGCAGGAAATGCAATTTTAACCTCGAGCACGTTCGCATCAACTTGTGAGGTATTTGCGGTTTTTGAGAGGTTGAGCCAAGTTTAAATGATTTTCTGATTATTGCTTACATAAATCTAGAGCACTTGCACCCCATAAACTCATCCTAATCAATCTTCTCTTTATTGAAAAAAATATTTTTCAAGTTTTTTCCGATGAGAAATTCAGCTACTATAGAAAACTCAGCCATTTGATTCATTTTGAATGAAGCAGATTCAGTCATACAAAAAGCAGTAAAAATCTGCTCTCGAAAAATCAGTGACTGTCTCCAAAACAGTGGATAAATATGTTTCCAAAGCAAAGGGGGGGAAGATACTTTTTGGCTTCAAAGAATAAAACTTTTAAGGGTGTCGCGTCCCTAAATTTTCCATTTAAAAATAACGGTAAGGGTGACCTTAAGGGTACCCGAATTTCAGAAAGTGAAAACTTATCGACAACCTTATCGCTTTTTCAAATTCGGGTACCCTTATTAAGGGTCCCTTAATTTGAGGGTCTTAAGGTCACCCTTAACGTTATTTTTAAAATGCACAATTTAAGGACGGGACCCCCTTAAAAATTCAATTCTTTGAAAACTAAAGGTAAGAAAAACAAGTGAATGAGGGGACACCCTTATTATTGAAATAAAAAATTTTTATCAATTTTTTTGTGAAAAAGTGGCAAGAAAAAAATCGCGACCTTTGGTTCTCAAGTTCTTTTCAAGAAGCAGACAATAAAGAACTTTTTGGCAGAGGAATAATATAATACCGCTTTTGCACTGGAATGGCGCCAATATGAACTGATTTTCAATCAGAAATTCTCCGCATCGCTAATCCGCGAGTTTTTTGTTTCCGCAAAAATACAAAAAAATGGAGAGCGGCGGCACCAAAATCCGCTTCTCTGAAATTCGTTGGGTTCAGTTAAAAATCAACTAACAAAGAGACACCCTTATTTTCTATTAAATGAAAATAAAATAAATAAGGGTGTCACCATCAAATTCATTTTCTTCGTTTTTATATCTTAAGGATATCAAAAACGATTTTGGTAAAGAAAAACCCGAGGTCAATCGTTGTTGACACCCTTAAAGGGGTTCTAACATCTTTGATTTAAAATAAGGGTGTCATCTTGTTAATTTTGACCGTGAGAAAAACCAACTTTCTCGCGTGCTCTAAAAAAGAAGCAACCGGATCAGGTTTGACCGGTGTTCGATCATCGAGAAACAAAATGATCAAAGGGGAGAAGCGGCCTTGTCCAGATTGAGAAAGAAAGGATTATCTCCTCAATTAAAAGCGCGAGAGCGCAGTGATAACAGCATCCACTTTTTCCCTCATTATTTTCTTAGAAAAAGCCAAATAAGGCGATCATAAGATGTTTTTGCCCTCTTTTTGACAGAAAAAAAATTGCAAAATTTTGGCGAAATTTCGTCGAAAGGTTAACTTTTCGAAGAAAAAATTAGAAAATCGAGGGAAAGCAAAAATCATGACAGGATATTTATGAGTCATAAATTATGACGATTTAACTGTTTGATCCAGAGTTGGTAAAAAATTATACTTCCCCTCGCCCTTCAAAAATCTGCAGGGCGCCCTTCATTCTTGAAGGGCGGTGAAGTGTACTTCACGCGCCCTTCAAAGCCCTGAAGTATACTTCAGCTATCGGTTCATCCAGAGTTGGTAAAAAAGTATACTTCACTCGCCCTTCAGAATGAAGTATACTTCATGAAGTATACTTCAGGGCGTTGCAGGGCGTTGAAGGGCGTGAAGTGTACTTCCGCCCTTCCCTCTACTTCAACCGCCCTTCCGCCCTTCACTCTACTTCAACTTGGTTCTGTCGGCCATCAGAATCCATCCGCCAGAATTTTTTCAAATTTTGCGCTTATTGGCTCTCAGGCGCCATGATTTAAATCACGCTGATTGTGGCAGATGAACCGATAGCTGAAGTATACTTCAGGGCTTTGAAGGGCGCGTGAAGTACACTTCACCGCCCTTCAAGAATGAAGGGCGCCCTGCAGATTTTTGAAGGGCGAGGGGAAGTATACTTTTTTACCAACTCTGGGTTCATCTGCCACAATCAGCGTGATTTAAATCATGGCGCCTGAGAGCCAATAAGCGCAAAATTTGAAAAAATTCTGGCGGATGGATTCTGATGGCCGACAGAACCAAGTTGAAGTAGAGTGAAGGGCGGAAGGGCGGTTGAAGTAGAGGGAAGGGCGGAAGTACACTTCACGCCCTTCAACGCCCTGCAACGCCCTGAAGTATACTTCATGAAGTATACTTCATTCTGAAGGGCGAGTGAAGTATACTTTTTTACCAACTCTGGTTTGATCCCTTGACATTTTCGCCATGTTGACTTTTCCACGCAAATTTTGACTTACGTCATGACATGTGCAAAGAGACTACCTGCCTCTACCGGGTTAAGGGTCTCAAAGTCCTTAGCTCTGATTTTTTCCATATTGTTTTCGGCAAATTTCGCGCCGCTGATTTCAAAAAAAAAGGCGCTCGATAATTTTCTCGCCATTGATCAATTAAAATTAGCAAACAAGAAAATCTGACAAAAACGACCTTCTGTTGCATATTCCTCCCCTCGCGCGTTTGGGATTGAATTTTGACGATCAAGGAGATTTTCAATCAAGCTTAATTGATCTTTTTTTCCTAATTGATCCCTTGTGATTTTTTGTTTCGAGGCAGGAGATGATGCTAAGTGGCAAACAAACAAAAAGATACTGCAAAAAGGATTAAAAAGGATAATATCTGTTGGATGACTCCTTCTGGAAATAAATTAAGGGTGTCAAGTTGATATTTTTCCGGAATAAAATAAGGGTGTCACTTTGATATTTTTTTAGAAAAGAATAAGAGTATCATTTCGTTTTTTTTTTAGAAATAAAATAAGGAGGTCACGATGATATTCTTTCAGAGTTTCAATAATGGTGTCACTTTAATATTTTTTCAGAAAAAAATAAGGGTGTCACTTCGTTTTTTCCGGAATAAAATAAGGGTGTCACTTTGATATTTTTTTAAGGAATAAAATAAGGGTGTCACTGTAATATATTTTAGTTTTTCAATAAGGGTGTCGCTATGATATTTTTAAAAGAAAAAAAACTGGTTTTAATTTTGACTTTCCTGGCAAAAGAACCCATTTTTTACTCTTTTTTTCAATTTTTCTCTTATTTATTTCAATAATTTCAATAATTTTCCGTGATTTTTGAAAAGTGTCATTTGCATTAAACAACGCTAGATCGTTTACTCTTTTGATTCAATATTCACTCACTCAGAGCGCGCGGCCTGTGTGTGCCCAAAGCTTCTGCCTGTTTACCCGGCCGCGCAGGAAAATCGCAAGTCCACTGTTTCAGAAAGACTCGGCAAGGACAAAAATCAAAAAAGCAAAAAAGAAAGAGCAAAGTCCAAGTTTGAGGTCGAGGAGATTAATTGCCATGGGAAGAGAGAGGAAAATTTTAATGGGCTGCAAACAATACTAGCTCTTGATTGAAGCAGTCCTTATCAGCTGATTGTGAAGGACCCGGGAATCGAAAGATCAGTGAAGTGGATTATTTTAAAATTTAAAAATAAAATTCATCTAAAATTGAAAATATAGATATTCTTTGAATTATTTTTTAAGGCTATTTTCAAGTTAATTTATAATTAATAATAAAATTATATTAATTCTGATTTTAATAAAATTAAAATAAATTTTAATAAACCAATAAATAATTTATAATAAAGCCGTCTCAGCATTGTAAAATTAAAAAGTACACTCATCGGCCCTATTTCATGGGAAC